TGACCTTAAAAGTCAACTCCGGTTCTTACAAAAAGTCTGAAACCACATCTTTCGTCTCGGTCCTTCGAGTCACAAACATTCATAGCTTCGAAAAGGAACATAGGTGCTTTAAGTGTTTATTTGAATATAGATTTAATTTCGTAATTAAGCTATGCATTTTCAGTTTGCTTTAACGTAAGTTGTTATGACTAACTTTTTTCAAAAAGCTTATGAAATGACAACATGATGCCGTTTGCCAATTTGCACCGCTTAGAGATGCTAATGCGTAGATAACAAAACTCTAAGTTTCAAAAGATCTTTAAAAAATATGCGTATATTTTAAATTTGTTTATAATATTCTTTCAATAAAAATAATTTTAAATTCGAGTTTTAAATGTTTTGTTACTCAAGTTGTGCGTAGAAAAAGCCGGCCAAACCACAACATTATCACACAATTATCGCGAACTATTGTTTCAAGTTTAGACATTAGCGTAGAGGAGGCTGAACGTTGAGGGGAGTCTGGTACGGGTCTTGCCGGATGCACCTTAAATTCAGTAAATTGTGCCTGATTTGTGGGTATCGCAGCTCCCTAAGTACCGGTGTCTCATACGTCTATTGTTTTAGTTAGAATACAGTGACTTATTTGGGCAACAGTAATTTTTTAAAAATAAATTTCTTTCCATGAAGAAAGAACGATATTGCTGAAAGGATGGGACCTGTTGAGCTCCTTTAGTGCGTCACATGATTCTCTTAACACCAACAAATCAGCGTAAAATTTCGATATCTGTTTTCCAGGGAAGTGAGGAAGTGATGCTTCCGTCCTACTGATTCAATTTAATAACCGGTTCAGCTTTGATAAAATGTCAGCTATAACACCCACCGAACCTTCTGTAATTCTGATTTTTGCAAGAGCGACTTAGTTATGTAATGAAGATTAAATTTCTATGAAAATGACAAAATTTCAACGACCAGTCAAACGTTACATAATTCGCTCATCATTACATAAGTTCGATTATCGCTGTATAAGATTTATTTAATTCATTCGCTTCAATGACTCCTAAAAAGGGATGACTAATACCAAATGAATAAATCTATAAATAAATGCAAATGCGAGACCCATCAATAGTTCGAGGTTTACCACGCGTAAAAGATAGTGTATTTCTTGAGCATCGATAAATAGGCCACCAGAAGTAGTATTCGTCTTTTGCTAATGAAACAAACAGAATTGGTTTGGATTCTCGCAATTTTCACTTATTATTATTTAATAAAGGTGCGTCAGGAGATTTCGACGAATTTCGGTAATGTTTTGCACAACATAGATATTTATCATTTCCGATAGGAGAAATTCTAAGCATTTCACAGAAGAATCTTATGACCACGTGGTTCAATCGAAGGCTGGTATACTGTATAAGCCTCTTGTGTCTTAGCTCGGTATAACTGATGAATCTACGAAGGGAGATTGGTTGGTGAAAAGACGTTCTTGATCTGGAACATCAAAGGAAGGGTAATAATGATAAAATCAAGTCAGTATAATTTGATGCATGCCATTGAACTGGCCAATCGTCTCACTTTTGCTGTGACGGGATTAGAGTTGGTAAAGAACGATCAAATCGCTGATCCAGTAACTGCTAAAGATTTCGGTTTGGATGTTTACCATGTGAGGCATGTTAGCTCAACATCAAGGGTAGATGATTGTCAAGTACAAGAAAGACATGTTAGAGATGTTAACGAGGAGATAGAGTGTTTAAGAAATGATAAAGATGATAACAGAGAAATGCGGAGAGAGGAGCAACGAGTAGCTAACAGGACAAGGCGAGTGTCCTGTCCAGCTTATCAAAGCGTTTTGCAGAAACAGGAAAGCAGACGATATAGCTCCACGTCAATAGGCAGCGGTAGAAAAATTGAAGCTTTTTGTATGGAGAAAGGAGATTTAAAAAAATGGAACTGTAAGCTAGATTTGCAATCTCCTGCTAAAAGGAAAGAGACATCTAGGAAAGAAAAGGATGAAACGCTATTTCTACCTGCAAGAAAAACGCCTCGGCAAATACCAGGCCCGACTTTATTGCATCAATTGAAACCAATCTCACTTAAAGATCTTCACGATAAATCGCTCTCTCAAACATTGCCGAGAAATCAATTTTATGGCCCTCATGAAAAATCAAAGGTTCTCAATTTGCTTCAAAGGCCCGACGCCCTCTATCTAATACAAAATTCTGCAGTAAAGAAACCGGCAAATTCTCTTCCACCGATTGAGAAGCCAAACGAGAAGCTAAAACTGTCAACAGGAAACACAACCAAAAATTCTGAATCTAGTAGACTTCGTTCGTCATTTGATCTCAACGCGGATTCAAATATGAATGACTTGCTCCTAAAAGAAGGTTATCACAAAGGCGGCAAATGTAATGCAAGGGGAAGAAAAATTAAGAAATCGTTGAAAATATCTGATATGAATCAAGATAAGAACCTCTTGTTCGATGAAAATTGCTTATCGATTGGTGATCGTGGGGAAAAGGTGACAGAAAAATCATTAAAAGAAGTAGATGACCTTCATCTAGACGGCGTCTTAAAACATATGCAGCGAGATACAGCAAAGCAGAAGGAGTGCAAAAGAAGACTTGTTAACGCATATAGTAAAGAAGGGGGCGCGAATAAATTGACGACTGAGAAAATGCAAAAGGCAGGTAGAGAAAGACGTATTGATGAAGTCACAAATAAAGAGGTAAAATCCATAATGAAGGGAAGTGGGGCAGGGGGTACGCCAAAGGAGAGAAAAGCAAAGAGGAAAGTTTCATTTAATCAAAAGGTTATTAGAATACTTGTGATTACAAGGCCAATTGGAAATAAAGAAAGACGAAATTCAAATATGCAAGAGGATATCAGAACTTGATGATTTGTGTATCACCATTTTGTGAATACTTAGCAAACAATTGTGTTCAATTCATTTAAGTCATAAGCTTAGGGTTGGAGAAAAGTATTTCCAGATTTATTTGCAGTTTCTTTTAAAGATTGTTTTCATAATATTCTAAACCAGCTATCTTCTCCAGTTACTTTTTTCAGTTATCTTCTCTTGTGAACATTGATTGAAAAAGAAGGTTTGAAAATACTAAATCTACAGCCCTGAATCAAATATGTGAGGTGCAGCTTTGCTGATGTGGGTCACTGAATTCTAATTATGAGTACGAATTGAGCTCACGTTTTCTGCATGCAAATTTGCTTGAAGGCGATCACGATGTTGAACTGATCTGCGCTGTCATTAAACAGATTTTCACTTAAAAATTGCCTTGTTCAGTTAAAGTAAGCCACAGTTCTTCTACCTTAAGTCAGTTTTGGCATTGAAAGTTCATTCAAAACTTGCTCTTCGAATAAGTGTCGTCGTAAAATGAAGGAAAGTCTCACAGATTTCGGTAGCTATGAATTATTTGTCAGTCAGAAAATGGAAAAAAGAGCAAGTTCTGCATTTCTAATTAACTTTCTTCAAATTACTATCAAATCAGATGACTTGGTGGTATTATTAACGCGGTGCAAATCTAGGACATCTCGAGACAAAAGCTATAAACATCAACTTTGACTTCTGATTACTCCCTTTTCATTTAGCAAAAATCCTTTGGAAGGATAGAAACAGCACACAAATCAACGTCCTTTTAGGGCTACAATGGCATGCAACTGTGTCGTTTAGTTTTTAACAAGGAGACGCTGGATATAAGCAATCCCTCGGTTTTATGAGAATCTTGCGATAATATGACAAAATTAGGACAGTAACAACACAAAACGACGAGGTGCAATCCGATTTAAATGATATTGGATTTAAAAGACCAAAAACTGATAAAAAAATTAAGGTTATTATTTCCCAGGTTATTAATATTTCCCACCGGCATACGGAGCTATTTTAGAGTAAATATATCCAGCTAGCGGAGCAAAACAATCTATATATAAAAAACCACCCCTTCCCCCTCTATTACTTTTATCTGTTTTTGCCTTCGTTGCGCTACTACAGGCGATTCTAAATCAATCACAGGCAAAAAATATTTATAAAATTTATGACCACCTCTTTACATTTACTTCGATGGAGCTCCGTATGCAGGGGCGAGAAATTAGTTAACGTCTTCATTATCTCTAATATTTTTTTTCTCTAATTTTCTTTTATACACAATGGATTGCACCTCATGGCTTGTGTTGTCTATGTCGTTTTCTAAACATTTCACCGTTGCAAAAATGAAAATAATGCCAATGGCTTGAACTGTTTTGGCGTATACATGGATGAACATAACGTTTTCACTAGAACTTCAAACTTACTTTAAACCTATGAATGATCAAATTATATGGATGAAAGATACTTTGAAATTCCTGTTCGAATAGCTTCTTGGAAGGCAAAAGATAAAAGCTAAATAACGCCTACTCTATGAACTTTTAGCTACCATTTAACGTTGTAAAAGTCGAAGGGTGTGATGAAACTGAATCGAATCATCTTTTCGAGTGAGTGTATGAGAAAACTGTTCTGATCGGTACCTCATCAACGTCTTCAATTTCTAACGAGGTTTCGCTGAGCATCCGGGGTAATCTAACAACAATTTGTCTACGTTTGTGGTCTTTTTCTATAGGCCATATTGAACCTGCCTCGGACTTGCTTTTACACCCGAACTCTTTACCTTGTAGCAAGGCTAAGTTTGATTTCAGAAATGCCTCATCCACTTCATCATATTTACAGATCGTTTGGCATAGTGAATTGAAATTTACATCAGTCATGGAGTTGCACGCAGAATGCTCTTTTTTACAATGTCTACAAACTTTTCTGTGAATTTCAGTAACATCATACCGCTTTTTCAAGTCATACTTCGAAATCAAGAAGCCATTCACCACAGGGAGAGCTCTTGCCACGCTTCCACTGTCCGGCACATCATCTCCTTGTTCCAGCGCTCTGCTTTTGATCAACCTTTTACAATTCGTTTTACTTCCTTGTTGAAATCCTTTCTCAAAGCTGCCACCTACTATAGGCACAGTGCACAAATTCCGGCGTGGTTTACTTCCCGTTGTAGCCAGGCTTTCTGTAGATTTCACACTCCCAGGAAACTGGCTCCAAGATTTCTGCACCGACTCAATCGAAATGATTGCCTTGCTCTGATCAAATTTTGCGCTGCTTGGCTTGTTCATTGCTCGTACTGATGAACTAATTCCTAGTCTGATAAATCCTCGTCATTTCTCTGGTTATCCAGGTCAAATGGATGATGTCTTGCACTTTACTCCCACACAGTTGCATATTGCTATGCATTTTGTAAAAGCAATATCCGGTCAAAAATCTTTGCTACGGTTAAGGTATATAACATTTCTTTGTATTCTCTCCACGATACAGTAAGCAATCAAAAATAAGCTACCATAATATTAACCTATCCTCACAAAAGCATCGTAGCCAATTTCGATTTGTCTGTTCATAACATTATGTTTTCATGTGTACCAACTTTGTTTAAATACAGTTTGTAGATTTAATACACACATGTAGCAATTTGATCTTGTTTCGATTCAACAGGCATTGTGCAGAACAAGATTTCCTAAACTTTTCTGAAGCAAAACTGAGAGCTCAACGCCAGCATCGAGTCTACTCTTTGGCCCAGTAGCTTTCACTCGTTAATTCTTTTCTTTCCAATGCCTCTCATTAACACAACAAAGTCACAACAATATTTGAGAACGGTGTGAACTTGCAACGGAAAATATGAATGGAAACATGAGAATAGAGACTTTTCATTGTCCAAATGGGGTTTCAAATTTCAATTGCTTCACACAGTTCAAAACACTTTATATTGCTTTTCCTGCACAAGCGGGAAGAAATCTTAAGGAGGCAGTCCTCGCAGTTTTCATCCGGTGTGATGACGTTGATTGTGGTGACGTAAAGATCTAAAAGTCAAGTCAAAATTTGGACGGTATTACCTGGCCTCAAGTGATGATCTCCATAAATTGCAAAGCTTGTTTGTGTGCTGAGCTGTGTCTGACCAAAGCTACAAAGAAAGTTACAACCACCACAGACAATCAAGCAAGATTCTGTTTGAGTACTACAAATGAAGCCATCAGAGAAGCCGTTGAGTGGACCAAAAAACTCAATTGAAAGAGGTAATTTATATAAGGATTAACTGAAATACCATATATACCAAAAGAAAACATATTCTTTCAAAGTTTTCAAAGGAGTAATCTATGTCTACATCACAGTTTTATGTCGAAGTAAATGGTTTCTAGGAGGTCATAATTAAAACGTCACTTTGTGGCTAGATTGAGTGTATGGGAATATATCTGTTTAACAAATATGAGAAGTCTTGACTGATTGTGTTGTTAGGGAACAGAGTAAATGAAGCCTGTATGAGAAGAAGCCCGGAGATAAAGAAATTGATCCGAGTGCGGGACGAGACGAAAGTTGCGATATATGGAGAACAATTATAAGTAGAAGGCAGTTTGGAGTATATGGAAAGGCGTGGGCTATGCAACAGAGATGCAAAAACCTGGAATTAAAAGGCCATTCAAGGTTGGGGCACGGCCAGCATTATGAGTTCGGTATTTGTGACCGGACTGGAAAAGGAATGGAAAATTGTAAATGAGAGTTTGGTTTCATACAAGAAAACATGTATTGGTATTTGTTAAGGTAAGCAAATGTAAGGCTGCCTCAGTCACTTCATCTAAATAGAAGAGATGAACACAAGGATGCACTCTAGGCCCCCTACTTTTGTAACACTGTCAGAGATATTAGTAATCCTCAACCAGGAAAATTAGTTTGGTTTTAGACTCTGTACATTTGTAGATACCATTCCTTAACTAAGTCATGTATGTTGCAGATTTTCTAGTATAACATTGTAATACCTATACGTAAATACCATGCGCCCTGTATTATTGAAATATAATATTCTTCAACTGTTTTAGGCAACTGGATCCGAAAACAGGCACCTTCTTAAACATCTTCGAACTCTTGCACCATGTTTATTGGATAATAGAACAAAACCTATGCAGCTGTCAGTATTAAAGAACCCAAAGATGGAACACATATTGGCTCAAATAGAATTACCTAGATTCTTATATAATCTACATTCTAGATTCGTTACACCATGCTTAGTCTAATAATGCCCTTATAATCTTATAATTCTTGTTATGTCTATTCAGATTAGTATTTTTCTTTATGGTAAACTGCTTGGTGAAAGGTTCAATGTAGCTCCATTAAGTTGTCTGAATAGCGCGTATTCTCAATGGAAACTGCGTGTCGTGATGTCGTGGTCTTTGTCAAACAAAATTCACTCAAAGAAATAAGTATCTTATTGAATCTTAATACTGTAATATCGATACTGTAGTAAGCATTTAGGCCAAAATGTAAGATCAAAATAAATAATGATCATTATTTTATCACGATAAGACGTAGTATAATTTGAAGGTGGGGCATTGTTAAGAACATCTTTTTTGGAAAACAGCCATATAAAGCCGTTATATTTATTTCAGGGTTATGTGAATACACTCTCTTTTTTATATAAGAAACCGGCTATAAGAAACGAGTACAGGACAGTCAGAAAAAATTAAGAAGCTTCAGTACTCGAAGCAAAAAAATCAAGAAACTAATAAATCGTGATAAAACTGAGAACAACGAAATTTTGTAAAATCCAAGAACATGATTGCCCGGTTAGCCTAGAAATTAAGACACAAGGGATAAAAATATACTTCCCACATCTAAATACAGCATCAGGACGGAAGCGAATCTCTTGACGTGATTAAAAAGGTCACGAACAGTTCATTACATCATTCATGACACCATAATTAAGAAACTCGTAAGAAACAATGAGTATTGAAACTGGAGTATTCTACATCGACCTTTGCTTTTTATAAAAAAAATGAGTGTATTGGGCAATAATTGTGAGTGGGAAAAATCTTAAAATATCAAAAAACACCTTTAAGCTAGTACATTAGTCATATGTGAGCATGTTATTGATATTTTATCTATTGATGCAATTCGAGAGAGATTTGAAGGAATGAAATTTCATTGGTTGATCAAAAGAGGCACTAAATTTTGAATGTCAATATACACGAAACCAATACGAAAATACAGATATGTATATTTATCTGTATTCACTTTATTGTACCAACTCTGGTTAACCTCCTCATTGTATTCACTTTATTGTACCAACTCTATTGTATTAATTCTATTGTATTGATTTTGCATATGTCAGCTCCATTTGATTTTTAAAGAATTACTGATGAAAATTTCGGTCGAAACGTTTAAGCGATAGTGTTTTTTCTGAATATCTATATGTGTATAATATATATATATATATATGTAAGTCGCTGCCATTGTCCATTAAATGATAAGAAGAACCAATGCTAAACAAGGGTGGCTTAGAAGGATGTTTCCTTTAATCAGCGCAATCTTCGAACCCTTCCTCGGGAAGTACTCGGGGCACATGCTCTAAGCTTTTGGGAAAATTCCCATTTCCTGAGACCCTCCTGCGTGTACCACAAAATGCTTCCAAATCCCTGGTTTTTTGTATATCCTCAATTGTTTGTTGTCTTTCTATTCGCTTCTCTTTTCTTTCGTTTTATCTCCTTTGTCTTCCGTTTGGTTGTATTTTGTGGTTTTCGTTTGTGTTTTCAGACATGGGAGTGCCACCTTATTTGGACGTTGCCTGTGCAGCAACCATTTACTGCAGTGGTACCAAAGTTTGTGATAAATTCGGTGACCTTTTCCGTGTCAGGACTACACACCATCCAGAATGTGTTGAAAGATTTTAACATACTTCAATAACAACGAAGTTAAAAGAGAAAGAGACAAATAATGCCTGTTTTGCGGTCAAAAATAACAAGAAAAAACTGCTGATAAAGGTTTTCCAAACATGTCTATTCAAATCAAATACCTACAGATGTGTAGAGATTAAATCTAATCCTGCCTGGAAAATTTGCCTGGACTGCTAGAATTGAGATTCGTGACTGGGATTAAGCTTGTCAAACGAGACAATGCTTTCTTAATCCATGAAAGGTCACGAAAAGCCCCAAATGGAAAGCCTTTTCTTAGCAGGAACCCCATCAAGAATGATCTCTTTTTGTCTGTTACTCATGCAACTGACGTCAAAATTTGGTAAGGTTAGTTTACTGCAGACTAAAGAGAACTATGTAAACAGCGATTTTTAGAAATTTTGTTTGTTATTTCTCAAATGGGAGGTTAGGAATTGAGACAATTCGTAGATAGCATCAGAGGCTCATATGATGCATAACTGATACGGTTATCCACCCAATAGGATGAGAAAATTGACGACGCTAACAAATTATCTCAATTTGTTAATTCTTGGGTCAGGAGAGCAATCCTTGAATTGAAAAATAAATCACTTGCTCAGTCAATTTCTCTATACTGAGTCCACCTTTAGATTCAAACAAGCAAGGGCAATATAATAAAAACTATGATAATAAACTCACTAACATAATATTTTATCTTCCTATTATCGCTTTAAGTGTAGAAGAAGACGGACTCAAGAGCTTCAACTTGGAGCCATCCTGTTCAATACACCAAGGCGTTTACAGTTTTGCCTAAAAGGTATCAAGCACATCCTACAGAAAATAATTTTCACTGTATATCATAATATATATACATTGATTTTTGATAAATTACTGATGAAAATGAAAGAGTGAGTTTTGAGAATTCATTTTATTTTCATTTCCATTATAGATAAAATAAATACATTATTTTCTTGAAAGGAGAGGTTTCAGGAAGGCACGAATACAAGAAACAGGAATGAGTTTGCCTTTGCATGATGCGTTGGCCCAAAAGGAATCTCCACGAACAAAAACATTTGAGTCACCCAGCCGGAAATCTTTAATGCAGCAATTTCATCTAGGCACGCCATTAGAAGGGCAAGGCTGGCAAAACACTTCTGTCTGAAAACTCTCACGCCATGGAACGTGATCCTGATGCATACATCTTTCCGCGAGCTTTCCGTGAGTTGAAACCAATTTCCCAGACAAGAATTCCAGACAATACAAACACCAACACAATAAGCCTAGATCGCTTGTAAGCGCTCGAGTGCTTGTTGCATCGCGCACGATTTGCAAAACGATTCCAGATTTCTTCACGATCAAGACGCTCCACGCAATCGTGCGTTGTCTGGATTTCGTCGCTTAGCAACTTGAATGCAAACCTCCCTCATATCGAGGCTCTCCTTGAAAACTGATCATAATTTCCAACATAGCTATTGTCTCTAGAAGCGTGATTGAAACTGTGCAATAAATGCAGAAAGGCCTGGATCCTAATTCGCATAATGAGGTACAGGTACAAACAGTCTCTCTTGCCTAGATCATTAATTGCAAAGGGGAATGCATCGGCTGATTGTGAATGGTTGCTTGAAGCCAAATCTTTCGGCTTCTAAAAGGCCCATTGGCAGTAAAAAGCAAAACAGCTAATTAACAAATCTTGCTTATTAACAGTGACTGGTCTCACTAAAAACTCGGTACATAACTACTAGTTTAGATGTGTGCTTATCTAAGATTAGGGGTGAACTCTATAGAGGAAGCTCCCCCTATGTATGTGATGAACTGCTTCCACATTTAGAATAAAATCTTATTCCCTCCCTTCATGCTAAGCTGGGGTATATGGTTTTTAACCGCAGAGATATATAATCATTGAACTGAAAGGGGGGATTCTGACGGCAAAACGACGAAAACATTGAAATTGTGGTGGGTAGACGAACTGCTTTTCCATGACAGGATAAAAGCATATTATGTAAAATGCTATTTCTTTGTTTTGCCCATAAAACAGCTTTTAAGCAAGACAGTCTTTAAGAAGCATTCAAAATTTGAGCGGTAGTGTATCCGTGCGGTCAAAAAGATGCCAAAAAGACTCCGTGCGGTCAAAAGGCTTCAAATCTACTTGGGGATGTTCTCGTCGTTTCATTTAATTATTCATGACTAGATTAGAAGAAACAGCGAGAAATTACGGGCGCTAATTTTGAAATATATCAATTCAGGGCCAGCATCCTGATTTCAGTTGCAGCTGCAATGGCATTAGAACTGGATTGAGGAGCTTCACATCCAGTGGAAATAGAATCAGAGATAATTTATATAAGCAATTAGGAAGAGAGAAGGGCTACCTAAAAACACTGTTATTGGCAGGTAACTACTTTTGCGTAATTTTATGCATAATTTATTCAAGTAATGGATTAAATATCTCTATGATTTAATGTAATGCGGATTACCAGTATAGTTATTGAAAAATCTGTGTTTTCTCCAATGACTGCACCATGGGAAATCTTTAGTATAGGCTCGCTGACAACACTCTCTGATGAGAAGAAAACTGTGATTTTGGGTTATCAAGGATCGGCCTTGAAGTTGAAGAATGCAGAGGCTTTTCGCGAAGCTTAAGAAATATATATTTTGATGTAGAGACTACTAGAAAATCTGCAAGCTTATGAGTAAAGGCTTGGAAAAAAGCAAATTTCAAGGAATTATTAACAAATCCTCCAACAAAACCTTATTGTTTTCTTTATCTAAAGAAGCAAGTCTTTAATCAACAATACTTCTGCTAGACACCTCGCCATTCCAAAGTTGTTACGACATGAGGCTTTCTGCTTGTAATGTTATAACATACGGAAAAGACCAATTCCGATTGTTATAAAAAGGAATATTTCAAGGAAGGAGGAAATTCACCCATTCACCCTGTCTTTTTATTATTTCTCTTATTAGGAAATATAGTTCAAATGAAATATTCGATGCCAAAGGCAATCACTATAGAAGGCAAAACTTTTGAAAGATATTAGAATTTGCATGTTTGAAAAAGTAACAATTAAAGTAATAAATTAATCAAGATAGTTTTCTAGAACTACACATAAAACATATCAGAAAAACTTTCCGGTAACAAACTTGAAATGATGATGATGTCGACCTTTTCTGCATGGAGATTAGTGTTGATCAGTTTATTGCTGTTTCCAATGCCCTGTAGATATATTCGTGGAAGCCTTGGCACGTAGAAGAACAGGAAAGTCCTAATTTTCGGCTCAGAACAACATGCTGCTCTTTGCAAATCTAGATATTTCCAAATCGCAACTGTTTATTAATTTTGTATTCATACTCAAAGTTTGAAGTTCTCACTTAGGGTTTTATATATTTCGATGATGAGAGTAAACCATGCAGGGAGTAAACTACTAATAAGAAAATAAAACTGCCGTTTTCTATAGCAATTGTTGGATGATGTTTAAAGTATTCAAGTTGCTTTGACTTTTGCACCCAAAGCCTATATTTCCTCAGAGGGGGAGAGTGCAACAGGGAAGAGGTAGTCACCTCAACTAAAACAGGGCCTCCGATGAAGGGGGCCGGGGGGGGGGCCTTGGCCCTCCCCACTTTTTTGCAAAACAATAGAGTTTTTTTCAAAATCTTTTGTTATGGGTGTTAAATTTTCCCTTGCCCCCCCCTACTTTTCAACCTCTGTCGGAGCCCATGTATAGAGAAACTCGATGTGCAAGTCGAAAAGGGGTCGACTACAGCTTATCTTGATGCCCTTCTCTTGCTAGAGGCATGATGATATAAATACTCTTTAATACCAAGATCTTTCTTTTATAGGCAGGGGTTTTTTCTAAAGATTCAGCAGCCACGTTACCGAGAGAGGGCATATGAACACCAGTTCTTCAGCTACTGGAAAGAAAAGAAGCTTTTTATCAAAACCAACAATTACATAGTGAAAGCGGCATAAACTGCGGCTGTGCATCCAGCCCAAGCTAACCAACATGTATAGGTATTATACATAGGTTTCATATATCAAAGGGTAAATACTTCTTATGATAGCAATGCCTAGAGCAGGCAGAGCGATGCAGAAAAATGCCGTAATACCTTACAGATCCAAGCCTGTTTCGGTCAATAGCCACAATACAACATGGGCTCACCAAGCAAGCATTCCATCAACCTCATCTCCAAAATGGATTACGTCATCGACAATTAATGTCATAGAAAGCTTTTTGAGGAAACAAGGAATGGACAGCGATGGCTGGAGCAACATCGGAGTCAAAGACCTGGATTTGCCAGCGTACAAGGTAAACAGCTACGCAGAGAGAGCAAGGCACTGTTTTACGTCAGCGACAAAAAGAATTGTTCCAAAAGAAGGCAATGTCCTTGCGGGAATGGCCTTCATTCAAGATTTGCTTACACGGGAGGACAACTATGATGGCAGCCAGCAAAGGACGGCGTTAAGCCCTTGCAGTGCGGTTAATGAGACTAACATCATTTCATCTAACCAAGACTCCTTAAGTGCAGCAACAGTCTGTATAAGAAACCTCAGAAAAGAATCGTTGGTACAGCGAGAGTTTTTAACTGTTCCAACTCATGATGTCACAGTTAGAGCTTTAACAAGAAGCCGCTCGCCAGCATTGATGCCCGTGCGAGCCACCAAAACACGATCAGCTAGACTGACATCACAAGGGACTCAATCGGAATCGATGCAAGGGTTTTCATTTGAGGCAGTCGTCGAGAGTTTCAGTGATGGTGAAACATGCCAAAGAGTGACTCAGAAAACATCATCAGTTAACTGCGATTCGTCACTTGGGGTACCTGATGGGGAAAGCTGCAATGGGGTTGAGCCTCACACCTCTGATACCACATTCAAGTGTGACAACAAAAGTCGTAAAGGGGTTTTACTTAAAGCCAAGAAGATCTACCCTTATATTGAAAATACAGAGAAATACAAAGAAATGAATAAAAAGTTGTCGTTTTTCACAGATGTCTATAGGATGACGAATCGGCTAGGCGAAAAAGATAAAAGAAAAATTGATGCTGCCCATCGGAAGGTTCTTGAGGACGCATATACCAATGTCAAATTTTCACCAATTAGCGGCTCATATAAATATTTAGTAAACCAAATGAAGTATAAGAAGATGGTCAAGAAATTCTACAAGTATGTAGATACTTCCAATCTGACTGGCAGTTTCTTGAACAAAAACCATGTAAACATTAACTGATGGAAATCTTAACACTGCAAAAGTAAGATGCTAAACTTTGCAAAAGGCCTTTAGTTTTTATTCTTAAAGAGATTTAAACCATTTTGACACTAATTACTGATAGAGAAAGTTTTGAAATATATGTTTACCATTAAGTTTGCTTTCAAATTATAATCATTGTCTAGTCTAGGCACAAAGCACGAACTTTAGCTAGAATTGCTTCCACTGCATTGTGTTTGTATAAAAAAACAGAAATGTTACCAAATACAAAGGATTTTCATTTCCTTTTCCTATTTTACCAATAAAAGTGCGATCTCTAAGCCTTATTTGATAATGCTGATCACCAATATCTTTAGGCAAATTGACTAACCAATCAATATTTGTGGTGAAAAGCTTAAACCGTTGATATTTGAAAAATAAGATTGATGTTTGAAAAAATTGAGATTTAATTTTGCAACTCATAAAATTATCGTAAGTAATTTTTTTATCGAGAGATGACTTCATTGTTGGTTATCAATTATTGACCGAAAAAAGATGTAAATGCTAAAGCGATTATGATTATTGATCTTGATTATGATGATGCTGACGTTGATTATAATGATTACAACAAAAATTACACGCCCATCTGTTGTGCACAGGCGATTTGTTTCTCATTATCAAGGGTTTTAATCATATGGCGGATTGTAGTTATGTATCGAATTTATACCTTTGTTTTGTTTCGTGAAAGGTTAGTGACGACCTTCAGTTTGCCTCTGAGAAAAATTCTATGAACAGTCAAAGATTGCTGAAATTGTCATTCTTTCTTAAATGAAATGAAAGCAAGTATCGGTGTATGTAGAAAGCCAGGCTCATTCACGCAAGGAGCTAAAAAGTCTTTTGAACTCAAGCTCTTTGCTGGCCACCAAATACATGATGTCACGAAGACCTAATTAAGGTAATCACTGCTTCCTAGATTAACAAAAATAACTTGATTTTAGTTTACGTGTCATGAAAATTAAGCTCTAAAAATAAGCACCCAAAATTCTTTTTGCTCGTAAGATTGATCAGATAAACAAAGATTTCTTTAAAACGTTTACAGCTGAAATCTGTGGTTAGAAAAATCTTCGAAGTTTGTGGCAATTATTAGAAAATACTTCAATAATTTATCATAAAAGGGGGACGTAATGAGTTAGAATTGCTAATTTTATTGTGTGATGCATAGAAAGTCTTTTCAAATTCGTTCCTTATTGTGTGCAGGTGAAAGAAAATTAGTTGATCTTATACTGGTTTTTTACTGCCCAAATTTCATAACAGGCAGCCACAGAGGACGCCGTAGAACAAAATTGCATTTAGATGAGTATTACCATGTAAGAGAAATACTTTTGTAAGGAGAGGCTATCAGGAACTGCAAAGCTTGGAAAAAGTTTGACAGCAGATCTAAGGTGAGTTTAGGTGCCTTATAGGGTTGAATCAATAAGACGATGTAGCATTGATAATTGCTATATCGCACTTAACATTCTAGCACGTATTTTATTATATCAATCTCTTAATGTACAGTTTCTGTAAGTTTTAAGTGGAGAGACCCTTGTAGATTAGCAAGTAACTTCTTTCTAAATTTCATAGTAAATTCAGTCCATGAAAAAAAATATTCGAATATATCGTATAAAGCTGACCTTTCGCACCTAGCTGATTTCTGTCATTAAAAACATTCTGGGTTTGCGGTACACAAAGGAAGGCTTTCAAAGGCATTGTTCTTTGATTGTAACTGTTGCATACTGTATTAGGTGAAGTGACTGAAAACATGTTACAAGGAAATTCGTTATGGTGACATCATAAGTAGGTGGCACATGCATTTCGTATAGACACAATGAAATAATTGCATTTTCTAATTTGATGAAACGTCACACAAGCTTCTACATGATTGGGCTAAAATAGGACTTTATCGACAAATAACATTTCTTTAGACTATATGGTATAGTATGTATGTTATTGTGTTTGGTCAATTAGTGGACTAAATCAATAAATGATGGTTTATTTCTATTATTTCTGTGTCATATATCTCAAGCAGCTCAAACTAAAAGTTATATTCGAGAGAAAAAGCAGAAGAGAAACTAGTGTTTTTATCTAACCTTAAATAGGTAGTGAAACCAAATATAAATGCTCGCATAAATAAATAATCGATAAAAAATTCAGTTCAAGGGAAATGCTCAGTCCATTCAATCCGACACTAAAGTAGATAAGTAACATCAAGAAAACCACAGTGGTGGTTTCTTTACAAGATTTAGTTGGAAGTAAAATGGGATTCTGCTTGGTCTAGTCGTAGAAAGACGCTTAAAAGCAGATTATCAAAACAGATTGAGGCTTTAAAAGAAGCTTTAGCTCTCTGGCGCAAATAAACACACAGGTAAGGAAACCCTGTAAATAAACGTGGCTTTGAAGGCAATTAGAGTGTGGCTGGAAAACCCAAACACCCAACCAAATGAAGTGAAATGAAAGTAGAATAAGCGAAAATACTTACAGCACCGATAAAAGTGATTGTTCTATTCAGTGCAGGAATGAAAGTAGATATATCAGTGGAGAGGTGCTTTTCACTATTTCAACCAAAACATTTGGGTTCTTTTTTAAGGTGAAATCTTTCAGAATACTAAGTGGATATAGCTTTTCACTCTACTGAGAAAATAAGCAAACACATGACCGTCGTATAAATAATTATTTGTTTCTTTTTTCAGGAAATTCAGCACTAAACTCGCATTGGCAGAGATCCTTGCATTCTACTGACAGCAAAAATTAAGAAAAAATATCTGATTTTGGGCTTTCCTAGAACTGAAGATTAAAGCATAAATACTTCTAATGTTTATCCATTTTCCTAATTGATAATATCTAGGCGACCTATTTAAGTTATTGGAAAGGCATCAATATGAGTTTTCTACAGAAAAAAGTGGCTGCGAGTATTGAGAGAGCGTCGCAGTGGAGACCAGCAGATAGCATAGCGCGGTCCACCGCGGGCCGAATGTCGCCTCTTACCACGATAGCAGTCATCAAAGATTTCCTACAACGGCAAGGAATGGACAACCAAAGCTGGAATATTACGGAAATTAAAGACCTGACTCTTCCGAGCATGCGCATAACAAAGCCAGTTGTAAAGGGCCAAATCCTAAGGGCTCCCTCTAGATCTTTGATATCGAGGAACGAAAACGCACTTGATGATGTAAGAAAAATATTGTCCAGTCCAAAATCACAACAAAATTACAAAGTTCCTCTGATTCAGGTAACTGCTGATAGCCCCACATCTGAAAAAAGTGACCATGCGAAGGAGAAAAATGCTGCTGACCCTGACTTTGAGGTTCAAGGAAAAAGTAAATCGGGAAAAACTTGCAAAGATTGTCTGCAAAAAAGCAATTTCAAGCAAAATGACCTGTTTAAGTTACCACGTGATAAACTCAAGACGTTTGACAGGGAAAATGAAGGGAAAATTTCAACAACTAATGAAGCCAAAGAGAAAGATTCTGACAGCAGCGTAGGATCATTGGATTATTACTTCGTGTGCAGTGCAGAGGAGAGTCCATCGGAAGCATCAGTTACAAGATTATTTGATTTCCTTGATGACAAATATTTCTTAGAAGGAACAAAAACCTCGACAAGTAATGAGCGTGAGAGTAAAAATGGAGAGCACAACGGCAAAGTTTCTGGAGAAAGACAAGGTTTTGAAGAAAGAAATATCACTGTTCACTATAAAAACAACAGGGAGGGTGGCACATCTTCAAAAAGAAGGACTTTTCGCTCTAAACAAGCTAGTATGATATCAGAGAAGCAAGGAGGCACAAAGCCCTTGGAGGTCGTATTACGTGGTGGACACGATGATAGAGAGGAAGCTGAGTACGAAGAACGCGAGATTCCAGATTTTGAGATGATGGTTAAGAGATTTAACGAGGTATCCCCATTAATAAGTGGTTTCAACAAAAGGTACCCAAAGCTGCGAGTTTCCTTTAAACACTTAGTGAATCATATGAACCATAGACGCCTTGTGAAGAAGTTTTACGGCTTCGTCGATTCCCAACGACTCAATGCCAATTTTTCGCCACAGAACTTGCTGCTAAACTCAGGAGGCTTGGACGTCAGACAGGGGAACACACTTCAGCGACGGAAAAATGGACCTGGAAAGCTGCCGACGGGCCTTGGTAAAAGAGATCGACAACGAAGCAGAAAATTTATAACTTTCAGCATAGGCAACAAAATGGAGAAAGAAAAAACATGATCAAATTCGTGTTTGGTATTCTAGTGCTTTGAGTGTGACTGACTTTGAGTAAGAAGATGGTGCCATATGGTAGAAACTTGTCACAGATTTTTTTCAAGAAACGACCTTGTGTGAACTCAAATCATAATGTATTCATATATTCCAAATTAGATGATTTGATCTATATACTGTCCGATTATGTACCTCAACAGTTTAATGAAATTATTCTCTCGTAAATCCCCTCGAATTTGATGTCAGATTATATTGAAATATCAAAGAGCAAGTATTTAGACATTTAAAATCTTGCAACAGGGTAGGAGCATTTAAATCTATGGTTTAGAGGAAATCAAACAGGATTGAAAAAATACAACTTTACACACACAAAACATTTTGTTTTGTATTCCTTAGTCAGAAAATGTCTCGTGCTTCTCTCTTTCAATCAATGCTACTTAGTGTCCATATCTATTTCAATAAATTTGCATATCATATATCCCAAAAGACAATTGCTACTTTGTAGGAACTGTCAAAAGACTTCTAAGATCAAAGGTATGATTCTAATCCCTTAGAATAAGGTCATCTATTGGGCTTGACGATACACATGGGACACATAAACGATAGCCGCCTTGCCCGCCTACCCCTGGTAACAGTGCCAAAAGGGCTTAGAAGAGGTTTTTACTGCTCTTCCAATTCTTATCAAACTATGATCTACCTAATTGTCCTAAAAATGGATAAAAATGTGCTGGGTAGGGTTTGGTAACATAAGGGAAAATTTATTATCTGGGAAATGGCAATATTAGACAGTTTAGCATAGAAACTATAAAAAACCAGGCGTTTTTGCAAAATAAAAGGGAATGATTACCCATATTCCCCAATGACAACAATCTGACATTCTACTGTTATTTCTTGCTATTTTGGTGGTAGTCTATTGCACATGTGACAGAATAGTCAACAGATTCCTTGGGCCCATCTTTTTTACTTTTACATATTTTGAGGCACCAACACGATAGAGCAAAATAAAAGAAGGGTGATTCACTTTAGGGAAGGGGGTATTGCATGTGTATGCTTTTACAGAATGATCTTACAGTTAGGGCATTTTGATTATGGCTTTAAAAAATCAAATATTTCTTTTCTTATGATTGAGAATATCACATTGTCTCAGTTAATATTGACAGTTATTATAATTTAAAAATTCCATCATAAAACACATTTTGCTAATTCAGGCATTTGATTTATTTTCATGTCACAGATGGATGGCATTAAGCGGTGACTCTAGTTTTGAAATGTTCAAATACTAAAACTTTAGAACTCTTACTAAAATATCTTATTACAAAATTTATCAGCAAATAAAACAGCTGATAAAATGAGCACCTTTGGAAGATTTTAATAAAAGGGCTGTGGAATATGAGCTCCTAACTCTATTTCAAAGTCTTTTCTGGGGTGTAGTCAACTAATTTCTTGATAAATTTAGAAAATTGTTTATTTACACAAAGGCATAAAGTAATGGAGATGCTTCACTGTATTCATTTGGAATTGGCTTTCTACACAAGGGGCAAATTCCTTTCTGCTTGAGCCATCCCTCAATGCAACCAAGGTGATATCCATGCTTACAAGGACAAATGACAACTTGCGCACCTTCAACAAATGCTTCAATGCAAACTGGACAAACATCATTGTTACATTTAGATGACACACCCAGTAGTCTATTTATTTTTTTCCCTGAATACTTTTTTATTGCACAGTGGGGCATCATTGCTTTAACCCTGGCTTTTTCAGCTGCAGAATGAGCACTAGGCCTAGGATATTGATTGTTGTGTTGAGAGCTGCCATTAGGCCGTTCTGCCCTACTATCCAAGCTCTGATACGGTCCATTGACTTGATCTCTGTTACAGCAAAAACAGCAAGCGCATAAATTTCTTTGCTCTGGTCCTTGAGACGACCCTGGACATGGGCAACAGCTGTAAATGGTTGAGACAGCACAAATAGAAAATGATAGAATAAGAAGTGCTACCAGGATCCAAAACCAAATAAACCAGTCGCTGTTTCCATCCATCACAGTGGAATTTTCAACTTTCATTCACGTTGAGCTGCATGATTTTCAGAAACAGGAAGGAGAATTGTATTATTTCCGGGAACTGTCAATCAATTCTTTATTAGGTCCTCAATTTTGGCTTACATGTCAGTAGACTGAGATTTTGGCCAATATAATTGATATAAGCATTTGTACTGTTCTTACTTTTGAGAACTGTATCTTTTATTGAATATTGCAGTGGTACGCAGTATATCAATGATGCACTTACTCGGTCTCCCCAATTCACAACGCCTTTTTGGAATGCAAACCCAAGTTTTTTCATAAACAGCAGGTTGCAGCCAATGTCAGCTACTAAATCTTAACTTCTAGGCAAGAAATTGCGCCTGTTTAGCATCTGCTGTCCTTCCATGGTCGTCGAAACTTTCCGTTACTAGTATCACAACATCAACTAGTTTGCATAATGTTGTTGAGGTTCTTAGCCTTCTCAACTTACCAGCAGCCTCGTTCTGGCGTAGAATTATTTTTTTTTGTTCATTTTCACAAAATAACTTTAGATTCTAAGAATACGATAAGCAGCATGACATCTTTTACAAGTTACACCTAATGATAATTGTTGAATAAGTAATAAACAGGCAGAAAAGTAATGAATTTAAAGAATTGAACCGATTAATCGTTGAAACCAAACAAAGCCACAGAACAATACGTTTCTGATTACCACTGTTTTTCACTGTTACTTCTTGGCGACATTACATGATTTTTGGCGATATATCCTTTCCTTTTTGGTGTGAAGACTAGACCATAAAGGTTGAACATTGGCTCTACTTTATCCAAGATTTCAAAACAGTAATCTTTTTATACCATGGATACGCTAAAATTTATACTAGGATAGAGAAATCACGAACCCGCGATTGGCAACTAAAGCCATCTTTTACTAACAAGGATAAACTATTTCTTTTCCATCGGTAAGTTTTGCATCTCATGTTACTAAAAACTCAATAGTGTTATAAACAGACTGGAACCGGGGGTTTCAACTAGCAACATTGGCACAAAGGCTGAAACTATAATATGCACACGGAATTACGTTTTGGTTAATAACAGTTAACGGTGCAGCAAAAAGAGGTGTTAAATTCATTTGTAGATGAGATAACTTCATTTTGTAATGAAAATGCTAGCAATTTTGAGGATGCTAAAAGGCTATCGAAAGTAACGTCTTTTTACTACAATATTTAGAGAATGAAAGAAAGTTTTTATGCATGCCACTTACCCCCGGTTGATTGTTGCAAAGTACATAAATGTAATTTCGTGCACAATTCAGGCTCTATCCAAAGCAAACACAGGTAGTTGAAGCTACCAGTGGGCAGCACACCTTGGCTACGGATAAACAGTTGCTGCACATTTTCAAGCAATTTGTGGCAACATGGCCGGGCGCCCTAGTTTAGGAAAGATCTCCGAAGAAGGTAATCATGGAAATACATCTGTGGCTGAAGATAGAGTCAAAGAAGTGGAAAATGGCGAAGACGTGTCGAAAGAAAAGAAAGTAGCTAAGTCAAAGGCACGCAAAACGTCAGTTTTTACGCAAGACATGAAGCCAAGGAATTTGAGGTCTACATTCACTCTTGTCCATACAGATCAACCATTGCCCAATAGAGTGACATTTGCTCCTTCACAGAGTGACGGAAGTGAACACTCAGGCAGACGTGTATCTGGGTACGACAATCATGCATCCAATAAATACGTCCAGCGTGCAACTTATCAGATTGGTCCCCGCAAGGAGTTTAGTGTCACTCAAGTTAAAAAAATAATAAAGGAGACATTAGAAACTGATTTATCAGACAAGGATTTATACGCACCTAGAAGTGTTTTATGCAAGAATCTAGCCGAAGCAATTAAATTGAAAACAAGAAGACTGAATTACGATCGATACAGAATCATCGTCCATGTTTTCATATCTTCTAAAGACAATGTGACATTGAAAATTTCAAGTAGATGTGTCTGGGATGAAAAAATCGATAATTATGCCGACTATATGTATGAAACAGAGGATTTCTATGCTCTTGGCATCGCCTATGGAGTTTACAAAGAGTAGGACCTGTCAATCATTATCGAAGATATACAGGATAAAAGCACTGCCTGGAGGAATGAGAGTAAACACCTATCGAAGCACATTTGATGGCAAGTCCATTTTTGAACTAAGAAAAGTTACAAAGAACTTAGAAAAGGAACTTTCTATGCATGAGAAAACCCCTGAGTTATCAGATGTTTCTGATAGATGTTGGGGAGCCCTAACAGAGGCTTAACGTATAATATTGTAAGATAATTTGTACAAGGCCAATTTATAATTTTTCCATTTTTGGTCTGGAACATGACTTGACTTTCAATGCACTGGCTTTACAAAAACTGCCTTTAGGAAAATACTGCAAGCAAAGAATCCTTTTGGTTCTTTTGTTAAATTATTGTGTTTTATCCTTCATGATGAGAAAGCAATCCGTTGGTATTTTATTTAACAAAGTAAAAATCAACGGCCGTTCAAATGTCTTTCCAAAGCAGAAAAGACTATCACGACAGCATAACTGAATTTTCCGCTACAAAAATCTTCGAAAATCATAATAACATTCAACATTTCAAGTTACCTCCTCTACCATTCGCAAGGATATGTAATGGTGAACTACGAACAACTTTTTCAATGGGCGACATTCAAGGCCTATCACCAAGAGGTTAGTTTTAGAAGTGCCTGTTTATGTGTCTCTAGAGAAAAATTTTCAAAACCTTTCATTACTGTAAGGCTGGACAAACATTGATTATAAAAAATTAATGAAACAGAGGCCCGTTGGCATGATGACTCTCCGATATTTTTTCTGCTTTCAACTAACCCAAGAAGAAAGTAGTTCTATAGAAGAGATTGTTTGGGGCAAGCAAAATGTTGAAGAGGCCTACCATACGTTAGAAAACCAAAGAAATTTAATTAAAGCTACACAGTAAGTTCCAGGAATTTCATATGCTTGGACACAAGAGCCCGCAAACGCAGTTGTTTGGTCAGGCCTCACACACAAAAGCCGACAATTAAGCTCATACATTTTTAAACAAAACCCAATTAGTATTGAATATATTTCCAATCAAGAAAACGAAAATCTCACTAGGGTTTTACTAGGGGCATATCCATAAAGCCACTTCTGAAGTACGAAAGTAATCACTTTTCGAGTCAGGGGCTAAATATAGCATCATTTTGATTGTTAAACGACTTTCGGTACCATTAATGAAAACTGACTCTCTAAACGTGATGCTAAATTGGAGATATGCGATATGCTAGGAGAGAGGAACATTGATTTGACAGTATGAGCAGATGAATATGTCTGAGTTATAAAATATATCACATATGCGAGTCCGACTCCAACTGACAGGGCGCAAAAAATCATAAGCCAAAATGTCTTCCCTTGGGCCAGTTGAGGAAAGTAACATTTATCAATAAGAATTACCGATAGGTCTGGAAACACTGCACCTATCCTTTCCCGTGGACAATCCAGTGGTGGCGCCAGGGGAGGGCTAGGGGGGCTACAGCCCCTCCGTCGGAAGCATCTAGCCCCCCATCGGAGGAAATTTTAGGTTATTGTATGAGCAAATTTGACAAAATAACGTACGAAAACTGCTTATTTTAGTCATTTTAGCCCCCCTGTCGGAAGCTCCAGCCCCTCTGTCGGAAGATTTCTGGCGCCGCCTTTGGAACAATCCCCTGGCTTCAAGGTATGCATTTTAAATGGCTTCTCTCAGCTACACTGTTATGTTTCTTGGAATGTATTAAGTCGTGGGGACTTATCAAAAAGTGACGACAAGGAGAGTTCGAGGAGCAATCTTTTTTAGAGAGCCAGAAATTTTTCAAATATTCATTTCAAATCTCATTTCAAATTTTTCAAGTCTCATTTCAAATCCTGCCCAGGAGCTTACCCTTCTGCAAAACGATCAGAACGATCTCGGGTACATGTCACAAGAAGGAACTTATCTTTTCAAAAAGTTTTTTTTCAAAATAGCACAAAATATGGGGAGGTATAATGAAAAACAAATTTTGGAACTGAATTGTACTTTTCCTTCAAGAGCCATCGGGGTATAGAACGTCTGCTAATAGCTAAAAACTGAAGGGAAAGTTATTAACAGGTGGGATTCGAAACTCAAAAGTAACGTGTTGAAGTGTTCAACAGAATTAAGTGTTTAATCATTAATGAGCCGCTGTTCAACCTTGTAAATTTTTTGAATCCTTGTAACTGGTATTTGGTATCAATTAAAGTCGGTACTGCCTGTAGGCGGACAATTCAAATCATTTTTATTGGGACTACAACTGGGGAGTGTTTGTTTTTATAAAAAGAGACAATACGACATTGTCTAAATAAAGAAATGTCATAGGGGCTTGCGGAGCAACTGTCCCACCCCTATTTAGTTTGTTATAGAACCCTTGCTAAGAACCACCGTGAATGCAACTTTAATGATATTCCATAATTCAAATAAATTGACAGTTTCCAGGAAGATTTCGAATGGAACAGGCCTTAGCAACAATAACACAACAGCAACAACAAAATCCACGGGTGAAGGAGCCGACGAATGTGGCCTTTGAAGGCCTTTGGTTTGTTTACGTTTAGACAACAAGAGGATTAAACCCACTCTTATGAACTGATTGGATCGCAAGTAAACAGGGTCATATGTTAGTCTAAGGAGCTTCTTCTCGGCTTGATGGGGAACTGCATTTCATGCAGGGTCTCCGATGGGAGTAAAAAGCAAAGTGTGCCAGAGATTTTGCCTGCTAGGCCCGATTCGAAGGAAAATAACAGTGTGGAAATATCAAGAGATGGAACCTCAGGCGGTGACACAGACTTCCTTAATAACACAATTAAAAGTGGAAAGACAGAAGATACTTTAGAACGTGCCTCATTTACCACGCTGAATGGTCCTGTCAGGCCTAATTCGGGAAGACAGAAAAAGCTCTCAATTTGCTCTACTTACTCTGGCAGAGGACAACTTGAAGTCCCCCATGGCATCCCTGAAGACAACATCTTAACAATATTCGACTTTTACAATATTCTAAATGATGGGTCATTGAATCCATACATACACGAAGAAGGTAATGTTCTTGTTGTCGACTGCAGAGACATTGAAGCTTACTCTAAAATGCATGTGATAACAGCCAAACACCAAGATGAAGTCAAAGATGCTGCATTCCAAGCAGGGCTTGGCTACTCAATGTTCAACCTTGTGATTATTTATGGAACAAACCTGAGGTATGATAGGAGCAAGGTCCTGCAGACTTTTTGGAATGAAGTATCCGAGAGCTTTGCAGGAGAAGTCCTTCTTCTTTTAGAGGGCTTTGCTTCATTCGAAGAACAATTTCCTTTCATGTGCAGAGAGGAACCAATAAGAAACGTTTGGGAAAGAAGACGAATTATCACTTACCCATCAGTTGTAATCAACAGCAAGTTATACCAAGGAAATGGTGAGCAGGCAAAAAATAAACGCATCCTTGATGATCTAAAAATAAAACATATTGTTAACATAACAAAGGAGCATCAAAATAAGTTTGAAGGTGAAGTCAGTTATCTAAGAATTGCCATAGAGGATGAGAAAGGAAGTGACTTATCAAAGTATTTTGAAAATGCTTGTGAGTTTATTGAAAAAGCATTAAAGAAGAAAAGTGCTGTTTTTGTGCATTGCAACCTAGGGGTGAGTCGCAGCTCAACCATTGTCCTTGCATACTTGATGAAGTCACAAACTTTATCTCTAGCAAATGCGTACACATTTTTGAAATCAAGAAGATCCTGCATTAGACCAAATATTGGGTTTTTAACACAGCTTTCAGAATGGGAATTTTCAATCCTTGGGAAAAAGGTCACAGATGTATATAATCTTTAAAAAGTAGATTTTTAAAGAGGAAGAGAAAAAAGTAGCTGTTGGAGTGATTTTTGATATACCTGTTAGTGTGAATAAAACTATATTGTGTGATTATGTATTTACTTGCATAATTAGATGTTCAATGTTCTAGTTCTCTATGTTAAAAGATAAGTTATAAGTTATAAGTTAAAAGAGGCCTTTGCTCAGCCCAACCCGAGCTTTCTTGTTTTTGTTCATTATGCAACTCCCAAAAGCTAATGTTTTATTCAATATGTTGCTAATCTGTAACTGATTTAGCTAATGATGTCTTTGACAAAAGCTGAATTGTCTTCAAGACTTTAAATAAAATGCATCAGTTTCAGGTTCATGTGATAACTCTTGTTATAGGATTATAAAGTAAGACATTATGTGTACAACTGACAAAAATGTATCTTTTTTAAGATCAGGGTTAATTAAGAAGATGTTATCATTGTAAAAGCTTAAAACTTGATTTGTTTCCGAAACCTAATTAAAGTAAAATGATTTTTTTAGATTATAATTAGAGATAAAATTGTACTTTCAAAGCTTATTTTTTATATATTTTTTAAAAGTACTAAAGTGCTTTCAATCAAGTAACGCCAAGAGAAAGGAAATATCTCATTCATCATCTCAAAAGCTTCTTTATAATAAACCCTTTTCATTGATAAGTTGTTGGACCTTGACCAGAAGATGAATTCATCATGAAAAGATTAAAAAATTTTGTTGGTTGGGATAATTTTTTTTGTAACATCTCTGTTTTCTGTACTGCTCTGATATTCTATTCAGATTAAATCTTGTATATCAGATTAATTCTTGTATACCATTGTTTCAAAGAAAAAACATGTAGATTTATAAATGGCTTTGAAAAAGCAAGCATTTTAGAACATACTTAAGCTTTCCATCTGACACTCTTCGGAGTGTAAAACATCAGAACGTAGATCAAAAAATCTATCCTTGGAAATATACATACCCAGTTGTGGAGCAAAATAGACCAGTCAGAACCGCGATCACATGACTGTTGAGGTTGCCCAATCAGTGCTGCTTTCCTATAGAAGATGTTACCAATGGAGTCCTAAGGTGAAAGCAAACTCCTTCTGTCTAAACAATATTGTTCTAAAATGTTTGCCTTTTTCAAAAGCCATTTTTAAATTCTGTACCACAAATATATAGATTTATGTGCATTTGTGTCACACTTGGTACTATGTAACTGATAAATGATTTATGGTAATAAAAAAGTAACATTTAGTTTGTATACACAAATTAACTTTTATATCATCAATAAACTTGCACTTCCCAAATTTTTGGTTTTTGTCAACTTTTTTCTATGATTGCATATGTTTTTAAAAAAGGGCTAAAAGTCATTCATTAAAAAATGAATAATAAACTCTGACTCTTGTGTTAATCTACAAATTTCTCTCAACAACTTTTGCCAGTGATAAAACTTTCAAGTTTGGATATTTTCAACTTGCTTAAAGATTAGGTTGGGGGAAATCTCAGCCTTAGTCTTTATGTAAAACATTTCAAAGCAACTTAACATGTTTTCAGTACAAACACTCTCTTAATATTTGTTGTCAGTCCAATGAATGCAACAAATAAACTGCATATAAACTTATATGTTAAATTAAGAGTGTGCATACAAGCTTGTCCATTTATCTAATACGCTTTTAATATCTAAAAGTCATTTTTAGCATGAGCATTTAGCAAGGCACTGTCAAACTTTAACTAAAGCCATTGCAAAGGTATGAAGTCGTTTATTAATCATACTTTTCAAGGGGCACAACCTGACAAAATTTTGAAAAAGATGTAGAAAATGGCCCCAAAGGGTTTTTGAAATGGTTGCTAACAGTTATTTAGGCGATTGGGTATCAAATAACTGAGCAGCTATCTAGTTATTTTCCTTGTACATTAGCAATGACCTAGATACAATAATTTCACAAAGTTGCTCTTATTAGAGTAGGTGATTTAAGTTCTATCTGTGTTATCTTGTATGCAATGATTCCGCTAAGAATGGTAAAATACACAATTGGAAAATGCAGCTCGAAGAAAGCTCTGATATATCATACCTTCTTTCACAACGAATAATTATTTCATTTTCGAAAGACTTGCCATGAGGTATCAGGTTGCTACTCTTCTTGTTTCAGGAAACGTTTCTTGAGAAAATAATTCGCGCCAAGACATTAAATCGGAGGTCTGGGAAGGAGCCTCATGGTGACAAACGTCATTTCGCATCAGTCTCTTCTGCGAAATAGAACTAAAAAAGCGCTTATTGTAGAAATTAACAAGTGTTAATAACCTCAGCATATAAAGTTAACGTACTCAATTAACGGCTGTTGGGTTTTTGTTGGTTTTTAATGTCCAGCATCAATTGGCCCTAATTTGTTGGTGTTCTGCAAAAGTAAAAAAAATGAAATTTTTGGCTAAGTGAAATTGCACAACTACTTCCTGTCTAGATAGCATTTTTTTATAGAAAGTTTTTCATGCATCATAAAGACAAACATTATTCCAATCACCTGACGAAAGTGCTTTTGTCCATTTTCAGATAAATTACAAAAACCGATGCATCCAACCAAATGCATGTCTCCAGAAACGCTTTCAAAGTGACTAGATATCTATGGCCTAACATGACTAGTAACGTGAAAAAGGTGACTAGTTTTGGGCTGTAGGTGATGAAAATAGAAAATTCGTACATTAATTAAAACTCAGTACAAAAAATCACTTGAGAGGTAAAAACCACTCTGTGAATACACGAGGTTTCTTCGCAGTCGGTCTAAAAAAACTGACCATCCATTTAAAACAACGGTTAAAAATCTAAGACTTCAGCAGATTAGAAAATCCATGTTGGTATATATTGTGCAACACGCAGAATGACATTGATGAATACTTCTACCATAGTCAAAAGAAAAAAATTTTTATAGAAAAATATAAAAACCGTTTATTTTAGCTCATTTATTTTTGCAAAATGTGGGTTGGCCATGCCCCTCTGTCGTCGGGGACCCTGGGCTTAATGTAAAAAAATCTCTAGTAAGTAAAGATCACGCTGGTGTGAAGCACGTAAACTTATTTCTCCCTTGAAGATGCACATTCTACGAAAAATAATTCAGATGTAACTACGAAAAGTAAATAGGGAAAACTCTGCAAGTGAGAATGATAAGGAAAAAAACCTTCTTTTTCAAGGTAAGACTAATGTTAGAAATGCATAGAGTGAGTAGGCGAGAAAAGCATAGAAATACACACGTCTAAAACATTATACTTGTACCCCTAAAGAGCCAAATTCAAACAGCAACGTTGCGTTTTTTCTATGATACAGATAAAGTACAGTACATTCCTTTTCTCGACTAAGGTTATAACGACCAGCCCTATAACTAAGGTGTAAATCGACCCGCATAACTGCAGTGAGCTATTGGCTCTGGGAGGCGATCAAATTGTTAGCGAACTTGAGATTTTAAAGAAAACTGTAAACTATATAAACAGTTTGTCTGTCAGAGAGTTATCGAAATTGAAGACATCAAAAACCCTCTGAAGATCACAGCCAGCTTCCGCCAATCCTCTGTCATTTTTCCGCTTGAAACAGAATACCTAAGATTACCTTCAATTTAACATCGACTTTACACAGGCTTATAATGCATACCTCACGAACCTTATTTAGTAAAATGCAAAAAATCTATACTCAGTTATGGCGCAGTGAATTTTATTTTATTACGTAATATAAAAACCATAGAAATTATCCTAATACAATGTGAACACGTACGAGGCTATAAAAGGTTAAATTGTGACTAGGAGGCAGGTTCAATATTGATGCTTTCAGTTCTTTTTTGCTCTTCGTCTGTCACTGAAATATGCAAGGAGCAATCCCTGTGGATAAAAATACTACGTTGAAAGGAGAGGCTTTGCAGTTGATTTGACCATTTAGCTGTTAGCTGCTGCTATCAAACACAAGACAGCAATTAACATCACATATTTATCAAAAAACATCAACCTATTCTTTGTAAACTTACCCAGCAACTATAAGTGACCATAAAAGAATGCACTTACAAAGGATAATCTAATCAATCTCTACACGTAAACATAATAATTTTATCATTTCTTGATTATTCTACTCTGTTCAGATCTTGACTTTTTCATAGTAAGCAACTTCAAACTTGCTTCAAATTATTCTCTTTCGTTGGTGAGAGAAAAGAGCATTTGTAAGTGTCATTTAAAAAAAAGAACAGGATGACCATGTGCCCTTTCCTGCTTTGCATGATACAGAATAATCTAAATTTTGTGAATATATTGTTTTAATGCGAAATAAAATATTGTTTGATGTGTTTGAATTTTGTTTGATACTCAAATGATTTAAAGACATGCATGAATGAAAATAAGGCAACTGCAAATCTTGTTGCAGAAATTTTGAGAAAAGAAAACATAAGGCCCATCAAACAAGAAAAAATGAGTCAGTGGGCATGGAGAGATCTCTGACAGACTTTCGAGATAACGGACATCGAGATAACCGTATTTCAAAAGAAATTGTAGGTCCAATCGTAGGCCCACAAGAATCTTATTCTTTCTAGTTGATTCGACACTTTTTGAAACGCTAGAAACGTCATACTTGAATTTTGCTTGCTGAAAAACTGTGAACTATGACTGCAAAGTCTGCATTACAGCAGGAAAGGTATACTACATTAGCTGCAGACAAACTAGAGAAACCCTGCTATGAGTTTAAGAGCAAAGCTTCTTTTAAAAATTGAGTTTATTACTTGAAATGTCTTAGTGATTGGAGCTTGCAATTTAGCCAACATTCAGAGAGACCTTTCACAATTCCTTTTATTCCTCACATCTTTACAAGAAAAGTTCTAGAAATTCGTTACCTTGTCATTTCGAGCGTTGACGTAATTTTGCTCCCTTTCTTCACATCATTCAAAACAACCTATCAGAAACAATTGATGATAAACTTAGTTTAAAGCTTACGATTAGACTTTGAAATAATATATAGCACATAGCAAAAAGGCATGTGTGCGAGGCCACTGGTGGCTCCTGGAACTGATTCGATATTAGAATATATCAGAGGTTCAGAAAAATCAAATGCAAAACTAGCTCGAATCACTAGCAGGCCCTGGCCGCGAAAAGTTAGCGAAATAATCTGGGAAGTCCTTTTTATCATCAAATTTCTTTCACCTAAAAAATTAAATGTACGAAACTTGCATTTGATGTAAATCTATTTTGGTTATATCAATCTTAGCTCTAAGATTAAAGGCATTGAGTCATGATAAAATGGATTGGGTATACCCTAAGTGCCAAAATCCGCTGAGTCATGATTTTCATGACTGCGATGCCATTGGTTGACCTGGAACTGGTCACATGAACTCACCTCGTACTGATTGACAAAACAATTTTCCTCAATAGCAAGTTGTCAACAACGGATGCCAATATCACATGAAACAGCAGAGATCACGCCGAAACTAAATGACCCCCTATAGAGAAGGCCTATTTACCATGACTCAATGCCTTTAAGTATGAACAACGGTCCAGTCATTTATGTTAGCCAAAAGGGGGCATAAGATCAATAAGCCATAGGAATGGGCGTCTGCATACATCAAAGGTACCGATCTGAAATGAAATGACAACTAAAGCCATTTGATTGGCGCGCAAATCCTAAAATACTCAGACGAGTCTCCATCGGTTGTTCGCAATCATTAGAGATGAGAAGGATTATTAGCCTGGAAATTCATTCAAAACAAAAAATAATCATTGTCGAAATTGCGGCGGATTTGATAACAATAAAGCAGATTGCTAGGATTTCAAATGGACCAATGGCCTCATCGTACATATTTGAATACATAACGATATAGTTAATGTTCGGTTTAGAACATCTTAGGCTTAGCGATCTTGAATTAATTTATAAACAGATGCGAAATTCCCAACATAGGGAGGGTAGCAAAGTGATTGAAGCCAAAACTAACAACAAGAATTACAAAATGTCTTCTGCCAATTACAAAGACTGCCATACATAGCGAGTACAAGTGAAATCAATAACATAAAAATAAAGATTTAGTGCAAGGCATTATTGTTGATCGAATGAAAATAGAACTTGAACATAATAATTAGGGTGAGACAGAAGGTGTTTATCATAGCTAGGCGAAATCGGTGGTTGTTTGAGAATAAGGAGTCAATCAAACGTGCCATTCCTTCTCTAGCGTTACTTTCGATTAGAACTTGTTTTAATTACAAAATGATTTATATTCTTGTGATTATTCGGCGTTTAACTGCTATTTCAAATTTTTAATATATGCGTGAAAAACAAGATTATAAATAATTGCTTATGGTGGGTTTGGTTAGAAGAGTAGCCCCTGGCATGCAAGGGTGGCTATATTAAAATTAGGCTTCTCGGTGAATCGAAATCCCTTGGCTGGAAGTCTATTTAGAAATTCATTTGCTGAAGACAAAGAAATTATATAAAACCATATTTAAAACCGGACCTTTCTCGTGTCATATAGCTGATCAGACTTGTCTTTTCAGAAAAATACCCACATCTTTAATTTTCAGCCTTAATTCGACTTTTGAAAAGCACAGCTTATTTTATATATGGGAAAAAGACATCTAATTCTTGTATTTAAAACTGTTTTCACATTTTTTTCTTCAGATGAACATTCTATTAAGCAGGTTTTTTTACAATGTACGTTTTAACGCTGAATTTTAGAAAAACAGGAATCATGATGATGTAGATACTGATGCTAACAAAACAAACATGGCCAAGAAAATGAATTTGTAGACTCATAGACAAAATGATTCGCAATACCTTTGCAATCAAATGTCGGTCGTTCGATGATCCATCCTTTCCTGGGTTGATTTCGTAAAATCGTAAGCTCAATTTTGTCTAGAAAATCAAATGCCAAAAAATTAGAGTTATTGTCGACAAAGGTAGTATAAAATCCATTAAAATCCATGAAGTATCTGGAAATTTTCACAACTTAAAGATAAGAACGAATTTTAAGACATTTAATCAATTTTCAGCATATTGAAAACAAGAGTTGGCTTTTAAAAACATCTAGAATACAGAAAAACTAATCTGCTAAGGTTCAATCCACTATTGCTTAAAGCTACATGAATGGTTGAAAGATATGGCTGTCTTATGGCAAAGAAAGTAAAAAAAGTAGCATCTACAAATACCATAAAAATTTCTTACCCACCAGAACCAAATAATGTCTATTTTTATATTGTGGTCTATTTGAATTTTGATTAATTGATTGTTGAAGTTTCTGGCATATTAGAGACCAGGCATTGACCTTGTTTGAATTTCATTTGAACCAAAATGCTTGAAAATGTCAGAATTCTACTTTATAACTAGAAATCTAGAGCCAAAATTGTTCTCGGCACTTAAAAATATCTTCGATTTATCAGCAATTAATAATAAATAGGAAACTTGAGCAGATAAATTTTGTATCGAATAAATAATTTTGAAATAAATACATAAAAACGTGAATTAAAAAGCTCACATGATCAGACAGTGATTCAAAAGAATGGCGCTTTCTAAATGGAGCTGGTGTGTACTTCCTAATGATGATTTCAAAACTGGATATCTGTTCTTCATTTAACACCTGAAAGAGAAATTAGAAAAATAGTAAACCTCATTACAAGTTTAACTTGATAGTTAGAGAGCTGAACTTAAAGAGAAGATAAATGCATCTACAAATGATGCAAGTGGACGACTGGAGTGAGAATGTCTTCACAAAACTTGACACTTTTTGAAGGTATTTATAGAATTTAAACCACTTGAATTACTCCACTAAAATCTCGTACACCTTAGGCCAAAATCGTTTTGTTTTCGAGAAAAATGCCGGGAACGTCCTTAAAAATAGTATTGTTCGAAAATCTCGTATGCTGTTTGAAAAGTTTTACATCACTCGATCAAAATAGCCTAATGAGACTGAAATCAGCGATTCAAGGTTCTGCCTTAAAAATTAAATTAAAAAGGGAGCAACGTGCAGTGATACCTACCTCTAGTGCTAGGCTTTTTGAAATGCAGTTAATCGGACAAGTCAGGTCAGCAAAATCTATCTCTTCTTTTCCTAGAATAATTTCAGCTTGCTTCGCTGCCCCTATCGCGATGACCTCCTCTGGCTTAATGCTTAAAAGTAGCTCGGCATTTGGAAACTTTTCACTGAATATTTGACGAATCTTTGGCATTCTAGTTGAGCCACCGACAAAAATAACCTGAAATTTCAAAGATGAGGAAAATAAGAAAACAAAGAGATGGCCAAACAGAAAAAACCGACAAACTTTATAGTAAAAAAAAATAATCTTTAGATTTTATGATACACATTTTCATTGCAAAATAAGTTTAGTTGCAAGCGACAAAAAGAGTTCCGAAAGGCAAAAAACAAACCAGGTATGGTGGCATGGTTTTAAAAGGTAGAAGCAATGATGAATCATAATAGATCAAAACACACTAAACACCTAATTCAGAGGATACCTATTTTGGTTGACTAAGAGAACTTGGGAAAAAATCAGAAGAATCGTTTCCGTAACTTATTAAGTGAAAAAAGACTTGCATTCAATTGACTATTACCTTGGAAATATCACTTGGCAAGATTTCACCCTCTTTTAGCAAATCTGTGACAATTTCAAAACTTCTAGCAAAAAGTTCGGCGCAATGTGACTCAAACTTCGCTCTAGAGTAGAAAGAACAGGCGTTAAAATAAAATACAAATCAAAACATCAGTAGCAAAGGCATTGAAAATTATAAAAGATTTTGGGACTCCCTTCTCAAAACAAAGAGAGCTTCTTTGCTAGTTGAGCAGTGAGAGCAATTGTCAAGGGTTTCCAACTGTCAATAAATTCAATAAAAAAGAGATTCAATGAAGTTAAACGAAGGGAAAAGGGACATGTTTGTTGGCATGCTAAAAGCCCTTTGGAGCCAAATCTTTTCAGAAAATTAGTTGTGTGGTGATTAATAAAGATGAGCCTAAGTGATATCTTATTATCGTAGTTTTGACAAATCAGGATCCCTAATCAATGGCGTTATCGGCATAACAAGCTTCAGATATAAATTGTCAGAAAACACTGCTTTGTGAAACTCCGCGATTCTGTATAACAGCAGAAAGTTTCCAGAAACAACAATCAAAAACCATAATAACCTCGTGACTTGACAGCTGAAATCTATCCCATCATGCAACGAATCCACTGAGCACATGGAGTTGTTCATGTTCGACAGGGCACACTTACACTGCTCTGCAGTAACCTTAAGCTTGCGCAATGCCTTTTTGTTATCTTCTATGTCCAGCTTAAATTTTCTATTCAGAAAATCAAATGCATATAAAATGTCAACCAAAAAGAGAATCAAACATTTATTCATAGTAATAACTTTACGAATAAACTAAAATGACAATTCAATCAATCTTAAGGCTGTTTCTCTGATATTTCTCTTCATGGAAATACCAGACAGCAAGATCCAAAAATCAAAATGATCATTGAAATTGCTAACTGAGTCTATTTATATGCAAAGCTTACCAAAAATCTTCAAACAAACAATCAAAGCAAAAAAGATTTCTAAGTTATAAAAACTTCTTTACCAGCTGGCAAAAGGGAATACTGGACAACTTTGGCCTAAGGAAATCACTTAAATTTCATCATAAGAATCTAGTTGCCTGATAACGTGGTCCATTCCGAGCGACAGATTATTCTGCAGTTACTTTCATTAAGAGCCATACCTATAAAATTCCTTCATTAATAGTTTCACTAGAACTTCATCATAAGAATCTCCTCCTAGGTCTTGATTGACTTTTGAAGCAATAACTCTGTACATTCCACTGTTAATTTCAACCAAAGTTGCATCAACAGATGTTCCTCCAAGTCGGAAAACCAGCACCATACTAAAAAGGAACATTTGCCTTCGCATTAATCTAATCAATAGCTTAAAACGATGTTAATCAGTTGTTTAAACGGTATCAATGCAATAGAAAGCATCTTGTGACGTCACAGATTTATATTATACCGCTTCCTAGATATCCAATTATTGTAATGCTTACATATTGAAACAATCATTCGCAAGGTGCAGTGGGCAATGGTTAGGATGGGTCATTGCCTACCTTGATCCAAAAACTATGGGAAGTTAAATATTAATTGGATCAAATGATGCTCTTTTACAAGTATTTAAATATTTTCTTCGGAGAAATCGAACAATTTTGGGGCCAACCCTGCCCCACGAGCCAAAAAAGCATCTAAGGTTCACCATCTCAACCCAAACTGATTTAAATATTTTTAGAAACACTTTATCACAACGTACAATTTTTTTTTAAATGGCTGATTCAAATAGAGCTTATCGTTACGAAATGAAACTTTCGTGACCAACACCTAAAATTGCATATCCCGACTGAATCAACTTGTGCGAAACGATCTGTATTACAAACGGGATATTGATGTTTCTCATTGATAAAAGCCAGACAAGAAAAACCAGTTTCACAAACCTGTTTTCGTAAGAGTCTTCCTGGCCTAGACCTGTGGAGATAACGAAACTTAATTTAGCAGATTGTAAAAGTGTGACGGACTAGGTAAATGCTTCTCATCTGCAGCGAAAAGAATTGACTGACTAACTGGCTCAAGGCCCTTTTACACATCAAAAAATTGTCCACCTAGAGAATGTTCTGTGCAATTTAATGAAGGTTAAAATACTTCTGCAGGAGGCAATTTTCTATTCGCTAGCTGCTTACTGACGTTGCATGTATCTAAATTCTATCAAGCTTAACAGTTGCTTTTCTCGATAAAAACAAGCATTTTGGAACACGAACGAGTAGAAAAACATAAACATAAGAGAAAATAACATGAATTGATATAAGTAAAATACAAAAAATGGCATAAAGATCGGATCTCAACTTCTTGACAATATTATAAAACATTTATTCTACAGAGGAAACACTAATCTGCTGACTACGAATTCAAAACAATAATTAGCTGACATGTCATCAAGCATTGTTGAAGCATCCCTTTTAAGGTTGCTGGGAAAACTTAAATATGTTTATTTACAATTTAGGAAAACCATAGAGGTAAATAGCATGAGATTTTAAGGTAAAGATTCTGAATAATTTAGAAGTATGACTTTTGAGGTTGCAAAACTCACCATATGCCAACAAGGCAGCGGCTGGCTCTGAAATTACCCGTAAGACGTTGAAGCCAGTGCTTTCGCAGGCTTCACTAGAAACATAAGATGTATATTCAAGTTAAGATAAGATATAAGTTTGGGAATCGATTTTTATTATCATATTATGTTGAACTGAACTGATATTGTAAATATAGAAAAAATGGGGGCTGTAAAAGAAAATAATCTGCAGGAAAGACTCTCAAGTGTTAAAAACTAATGAAAGAATACTTAAACTATCCGAAGAAATATATGATTATCAAGAACTCTTTTAATCATGCGTTCTCTTAACACCAATGGGACCAATATGAGAACGCTTATCTAACGAATTTAATTCCTGCATGGCATTTATAGTGATCTGTGTTTTCAGTAATCATAGCTTGATAACAGAAGGGACAATCTCTTTTCCTTCATCAAAGAAAGAAAGGACTTTGTTCGTGACGATTGCAGAAATTTCTGAATGACAGAATAAGGAAAAAGACCCACAATACATAAACATTGACGGCCTAGCTTACCTCAGTTCGATTCTCTGTTTTTCTGTGAACCAAATTGGAACTGTGAGTACAGAATCCTCAAGATCAGCACCTCCTATGGCTTCCGCATTCTCTGTAAGAGAAAAGCAAAATTGTTCAGATAGAAACATAACTATATGAAACAAGGGAATGACAGAATAAAAATCGAAATCACTACCAATTAAAAACACTTTGTAATGCTTAAAAAACTACTATGTTATGTTAATATCAGTAAAACAGAATACATTTATTGCTTTCAGAATAATATTCATGCGGAAAAACACACATAAAAGAAGCATTCTCAAAGAACTCTCTCTGGTAGTTTCATTACAATTATTTGTGCCAAACGATAACTAGATTGTCAAGGAAAATTTGAGTTTGAAAACTGTAAAAATAGACCTTAACTTTCAATGAAGCAGTATTTCAGCTCAAAATACTTGTTCTGGAGAACTCAAAATATAACAAAATTAGCTGCACGAAGTAGCAAATATTTATAGATTAGGAAGCATTACAAGAGTTTATCATACCTAATAATTTTGTAAGTACAAATTGTGATGCCTCAGTGGGACTGACAAAGACAGATGATTCACCAAATGAAACTTCAAAACAAGGGCAGTCATTCTGAATCACCATCTGAAAAATAAAGATAAGAAAAACCTTGATGAGAAACCATAACAGGAAACCCTGGACAGGCTTACCAGAGTAATACTGATTGGGAACAGTATTGTGATGGAAGTAGGTAATATTAATCAAATATTTAAAGTCAAACATCAATTTTTTTTAAATTTATAATCTAAATATTCTACAAAACGATCAAAAACTTTTCAACGTTATTTTAACTTTAAATGCCATGTAAAAAGGTCAGAAACTTTTTAATTTCATAGTTACCTTACAGCTGCACCTTTTTCCAACCTTTTCTCTGAATGTCTCCTCTAAATGGCTGGCAATTAAAATTTAACATTGTTGGAGATAATGTCAAAAATAGCTTAGATCAATACATTTTTAAGAATAATCTTAAACATAACATCCAATTGTCACCTGAGATGTAAAGGGAATTTTCTGGAGAAAAGTAAACATATTCTGAAAAGCAGCATCATGTTTCAAGCATCTTTCTGTTTATTGTATTGCAAAGATTATCAGTTCCTGTATCAAACTTTTGTTACAATTATTGTATCAAATTTATGTCTGCGTTATATGGCTTCTTGTTTCACCCTCAACAATTTCTTTGCTAAACTATCTCTCGTTTTTCACAGGTGATCACCCTCGCCAAAACCTTTGCCAAATAATGGGCATGGACTGTTGACCTCCCTTTCAAAAACATGTCTCACTGCAAGAGACAGATACATCACTTACGAAAAAGTTATTTCCTATAAATTTTGGTAGTCCTGTGCAAAAGGTAATATTGCTAATGAAAACAAATGGCATAATTTACAAGTTGGCAGTTATCATACAATTAAGAAAACCAAAGGCAATCTTGAAAAGTTAATATCCTTCAAAAAACCCTAAGGTCCTGGAGGACTTCCTTTATCAAATATTGTTGGATGGGCAATCACACTAATTAGCTTGTTCATGCGGGCAGTTTTTATGAAAATTTCCTCTCAAGAAAGCTTGCCGTACTAGCATGTAATGATAGGCATATCGTGTTGAGGCTATTATTGATATTCATGCCAAAAATCTTCAAGTTCTAGAGAACATATAAGCAACTGTGAATTAAATATCTCTCAGCTGGATATGAAAAAGAACAAATAAATTATATATACATAGGTATAGGATATAATTGGTGCACAAACCTTCGCCCTATCAGAAACTTGATGTTATTTATGACAGACTGTGGACACCTTGTACTCAAATTTCTGGCTGGAAAGCCAATCACCTAAGACAAACATTCAATTTCTAATGAAGCTTTGGCTTTATTGTAGTTTTTTATGACAGCAGCAAAACATGCATTTTTAAAAGTGTTGAACATTTGCATAAAGAACATTTTAAAAGGGGTTCAGACATCAAGAACTTGCAGCTAGATCAAAAAATGTTTTGTTACAATAACAAAACCAGAATTCATTCAAAATGTGGAAGTTATTGGTATTATTATTTAAAAAAATAATCATACAATATCTTTCTTATAGCTTTGTGTAAAATTCTGAAGATTTCAAGTGTTGATTCAGCACAAGTCTCAACATTTAAAAGTGTTCCAGTGCAAAGCTTATAAATTGTATTATCAAATATCAATAAATAACAGTGGAGTGAAATTATATTTTCTGTCAAACCTTTTCTTCTCCAGTATAACCAACACATGCTGGCAATACCCTTTCTCCAGTTTCATTTGAGACCACTTCAGTTCTGTTATCCTACCAAAATAGAAAATCACCATGAAATCTCTTTTGGGCCACTTCCCACATAATAGTTAGTGCAAAGTAATGGTTATAATTAAACAAATATGTATACTCTTTTGGTCTAAAATGAAGCAGGGCTTATCTAGTTTGGGATGTGATATAAAGTTAAAAAATTGACAAAATTAAATGCATACCAATAATAAAGTGTTAGCACATATGCATTTAAAGTGAACAGTTTGGAATAGATTTCAGGATAGACGCTGAAAGTTTATTCAACTTTTTTGCTCTGGTGTTTTGCAAAATTTAGTGTTCTGGTGTTTTGCAAAATTTAGTTGTACCAATTTCTATTAGACTTGACTTATTGGCAGTTTTACACACAGACAACATGGTGGAACAGTTGGTGCATTATCTCAATGAGATATCGCAGTGTTTGTCATGCAGTGGTAATTGTTCAATTAATATTGTGGAAAAACACTTCTGCACTGCCAAAGTTTTGCATCATGCATAAACCTAAATGCATAGAGTCATGGGAAAATAGGCTTTCTTTATAGAGGATAATTTGCTTCAGGCGTGAGCACAGTTGTTCCGTGTGATATTGACATCTGTTGTTGACAGCTTACTATTAACGGAGGCTGTTCTGTTAATCAGTATGTGGAAAAATTATGTGATCAGTGTCAGGATACAGACTGTATTTTTTCTGCATGGGGAACACAAGAGCAAACTATTTTAACATTTGCGGATAGCTGTCGTTTCCCATGAAATCGTGCGTGGAATTTGAAGCAAAGGCTTTTGAAGAGAGCGTCTGTTTTCCTTGTTTTTCTCTTGCTATCAGAAGTCAGCAGTTTAAATGGTGGACTATTCACAGGGAAAATGACCAGTTTAACAAATATCCTGCGTGGAATGTATGGCAGATTATTAATAATATGCAGGCGAATGAAGGAGAAAAATCATGACCCAATGCCATTAAATAAGGGGAAAAACATGCCTTTCTGATCCAAGCCTAGACTGTAGAGTATGACAGTTTCCAATGAGATCTCAGATACGTAAGAGCAAAATTTCAAGTATGCATGTGTGCACTTTGGTTTATTGTGCACTTCAATTGTGCACATTCATACATACAACTATGTTAGATCCCAAGATTATCAATTTAGAAGGGAATATGAACGAAGTGAGAAAATGAACTAATTGATAGTTATTGTGTTATCAAACCAATGCAAGATTATGTAAATCTTGAGAAAACTAAACTTTGGATGTATGGATTATTGAAGTCTGCAGCATTGAGTGTTTTGCAGTAGACTTAACTAATGAATCTGTCTGGCTTAGGCAAAATTTGGCAAACAATAGTTTATGGACACTGTCTCCAACGCAACTGCTTTATTCGTACAGCTTTTTCATTTTACAAATAACAAGGCTTAACAAATTTTCAATGAGCCCATGACTGCCAAAAATCTCTTGATGAAAACGATCATCCCAAAATAGTCATCTGAAAAACTGCTCTGGTTCCTTAAAATTTATGACAGCATTTTCTCTATAAACCTGTGTATTTTCTTTATATCGTCACAGGCACATTATGCTCACCTTACATACGGCAATACAGCAATTTGTGTTTCCGAAGTGGATCCCTGCGACCGCCATTTTCCAAATTCTCACATGAAACCTCTAGATGAGACTGAGGCAGCCTATGAAGACGGGGGTATTCCTAGAGAAAATCCAACTGCAGAAACACGATATCTGGAACCCTGAAGAGGATGGAATGCAGGCGTGAAAGCAAGCGGAGCATCATAGTATAACTGCAACCCCAGATATCATTCTCGGGAAAAAGTTACTCCGCTCTGACCGCTTCGATTCAATTTGATGAACTGAAACTCTAACTTAAGGGACTTTATGCTCCTCTTTTACATTTCCAATCAATTAACAGTGTCGCAAAAAGCTAACCTGCTCTTTCTGTAGGCTTGCCAATAAATGTAACATCACTTAACCTGTACGGATTGCTGTTACCTAGTCCTCTGATTATCTTGTTAGGAAAGAGGGACTTTGCTAGGATTTGGAATAAAATTGAAAAATCTATATAAACCAAGAAGTTTGTTGCAAATGCGCGTGAATTCTGCTTTGATGCGTGAGAAAGGACCGAATTGTGTCTCACGCAAAATGCGTGTGACTTGGTAGGTCTGTTGAAAGGCAAGGAGATGCCACAAAGGAGGGCACTTGGGATTCATATGGCATATTGTATACATTCTCTTCAAAACGCCCTGAACCTATTATCTCTTATGTACAAACTTCCTACCGCGAAAATTGCCATGTTCAATATCTCTATCCTCAGAAAAAATACTTCATTCAAAAAGACATCTTCAGGACTTTATTAACATGAGCCAGATCTACTGGTTGCTCTTTAATAACAACTAATCCTAAAACTATTTGTAGCAAATATTACAAGCCAGCATGGTCTTAAAACACATCCTCTATGCCAACAACTCTTTATGAAGTAGATCTACCAAGACAGCAAAATTTCAGAGCCTTCTTCAACAGCCAGTCCACTTCACATTCCCATCAGTGAAGCTTATGTTTTCATTAGCGTAACTTCAGTTTAGTTTTAGTCTAGAAAGAGATTTCTCCAAACAGAAAACGAAAATTTTCAAAAATAATCGTCATTAGCCAATAAAGGTGACTTAACAATAAAATGGTCAAATGCAACAAATACTTTGGCACATAAAGCATTAGCCTCCGTCCCACTGTTTACAAGTTAAAATTCTAGAACATAAGGAACACAATAGTCTTGTTTTTCGAAAACATTTTTACGAAAGAACTACATGAAATCATATATTGACTTATGCTCAATCAGCATTTCTTTCAAATACGGATAACGCTGAAAATTTAGATTCATATAATCTTACTTAGGGCATCTTTTTTCAGCGTTCAAAAATTGCAAAACCAAGGACTTTCTCAATCAAAGAGGGAACCTTCTAGGGCATTGTAAAGTTTTTATGGCTTGCAAGGAGAATGTAGTCATGGAAATCCTAATTGGAGGAGACTCGTATCCACAGCGAGCCTCGATGCAGCGAGGAGGCGATTAAGAATAACTAACACAGGCTCAAGAGACAAGTGATCCTGGAGACAGAGGGACATAACTTTGGGCTAGGATAAAAACGTGAAGAAAAGGCGGAAGGGTAGATGGGCATCTAGAAATAATTTTGGGTTCATTTGCTGGTTGTTAAATACTGCGCTGGTTTTCTTGCTGGATATAATGAAGCATGGATGTTGCGGGCTATGATTTGAGACTTGCATAAAACTATGACACTGAATAATTTAAATGGAAGCTTTCGACTTTACATCGAAGACCCATGTTGAAACAACTGTTTTTTGTCAAAGCAGTTTGTAAATGGGTACTCTAATGTGCTGATTCTGCAGTCCGCAACTCGTCTTAATTTTCAAAGAGTCAATTACAACGAGAATTGCTGAGGATAGAATGTTGTTTATGAGCTGTGGAGCTTCACTAGTCCTTGGATTCTTCTGACCATTGCAGATATGAACTGGACTCTTGATCTTGTCTTTCCGTAGAGCTAAAATATAATTTAATTGAATAGCTATACGGTTCAGGACCAAGCGCATATCTTTACAAAAAAACTAAGAGTTACGATCTTATTTTTGAAACTGATTAATAACGACTCTTTAGGCTGCTTGAAATAAACCCCACAAAGAATCAATGCCCAAAATCTTGAAACACTGAAATCAATTTACAAGGTCGTCTTCAGCAATCTCCCTCTTCCCTTAAAGCAATGTTAGTTTGCAATAAAATTACCCTAAGGATTTAGAAACATGTTTTGGCATCTTGTCAGTATGATATGTAACTTAACTATCACATTTTACTTGGAAAATGAAAACAGTATTTTAATATGAGTTAACAAACGAAAGTTGTATCTTCATGAGCCAAAAACAAAGAGCTCAATTCATTTTTTTCATGAGATTTTTGAAAAATTTTGAATCCTTAAGAGGTTGACTTAAGTCAAAATTGAACACTGCTGTTTAATAGGCGAAAGACCTTAAGGAAAGTCTCTAAAACTTCTCAACAGAAGAGAAACAGCAGGAGGCTTTAATGTTCATCAGTTGATAACATTACAGTGAAACAATGACATGTCAACTTAAGAATTCCAAATTACGTTTCTTAAGCTTATAAAGCAGTGTGTCAGACATTTACAACTGGAACCTGCCTAGAAACTGGCAATTTCGTAGGTAATAAAATACTCACAGATTCTGCCTCAAGAACACTTTTCATCACTTTGTCTGTTAAGACTGACTTGGCCTCAACTTTTAACTGCCTCACTTCTTCTTTCGTGACACTAAATTTTCCCATGTTTACTGACGAGCTCTGTTTGTTTTTTTTACCAAAGGATGAATCAAGACTCAAAGTGATATCTAAAAATGATAGGATCAAGAATGAGTGATGTGAATTTCCCCAACCATGATTTCTCCTAAAGAGTTGCCATTTATGCGATATAATGCAGCTTTTTCGATAACCAACGTTGCAATAGCTACTAACAGAATCTAACGATACAGAGGAAGTTTCCACGAAAAACAACAGTATGGCTGTTTGAATCTTTTGCAACTAATGCGGTGACGAGAGATCATTAAAACCAGATTAAACGTGTCCAACAAAAAGACATAAAATCAAAACAGTGCCAAAATGAGGTAAATCTAAAATGTTGAAAAATAAGGCTACAGAGATGTAAGAAGTTCGGTAAAAATTGAATAAAAACCAACCTTGCAATCTTCGTGCCCTAATAGTTGGTAGTTTTGGTAGTTCAAATTCAATTTCATCAAACTGAACTGGCTCGCAATGAATGAAGTAGTATTCAACATGACGCCATAAAACATACAAAATGTTTTCGATTATTTCTGAAAAAACTGAGTTAAGAACAATCTAAATCTGAAAAATCTGAAAAATCTGAATAAATTTTAATATAAAAGAGGTATTTTAATCACAAATGCATTATTTGATAGAAAGCCAATACATTCAAGGGACAGAAAAGTCCTACTTGATCAACAATTCTTTTAGAGGCAAAATATCGACCCCCTTCTCCCCTTAAATCTTTGACGATCCTTTTCTTTTATGATCTTTCTCCTAAAATAACCCCTCCCCAAAAACCTGTCCATGTAGTATCTTTAAAACGTGACATTTGTTGTCATCATGGTGACAAACTTGAGGATACGAATATTGAGACAAGCTTGGTCGTCATTCAGGTCAACCAACTGCTGTAAAATTTTTCTTGCAATAATTCTTCTCTGCTGGTTTGACAAGCGATCGATATCAACAACATTTTCTTGAGAGAGGAGCTAAAACAAAGAAGTGTCTTTGTTACTACCTTTCAACTCTATAATCTAAAAAAAACGAAAATCTAAACTCTCTTTGCAGTCTTCAGTGTTTTCATTAAAATTTTAAATTCTAAATCTAATTTCCATCAAACACTGATTTTTGCTGTCTCATTAATCATTTGCCTGCCTATTCTTCCTGCTTAAATTCGAATCATCGCAAGAACCCTGAATCAACCAAAACGATTGCAACTACTTTCTTCTCATTTGACAAAAAGCTGAGAGAGATGCTGCAATATAATGAAAACAGAACCTGTTCAAAATAGCAAGTGGACAAGAGAAGGAGATGACTGTGGCTTAAAAATAAGTAGAGGAACATCAAACCTGCGAGGTCTCGTCTCCTGATAAATCTTCAATCTCTTCTATCTTTTTTTGATACTTCATGTATGCATGAATTACCGCTTTCACGTCATCAACAGCGCGGTCAAGCTCCTCCACAAGAACGCTCATTGATGCCTTTTTAGAGGCTCCTGGAGGATTCAAGCAAATAAGAAATAACGGCCGCTGGACTAATGTACAAGATACAAAAATTGCTTTCAAAAGGTCAGAAAATGTTTTTTGTGATAGCAAAAGGATGATAGCAAAATTAAGAATGCCCCTCTCCATTTTCTTTTTCCGCACAAATACAGCTGAGTCGTTCTAAAGCAAATAAAATAAAAAGCACCCAAGGTACAAGACGTTGATTTTTAAACGTAAACACAACAAAAGTCTAAAAATACAAAAAGCCATACCATGCCTGATTGAGACGTCATGGTGCCCCATCTTTTTACTTTCAGATATATCAATCAAAACAGGCGAAAAGATGACATTGCAATAAGCTCCAGTTAAACCTAAGCTTGAGACAACACTCCTAGCGTAGCTTATTAAGTTTGATCGGATTTGCAGAAGAATTCTTCGTACGGTAGCAGTTGTCACCTCGCTAACAGAGGTCGCTTGCTCAAAGGCGTCGTTGCTACTGTCCCTCTCCACACAAGTCTTCGTGATCTACAAAAAGAACGGGGCAAAGTTGTGGAAAAACAAGAACAGAACAGCTAAAAGTTTTGTATAGTATTAGCGGCTGTTTTGGCTGCAATTTCTAGGCAAATATTGGCGAAATGTTTTGTTTTACTTTTTAAAAGATACAGTTATCCAATTAAAGAGAAAGGAATCAATCCCAAGATACAAAAGTCTCATAATTTGCCAATAAATAAATGAATGAATCTGTTACAGTAAAAGCACCTATCTCCCTACATACAGCAATGTCCCATTAACTCAAACGCAACAAGACAAAATTGAAATCGAAAAAATCTGTGTGGCGTACCAAAATATACTACGCTTTTGATGCAGCTTCATTTTACAAACGAAAACTTCATGGTTCATGGAGAACTGGGTACATTGGTGTTGGTGTTAAGCATAGACATTTCAGTAGTGGGGGGGGGGATATGTGAGCATAAGGGGGCACCTCTGTGAGCTGCAAATAGGCACTACATCTTATTTCTTAAAAGCTGGGGCACCAGTCCCCCTGCACCCCGGTTCCTTATGGTATTGAGAGTTAAATATCGTTCAAAAACTGATTTGAGAAAAACATTTTAAGTTGATGTGAAGTATGGCACCCTGATTGGTTTTCACGGGTCCATTGTCAAGAAGGTTTATCAACAAATGTTTGACAGGTGAAAAATAACTCGAGGTAAAAATCCTCGTTAAATATCTGGCTTTGGGCGTAAAAAAAATTTACGTTAATTTACTAAACCCTTAGATCAAACTAACCTCATTACAATACTCCTTCGATGAAAATGATTGCATTAGGCCAAGCAGAACCCTCTGAATTTTTACTTGAGAACTTCGCATGCGTCGCCCATCCTCACCAACGGATTCCGGGTCCTTGTGATCCTCGCGTCTTGGCCTGAGCAAAGAGACTACTGACGTCACAAGAGAAAGTTCCTGAAGGCACTGGACAGTTTTGCACGGGGTCTTCGCTTGCAGTATGTCTAGGAATGCTTCCTCGTGGGCTAAAATGAACTCTTGTAGCTAAAAAAAAAAAGATTTAAAACCCTAAATGTTTCATAATAGCAGAAACCATTTCAATCAAAACTGAAAAGCCACTTAGTCGCCATACTACATAGATATTCGTGATTCCGCATTCGCCAATACTCGTAAAATCCTGAAGATTATACACTCGCATCCCTTATCAATCTAGAGTAAGATATTGAAACTATTCCAACCCTACTTAGCCAAAACCTATAACGTTTTATGCATTCCAATTTCTGTAGTATATCAGACTATTTCTGCAGCTTTATACAACCAGGCTGGTTTGTGAGCACTTTGCGTGAAGCGTTCAGGCCCCTCCTTTGGTTGGAGAAGTCCTGTTCGTGAAATTTTGCGCACTACAAAAGCAGGTGCTAGAACAGGGGCAAAGAATTGAATAAGACTTTGCCATTTCAAAAATTATAGATTGCTGGGTGTCTTTTCCAATCTTCATTTTCAAGAAGAGAGCTTGTGACTCGTTAATGCCTCCGTCGATAAATAAATGCATTCAGTTTATATCCGAGCCCAATGCGATCTTTAGACCATGCTGACATTGAAAAAGAATTCTGAGATGATTGACCAATCCCTAGTGTCTTATTCAAACAGTAAAAAGGTAATGAAAGATATATAGAAATAAACTTATAGAAAGATATATAAGATAACTTACTTGGGAGATAAACTCTTGGTGGCCTGGGCCTAGTGACGATACAATGGCTTTAATGAGTCTCAGAACTGCTGACAAAACTATTCGATATTGCTCCATTTTACTGGGTGACAAGGGGTCGTAGTGTTGGCTGTATGCAAACGAGGTGAGATGTAAAGCGAGATTAGAGTCGTCGGGTCTGTGGTCAATGAACTCACACTCGATCAGCTTTGAAGTCAGTCCGCACTGCAAAAGAATCTGGGCGCCAATCTCACTCTTCGCAAATCTTGTTAAGAAATCCTGCAGATAAAAAAAATAAATTCGCTTAAAATTGATAAGATGTAAAAATTGCGCATAGCTCTCCGAAAGTAGCACCAACAGCTGCATGATACCAACAACTCCAGACACTGGACGAAGGTAATAAGAATTTCAAAGCATTATTTTTATTGCGTTCTTAAATCTATAACAGCTCTATGGGTATCATAACCTGAAAAGTAGCTCGGGAAACAATACATACCAATTTTGATTCAAGAGTGTAAACCGTTTTCAATGCATCACCGTCGGATGAAAAAACAGCGAGAAGCTTCGTGTCGTCTTTGGGTATACTCTCAACTAGATGACGTAAGTAGCCACGTGACGATAGAAAGCCGGACCAGCGCTCTTGCCAATCAATGCTGACGATGGAGTCTAGCACTGCAAATGCTAACATCTATAGAGAAAGCAGAATATATTTTAGAACATGAGCTTCACTCAAATTGAGCCAAGTCGTGAGACGCTAAAAAAATTGCATTGCTTAATACTTAACATAGTTTCTCGCTGTGTCTGCCATCTTCAACAAATGAAATACGTGGTAAAATAGTTCAATATTTGTCAAATTTATCTTTGAATAAATGAAGCACCGATGATTGTCCAAGCTTAAAGAGCTGTGGTTAGGGCTGGACGAAGATTGGAAAAAAAAGCTCTAGAAAATAAATATCTATGATAGGCAAAATTTTCGTCGTTGAAAAATCAAGGTTAAAAAAGGCAGCGGGGAGTCTCAAAAACCCCATAGAAATAAAACGGGCTCCTTTATATCCAATCTAAGAGTAGGATATCATATGAAAAACCACACCTCTCCTATTTCGGGACCGTTGCACGCATCTCTGCATACCATATCCATGAACGACTCTCCTTGTTTTGCTAGAAACGACAGTGTATTGGCTTCCCATGATTCTTTCGAAACTGGACCAAAGATGTTTGAAGATCCTGCAGGGAAAAGAAATTACAATGACATTACAAGGGGGTTAAGTAAATATTGTTACTGCTAACTGGCCTATAGCAAAGTGATCGATGACGTATAGACAGCTCTACATGCTTTGATGTCTAAAATATAGCGGTTGTTAGATGTTACAAGGCGATTCATGCTCGATAAATTAGCAGCAATGGTGTATATTGAAAATAAATATGTATATTGATACTAAAATAAAACGACAATATTCCAATTGTGAATCAGGAAACTTTAATTTCATACAAACCTTTCTCTCTTACTGATGTATGAAGCTTTCCTATCTGCATGTAATATAAAATTGCTCCATAAAAACTGCATCTAGTCTTGAAATTTGAGGCACCAACCGAGCAAAGGCAGTTGACAATGCCTTGAAAAATTCGAAATAAATGGGACATATCCATCCTTGATCTGACTGGACCATCACTGTTGGAAGGAACATGAAGGAATTCTAACACGGAATGGTAAAAGGTGAAAAATCGTGTTTTATTATTCAAGGTATTATGTTACTTGATGCATTGATAGTCCGTTTTGATATTGAATCCTGACAAAAACAGCTCTGATAAAGAAAAAAATAACAGCAGTTACAAAGTGTACCAAACAAGAGATTTCTGTTAGTGTTGAAACATAAAAAAATCTGAATATCTTTGCTTCTCTAAACTATCAAAATAGAGCCAAAATTCTTCGATCATTTATTTTCAAAAACTTTTGAATAATGAGTAATAACCCCTTTTAGTTCACTCCACACAATTTAGAAACAAATGAACAAACCCATTTTATGTTCATCTGAAATACGATATCATTTGACATATTCACTCTCCTATGCAATTAAAAACATTTTCAAGCTTTTTTATGGCTGATGACATATTCTGGAACACTTTTCGTTTCTCTAAGCGTAACCAAAAGATGATTGACATATACCTTGACGATGCCAGCTGAACAGCGACGTTGTGGTATTGGGCCATCAGCATCAGAATGGCACCAGCAACTGGGACCAGCAATTCAGGGATGGCATTCTCATTTGATACCTACGAAAGAGGGCAGACTGGAAAAATTATAACCCATGGTCGGGGTTATAAAGGGTAGAATTCTACTTGAAAATTAAATCGAAGTAGGATTATTTTTCTCAAAATGTCCATGCAGTATGAATTGTCAGCAAAGGATGTGTCTACAGGGTAAGTTTATGGTTGCGAAATAAAGACTTCTTGAAAATGGTCATGGCCATCTTTTATTGAAGTACTCAAGAACATGTATGGATCATCTGCAATGTTCTTCACTTAATTATTGACAACTAAGGCTCTGAAAAGAAAATTAATAGCCGTTATACATATGAAACAATACAGTACCTTGGCGATCATATCTTGTAGAAGGTTCAAAATAACAGGCACTCTAGCCTCAGCAGGGAAAACATCGTATTGGCAAATTGCAAATGAGGTTTCAACAACCTGTCTCCAAGCCTCGAATGCATGTCGTTTGGCACCCAATGATCTTCTAACGGAATTCCTTTCAACCGCATATGCGAGAATGGCCTCCACCTCCTAGCATCAAAAAGAAAATGTTTGTTGAAAAAGACTGGAGCAATATTAAGAAACAAACATGATTTGCCACTAAAACCCAGGTCCCCTTATAAACAGAGAAAAACTGTAAATTTTCGAATTACCGAAACAGCAAATTCGACCTGCAATTATCAATTTTTGAGCCTAATCGATCAAGAAAAATCTTTGCTTGCAGATTACTGAACCTGTGCTTGTAATCTTCAAGATCTAAAATATGTCTTATCTATATTCAAAATGTTGTTGTCAAAGTTTCACTTAACTTTAACACTTTCCAGGCTTTCTTTCCTGTGCTTAAGAAGCTTTTATGAGGAGAAAAAAACTAAGAAACTATACATTGAGCACTGGAAAGAATAGAAAAGACGCTAATACAAAACTCATTTTATTTCAGATTGTTAAGATTATCTCGATTGCAAGAGTGTTAATCCTACATCTATTTTCAATGATTTCTTGCAGTCGTCAACTGTGTGACTAGCAATTATTCTGGATCGTACTTAATGTGGCCAAATGCCTTTCTTTTAGAGGGACAAAACTATGGAATGGCCTGGACGCAAAATCTAAATTAACAAAAAATTTCAAACAAGTAAAATGTTATCTCGAAAACTCCAGAACATAAAGGGACCCTCTTTATTCCTGGTGTTAGTTACAGTATTTTAAATACTTTTACTTTGTTATTCCAATCTGTATATTTGTATATCTGTATTTTTAAATTTTAGCGTTTATCGTTTTCTTTGTACAGGGCAGCTTGGAAAGCAATTTATGTATGTAGTTGACAGCTGTACCCTGTGTAAATAATTAAAAATTAAATGAAATGAAATAAAGCCAAGCAAGTTTCTGACTTCTAGCCATAATGCAAAAACCATTGTAGATACCTTAAGAATTTCAGGGCGCTGTCCGATGTTGGCCATTCCCTGCGCACTATTCAACTCAGCCATAACCACACGGTGGAGCATTTTGACGTTACATATGATAATGCCCGTGTCTTCTGATCTCTCTTCACACGACGCAATCAGCTGCTCGACAGCAGAAAGCTGAAACATGTTCGATGTATAGGGCGAGGGATAGTCTTGAGTCAGTTCAAGGTCATTTAGTACAGCGCTGGCCAAGTTATTGTGAGGGCCGCCTTGTGGTCTTCCTTTGTAAGCCGATGCAGGGTCCGGATTTGGTACTGTGAACGCAAAATCTTTTAGAAAGGTTTATGAACTGAGCAAAGAAAGAAATTATGACATTTTGAAACTGCTTTTCAGTAGAAAGATACAAAGTTGAGCATGACTTTTTAAGAGACTAGAGAAAAGCGATACTTTATTGGTAGATAGTCAAAGCACTTTCTTCTAATGTAAAATTAGAATGATTTCTAAATTACTCGTATGTAGGTTAACGTCGTGCGCAAAATAAATGAAATCAATAGCGTATAAAATAAACAGCCATATGCGACACAGATCAGTTATACGTGAGCTTTCACGTGAAGAACGAAAGACACAAACATGAAGCCCACGGGAGTCATACGTGAGCAACAAAACAGTCACACTTTCAGCCCGGAACATAAACCTTACATCACATTTGGATCGAGATTAGCCTTTTTAGCGCCTTGAGAAGCAAACTAAACACTTTAGCACGCACAGGTCTTGGCCTCTATGAGCAGCTTGTTGCGTTCCTCAATAAAAGGGCGACCAAGTTAAGCCAGATCAAAATAAACTCTTCAAAGAATGAGAGAAGATACTCCATACAATTGGAACAATGATATAAAACACGGACCTTGGAAATGGTCATGTCTTGACCGTTGATTTTGCTGACCGTAGAGAAGATCCAAAAGTCGAATCATGCTTGATCTTAGCCTCGTCTGGGATGCAACTTTAATCTCGATCGCAATTGTTTTCATGAACCAAGACTGTTGATTCGACAGCAGAATGAACAATTCAGTGTTGTCCTCACTAAGGAGACTGGGTCTTAGAAACGGTAATCGGGCAGCGTGAGCGGCGAAGAAATCATGATTGGTCCTCAGGTACCTTTGACATGGTACTCCTGTCTCGGGATGTGCGCACAAGAAATAAATGAGTTGGTACATCAACTCCGCTAGCATCGGTGTCTCTGAAATGCATGATGGACCATTGGGTGTATCCAGGCCGTTATTCAGAAGCGAAATTATCGAGTGGAAGCAAGTCTTTGGGAATCTGGCAACACCTGCATATAATGGAAATCGACTTTATAACAACATATAAACACTTTACACAAAAAATATGCTGGGATGACCTTTCAAATTTTGCTGTCTGCTTTAATTTCATGGTAGATGTTCTATATTTCCCGATTTGAAAGAAGCTAACTTTTTGAAAAAAGCAAACATTTTAAAGCATACTACAGCTTTTCGTCTGATACTTGATACTGAGATCTGATACTGAGATCTTGAGAGTATAAACCGCTAAAAAAAGCTAAGAAAACCAAATCCTGTATTTAGGTTGCTTTTCGAAATTTCCTATGACCCGTAGTCTTCCTGGATGCTCTGGCTATTATTCCCAAATTGTTTACTCTATTTGACTGCTGTTAGCAACACTAGCAATTTCAACAGATTTACTTCCATATGGGCAAACTGCATTCAAGTACACTAGAAACCTTGCTTTACCGCAATCCGGTAAAGTGAAAAGATTTATCGAAACAAATTTTCCTAACATGTCCTTGTTGGCATTTATGAAATTTCAGCATTCAAATAGACGTATGCAGAAAGGATAACAACTTCGATGCAGAGGAGGGTTCAATCTATTCTCACATTGGAGAAAACCAGTCAAACGAGACCATTTATACAAATATATACAGTAAAATGTCTCTGCCTTTTTGTACAAGAGAGCGACCAGGCAGTTGTATTACAATCTCACCTGCATCTTGAAAAACAGTTTTTGAAACGCCTGTCTGTAGATCAAACCCCAAAAGGAACTGTGCCAAGTTTGGTGATGGCTGATGCAATGTTGATAGCAGCAAGTTTAGGATATTATGCCTAATGGCATTCCTGACTGAGGCATCGGTGTCTTGAAGACCTGAAACGATAACAGAGTTTAGAGATTTCGAGCTAAAAATTGATCATAATCCGCAAAGTTCACTGACTACCAAGCTTTATTTGCAACCCCGTGATTAAGCAATAGAAAGCTAAAACTCACCATCATCATTATCAAACGACACATGTCTGTCTCGACCAATTTCTTCGGGGATGTCTTGCTCCAAAAACTCACAAAATCCAACAAGAAGTTGATCGCGCTCGATCTAGGACAGAAAAAAGTAACTTTATCTTTGATACACTACCCAACGCTATATTCATATTTTGCAAAAGAATATGAATATAGAGTGTGCTACGGGATCATTATTGTTTAATCACTGTGCTACGGGATCATCGTTATGGTCTTCCTTCAAATGCCTCGGAAAAGGTTTCTGCTGCCAAAGGACAAGTTTTTTCACAAAAAAGGAGGAGCTGAAGCCGAACATTGGCAGTATCTTTTTCCAATTTTTTCAAACATCAAATACACAAGAAGTTAAAATTATTAGGCTGCAATTAATCATGATTTCAAGCAAATAATATCTTCACTATCTTGGAAGAGAGATAAAAAAATATTTGAAAAAAGCAATGGGCCACTGGATCTTTAAGAAAAGATTCTTTTCTTTCATTGGAAAAAAGACTTGGATAAGATATCTACAGTCAAGAGAAACACAAAAAAACAGACAGAAACAGCTAGATACCAAACATTGAACTTTTCTAAACTTGTTAACTATCAGACAGATATGTAAGAAGCTAATGAAAGATATCTAAACAATTGTCCGAAACAAAAAACGCTGAAAACTACGAGAATCTACGAGAATGAGCAAATTACGAGAATCTGACGCTACCTTCCTTGAAGACAAAATTCCTATGATCTCATTTTGCATGTCCGGAGACTGGTTCATGACACATAGGATTCGGACGACGGCTAATGTCAGATCTGGCGAGACGTTGTTCAGTGTCATAAATCTAGCAAAAATATAAATCAACATTTCACAAGAAATCTTTATTCTAAAAAATCACTGAACAGCAATATCTATGAATATCTGTGGCGTATATGAAAAAAAAATTAATTATTGAGCAGTTGGCTACATCAGATTTCGCATTCTCATTTCTTTTTTTCATTTATCTTCTTGTTACTTGTTTCTTGCATTCTCGTTACTTAATTATATGTTCATTTTATTTTGTAAACCGGCAGCCTATCGGTATATAAACAGTGCTGATTTCATATATGTAATGTTATTAACTACCGTAATGTTAATCAGAGACAACTTTGAAAAAAAATAAGGAAGGGATATAGGCATTCTAGAAATGTGTATAAACAAAATACTTCAATAAACATAATGGAAAAATCAAAACTTTACTCAACCAAAATAGACATTTTTATTGTTCCTGTTGTAAATACTTACATAAAAATAAATGAATAAACAAGATACATGCTATCAAAATACAATATTTCTTCAGCATCTAATAAATATATTTTTCATAGCAGGTAAACTTGATAAAATATGACAAATTCAAGGGGTGAATACCTTGCAATTTTGTAGGGATAATCAGCTTCTGCGGTGCTTGGATTTATGCTAAGAAGGAGCTTTTCGATTGGCGTTACCATGACGGATGAGTTTTGGTTTCTCAACATGGCGTTGAATTTCGTCTGCTTTTCCAGGGTATACTCGATCAACTTCAGACAATAAAATACCGCTTTTTCTTCGTTCGCTTTATTCCCTATTGAAAATCATATGAAAAGTTGATAAAATTGAAGACATGATTTTCATCAAAAAACTTGACTACGAAAATGACAAGCTCAGAATTGGTATCATGTGTCATTTTTCTACCTTAAAGACAAATTGCTGTCCAGTCTAAGGACATCGTAGGCCCAAATAATATTTGTATCTTAATAGTATAAATGCGAAACTGGGAAATGACAAGGAAACACGAATGAAAAATGAACACAAGATGAATCATAACTGCTTTTTGAATACAGCAAACGATAATGTAAGTGTTAAACAGGCTTCTACAATAACGCTAGTGTAAAACAGTTTCCATAGGGCACCACAAGAGGCTGAATCTATGACAGTTAAAGATTAAACGTGATGAAGAAACCACATATTATTGGCAGGGTGGGTATAAGAAAATTGGCCTAGTCAATAAAAGAAGGCACAAGAGATTATTCAAGTAATCTTGTTACCATCATTAGCCTCATCGAATTCCTTCCAAAGAATATCAATAATGTTCATTACCTGCAGAAGAAACAAATACATCAATTTAATCAAATAATTGTAATAAAAAATATACTTATTTCCCACAATACTCACAGATACTTACGAAAGATTACTAAAGATTAATTGATTATACGTAATTGTATATATACTAAAACTATTTTAATGTCCTCAAATCTGCTTTAAAATTTTCAACAGAGTTTGCTACCCTTCTTGAAAACGACATTCCTTTCTCGAAATCCGGGGCACCATGAAAATTTCGTGAAACGCCATTTAACAAACAGCGCCCTCTAACAGACTGGGTCAAAGATATGTATAAACAACGTACAAAAATAACAAAACTCCCTTTGACCAACATCCATGTACATCATCATGTGATACATTGGTGTGCCATAATGTGATACATAAGTGGTATTAGGAGCAATAATTGTTCAACCCTAATTCTGCAGATCTTGCCAGTACGTCCCTCCCGTAAGAAGCAACTTACCAGACGAAACATCGGAGTGTCGTTCAACATATGCAACATAATCTCATGCCCAGGATGCTTTGCAGCCTTGCCAAAGTTGACACCTTGAATTTCAACATTTTGCTCCACGAACTGTTCAGGAAGTGGCTCATAGTTTCTCAGAATCTTAGCAAAAATCTCTAATACTTCTTTTGCAACCATCCACTAGGAATAAAAATCATGGACTGTTATTACAGAGGAGATATCTCCAAAATTATTTACAAACAGTGGGTGGAGCATCTCCAGGAACAAAAAACGCTGTGTTGTGTTGCCAAGCAAATTCAGGATATCAAAGAGTCTGCCTAGCGAATGGTCATGGAGTTATGTATTACATGATTGATTTAGAATTTATTGACTTCAGGGGTCCTCGCATGACAAACAGGACAAAATAAACTACGACAGAACAAGCGTAGAAACCAATATAAACAAACAAATATTGATAATCAATCTGCAATTGCAAATAGCGAGGTAAGAATATTACCTAGAAAAATTTTTGAAGCATCATTGAGATTTTATAAGAATGAATAAAACTTGATGGAGTAAAGCCAGTGCAGGTTCAAACAGACACACTTGACATCAATTATCTCTTCGTTTCCTGGAGGCTTTCTACTTGCATCTATTCAACGCGACATCATCAAAATTGTTTTGCATAAAAATACCAGTATTCTGAGAAAATAATACGTGCATTGGCAATAAACAAACCTTTTCAGAAGGGTTTTGGTATGCTCTGCTTTTAAAACGCAAGAACACGTTGTCTCGAAGAAAATCCAAGTATGGAATGAAACCAGGAACACGATACCCAGCACCAAGGGTGGTTGGTATGGTGATTTCTGTCAGTGTGTTTATTAGTCGCAAAAAGGCTCGAGTTTGAGGGTACGTTTCATCTCTGGACTCAACCTCTTCTAACTCCACTTTGAGTCCAGTCTCCTGCTTGCCAGTTGCATCTTTAGATACAGTTGCTAAAATCTTGATAGAAAATAATTATCATATATTACGATAACAATACAGTCATTTGCGAGCGGATGACTGGCAACAATCAAGAGTTTAGTTTGTTCCATACGTGTGGTATTGGACCATACCAGTGGGACCTTTAAAGAAAACTCCCCAACCAATGGTCCCAAAACATACTTTAATCCATCAACGCAATAACATTTTTTCTTAAACTCCAGGTTGTTGAAAAAGTTTAGCAAGAAATAGTAGTGCGGTTAATACAAAACCGTTACATTCATGGTGAAGTCTGAGCCTAGCCGAAGTTTGTACATTTCAGTTTGAAAAAACCCTTAATTAATTAACGTGCCGATATACAGCAAACGTTACCTGAGTCGCTTCTAATGATTGCCAGATTATAGCAGAGATTTCAGGTGATTTTGCAAATGATGCTAGTGTGTTCAAGAGAGCTGCTTTAAGTGAAGATGGAACCGGGCAGCCAACCAACCCAAAGAATGAAGCAATCGGAAGCCAGTATGTGTTGTCACAGAAGGCTATTCTCACGTTTTCACTCTACAATGAAAAAATTCAGTTTCAAATGATATTTGGATATTTGATCTATAATAAATTTTTGTTCTTGATAACCGAGTAAATGTCTTCCATCAGATAAGTAATACCCCCGTCCTTTCAGTCAGACCATGCGTAATAGTCAGTAATTTCACTTTAGATGTGATTGTAGGGAGGGGGATGCCTCATTCGACGGCAACGTAAAGTCACACTGTTGTCTTCTGTAAACGAATAACTTTCTAAATTTGCTTGGATATAATGAAAGCCGACTTTCATCTGGTTCTTTAAGAAGTAATCTTAAATTGCTGTTACTCTGTTGTCAAAGAAAGCATGTTTAAAACGGTAAATGCATCCCTACGTACACTGGACACTGAAACTTCTATTGCAATGATTGTAAAAACTGTAGTCCTGTCCCACGTTGATCTGGATTGTACAAAACTAGTAACTTACGTGTTCTGCGACAATGTGAATCAGCTCAAGGACACTTTCCAACGCTGACAGTTCTTCAGGAGATATGTTATGATGATGGTGAACGTGCGCGTGGTGCTCTATAAATAAACAAACATTAGATATATGATTTGGTTAATTAAATTGTATGTAAGAAAGAGATTTTCTGATGGTGATATCTTGGGATTGGTATTTCGAGAGAATGAGCAAGAATCCAATATAAAGCAACTAAAAGTGGCTTTAAACTTTAAGCCTAAAAACTAAATAATTTTGATGAATTTTCATCTTTCTATGGTGCAGCAAATGGAAGGAGTGTGTGAAATTCCAAATTTGAGTGCACGGGAAGATTTCATTTACGCACTTGGACCCTTTAACGTTGTGCGCGAGACGTTTGTGGTCACCTGCAGCTGAATTACAGGGCGTCGCTCCAACGCGCGACCCATCTTTCCCATTATTTTTAAACTGCAAATTGATATAAACTTTTGTTCCTTCAAGAATTATATGATGTTCAATACTCAGAAGATTGTGAACTGAAGTACTTCTATTGTATCACAAAATACTGCCAATTGTGCGAGTGTTTCAAAACTGCGAATGTGCAATTTGAACAAGTATATATTAAAAAACAGTAGTGGTGGTGAAACTTAAGTTTACCCGCTGAGGCAGCATCCTGTCTGAGACTAGAGTAATACTGCTTGAAGGATTGAAAGAAATGGTCCCAAGTGGCGGTCAACGTTGGAGATCCACCGATACTTCCATCTGAGTTTAGGAGATTAAAGCAGCACTGAGCCGATTGCTGATTGGTTGAGAGGCCAGTTAACATTTTGACGTAGGATGTAAACACGGCTTGTGGAATAAGATCACCGGCGAGACGAACGAATTTGTTCAGCAGAACCTATGACAATAACAAACACACTCAAGACGTCATCGACATAGAATAAAGGAACGAACAACAAAGGTGGCCAAAAACAAATCAGAGAGAATATTAAAAACCTTACCTGTTTCTGTCGCAGATAAAGTTTCACAGCACTCAAAGGCTTAGGGGAAAATACACCACCAAAGGTTTCACCTGGGCACCAGTAATCCTTGCTGAGTTCCAACCCAAGAGGATCGTTTTTGTACAAAGCCCCAACCTACAATTTCACAAATAAAGTTATCAAAATATCATACTGCAAAGATACTACATTGCGAAATTTTATGATATAGTGTCTTTACAAAATATCATGAATACTTCAAGGATACCATAGAATTAAGTTAAGCCACACGAAATTGGCGATCTTAAGGTGCCCAAGAGAAGCTCTTACAATCTAAAAAACCAGTCTTCCTATCTCAAAGTATTTGCTCCAAGCCAGGTTATACTAATTGTCTTTAAAAAGATCATTTTAATTCATATAAAATATTTTAGCAATTAAGATCACTCTCTGCTTATATTGCATCGTTCATTGTCTATTTGCATTTGATTTCGTCCCGGAATCCCGGAATACAGCAAACGGCCAGATTATGCTTTTTCTTTTTAACATGCATTCTAACCAGTCTTCAAAACAATTTTTTGCAACACTTTTTCACGGCATTTTCTCAGCAAACTCAATGGGCATGTTTATCTATTAAAAGTTGATGACCCAATTTGAACAACATAAAAATCTTTACCAGCAATAAAAGATCTTGGAAATCGTGTCTCAGTCCCTTCGGCGGTTCGATTCCTTCCTGCAAATGGGCCTGAAGTATCTTTGCATTTTCATCGCCGCGGTTTCGAAGGTCTTTAATCTTAAAGAAAAAGTAAGAAAATAGAAGACCCAACCCTTTTAAAAGAAACAAAAGCTTAGGCGCCCTTCCAGATATTCAGCATTTAGTGATACCCCAAAATACGGTAAGGCAGCATCAATCTCTCCAAACAAACAAAATCGTGCCCTACTTGCAATGACCAGCAGATGTCGACACTGAAGCAATACCCTAGCTTCTTGTGCCTTTGGTAGACACGGGGTACAATTGAGAAAGCGCCAAACCAGTAAAGCAGGTTTCCTTAGAAAGGAAAAGGAACAAATTCTAAAAACGGTAACCTACCCCATAAGTGCGAATTGGGCACATATCCCTTGTTATATGAGATAAAATTTTATCTAATCTGACAAATATCACTACTTCATGCACTATACGATAGAAAAATACATTTGTACGTAACTTAAATGCATAACAAAATCAAGCTACAAAGACCTTTCACAGGATGAGATCACTGAAGGTACAATGGTTAGGTGAACAAAACATTTAGAGGATAATCTGCTTTTACAGCTCTAGAGAACTTTGTCAATTTTCACGCTCAGTTGAAACGTCACAGCTCTATCATTGAGCACTCGGCAACACACAAGTTAGCAGCAATCTTTAAAAGACTTTCTTTATATGTTGTGTACTTACTTTCATGGGATACTTCAGAATCGTGTTCGTGATGAGACCATGGATGGTTTTGACACAATACTCCTGTAAGAAAATATATATACAAAAGGTGGAACTGGAGCAAGCAATGCTACCATGACAAGAGATAGGTCCTCCCTTGAAAATTGCAGATCAATATAAGTCACACATTTTAGAGGGCTAAGCCAAGGGTAAATGTACATTATTGAATGGACATCTTAGCTATTTTTAGCAGGAAACACCTCGATATATTTAATTCTGATGATTTTGGAAATATGTCTGCTCATTCAAAGACTTTTTAACGACTGAAGGTGATGACACACTTCGCTACTAAATGATACGACTCTTTACAGGGTCACTTCAACTGAGAAAAGAGGTGGAATGGTTTGTCTGTAACTTAAAACTTTCTACAAGGCTCCTAAAGTTCAAAATTTTCGAGATAAAATTCTATCACAGCCCTGTCACTTCTACCTACGCCTAGTGCTTCCATGTATCAGTCGTTTCGAACTTCTCACCTCGTGAAAGAAGCTATCTGCAGAAACAATACAGCTTTTTATCAATCGAAGTGCATCAGACTGCAAAGCCAGATCGAGCAGTTCCTCGTCTTCTGCAAAAACTTCTTCATATGCGTCAAGGTTCTCAAACTGTCTCACAAATCGAAGAAAAACGGCCCACACAAACTGGAGAACCACTTTGATCGAAGGAGTTCTCCAATGCTGATTATCTGGTCGAATGACAGCCTGATGAAGCTTCGAAACAAAGTCGCCATCTTGAAATACAGGGAACTTAGAATCTGCAAGGAATAGACAAAAGATGTCTAAAACACCGCGCTGAAAATGGTTTTTAGAAAAATAAAAGGGTGAAACATTTCAGATACATTTAAATTTATCGCATCTGAAGTCGATTGGAAACGAAATGGAAACAGTGAATTCCTTATCATTTACAAAACGTATATATTTATAGTACCAAAATATAAATATATATATACATACATATATAATATATTTCTAAAGAAAACATATTTAATTGCTTAGCAAATACAAATGGACATCTGCAGTTACAAAAATACAAAAAATATGCTTCGAATTTTTACCTTTCAAAGCTTCCGGCTCCTCCAAAAGGACTTCATAAGCAGAGGTGCTCCAACTAACAAGTAAAGACAGGATTACTTTGAGCGTAACATGATCATAACATCCATCAGATGTATCAGGAATACAATCCTTGAGAAAATCTATAACAGCAACGCATTCTGATTGGCCAAAAGGTGATTGACAGGCCCAGCAAAACAAACAATCCGCTAGAGAATTCCGCTGTTCTGTTATCAGTTCAGTTAGTTGTTTTCTATGCTTCGGGTTTCCAACGACCTTCCCTTTATCAAGTTTCTCAATCTCTCCTTGAACGCTGATATCACGAAGCTTCTGCAATATTTTGTTGATAATTCCTAAACAGAAAATCAACAGGAAGATAAATGATCACCAGACCCAATGTTTAAATAATTCACAGAGACAAGAACTCTGTGATATAAATAACAACATGGACATCCTAAGCAAGCCATGATTGATCCAAATTTTGCAGTGCTGAGTCAAATCATGTTCAGCTATAAATCTACAATCCCAGACAAAAATAGTTGAAATTTTTCAAGAAGATTTGATTTTTTCCCTTTCTTTTGAAAAATGACCCCCTCCCCCTTCTCTTTGTCAATGTTGAATGCATATAACTACAAATCCAGCAATTGCTTCTGCATCACATACGAAATAGGGTGTTATAATAATGAAACAAATGAGCTAAAAAAGTACTAATGAAAAAAATTAATTAGGGGGTAGTGACTCCCTGAAAACCAACCATCGTCAAACAGTTTTTCTGCAAATTTATCAACAGCTTGGGTTATTTGCTGATCCAGTTCCAATGCCCATGACATCCCTGTCTTTGCTGTCAATAATAACTTAAGTGCATTGACCAGACATCTTCTTCCATCATGATATAATAAGGCAGCCACCAATCCCCTTGACAAACCTGAAAATTAACATATGTGATATGCAACAATTCTATAACTATTTTATGCCTTAGAAGGTTATTTTAATTTCATGATAACAGCAGATTCTGTTGTTTGATGACATGGTTTTACATTGCTATAAGTTACTGAAATAGGATAGTCTGAAGAAACAAACCATGTCAGTAATACCAATACATAAAACTGACATACCGAGAAACAACATCTCTGAAAAATAACAGGTGATACCTGCTTTTACAACCGGCAGCAATTCGTCTGATTCTACAAGGCCCCAGGATCATGTAATTTTGACTCATGACATGTGTTACTTAAGCGATATGATGAAGAATAACTCAAGGATAAAAACTCATTTATGGAAAGATTAAGAAAAGGTATCTAAGTTCTTGAAGTTTATGGTCAACTGGCATGAAATGTGGAAAAACTATAAAAAAAAAGTCAAAACATATGCTACAACATTATGTTGAAATACTTGCAAAAGTTAACAATCAAAACAAACCAGGAAAATTTGACAACTGTTGCTCTGCTGAGATGAGTAGATCCACACAAACAAATTCACTCAAGTTCAGTGCATCACTTAGAGCAAGAGCTTCTGTCACAAATAAATCTGACAGCTTTGTCAGACCATGTCCTCCTTCAAGTTGAATTCCATCTTTTGGTGCATTTTTTACTTCTTCTCTCTGCTTCCCACTCCTCTCCTAGGTTAAAATAGTTCAAATTTAAGCAGAATTTCAAATATTCAGGTTAAGTTAAAAATCAGATAAACAATTAAATAAGATAACGAGGATAAGAGAGATAATTCTAAAAGTTTGACAAATCAACTTCACCTTATGACGAAGGTTCTACTATAAACAAACTTAACTCAAATTCAGCAAAGGAATTTTAAATTAAGAGCCTAGAACATAAGTTTTGAAAAGGATAGTAACAGAAATCTTCAAATAAAGTTGTTTAAAATAAAAAAATTTAACATACTGGATTTTCAAGTAAAGATATGATAGCAGGTCTGCATTTTGTCAGAAGCATTTCCAAGTCTGAAAGGTACTCCAACTTGTTTTGCCCAACAACAAACTCCACCATGGACAGCAACTCTTTATGTGGGGTCCACATACCTGCAAAATTTGAAATTAAAAGCAATAATGTTGGTTTTTCCAAAAATCCCAAAACTTAAACTTAAAACCTTTAGCATGAGGTGTGGCTGATTCAATAACACATTGAGGTCCAAGAACATTGTGTATCTTAAAGCGTGTAAAGAGTATCTAAAACATTTCTTTTTTCATTTATTTCAGAGTTGTCTAATACATTTTTATAACATATGTTGGCTTATTTTATTCACTTCCCAGCTTTGATTTCTAAGAATACTCCGGTCTGGATTTCATGGCAGTTTATGACGAGATCTTGGGAGTGCACAAGCTTTTAGCCGGGAGTGCAGAGTGCATTTGTGTTTTAATTTGCCACAAATACCCCGTTTACACTGTTCCTTCCAAGTTTGGAACAGTGGTATAACTTTTGTGGTTCCCCCTTCCGTTTTCAATATCATTATGAAACAGAGACGATTTTGCTCTGCCATCCAGCACAGTTTTGACCCTGCTATGAAAGCAAACAAATTTTGTACCATCAGGGTTCCATTTTCAAACAGAACAATGATCTCAAGGGGATCACTTAATTTAGAATGACACACTTTTTACAATCCAATTTGGGAACAAATTTAGAAAGTCATTTTACCATATTTGAAAAAAACTATTTTGACTGGGCCACACCCAAAGCCAAACCCAAACTGCGCCCATATTAGGGTGTGCAAGAGTGCACTCGTAGTTTCACAAAAAATTCTTGGGAGTGTGGCTGCCATGGAATCCATACTGGAGAATACTAAGATAAAACTAAATTATTATGAATTTTTTCACTACAGCAGCAAACAAATTCCAGTTAAATCTAGAAAGAAATACCTTATATTCACAACAAAATAACTCACGACAGAACGTTCCAAACAACATGAAGTTCTCAGTATAAACTACTTTCAAGATGAAGATTTCAAATCTAAAGTCCATTTTTGAGAAAGGTCTTTAGATAGCGAGATGCAGAATCGATGATATCAACCCCGGGACCGGACCGGAATACAAACAATTCATGCATGCCAAAAGAAAGTTTTTTAAACTTCATTTAAAAAGCAATGGAACTGAAGTACATAATTTCGGTCTGATGCATTCAGGAAACCGCAAGCGCTGAGAAGCTATTTTCAAGAAATTCAGGTGCATTCGCAATGGGCCTAAAAACTAGGATCCACATTTTGAGTACCATCAATCCAGAACAATAAAAAACATAGCCATAAATTTTAAGAAAATAGACTAAAGAAGTAGAGTTTTAGTCTAAATCGTATAACTTTGATTCAAACCTCATATAAATTCATGTATCTTACCATTTTGATAGGGATTCTTGGCTGCCATTTTAAACGGGAAACGCGCCAAAGGTTTCTACTTTGACTGCCTCTTTTTGAAAAATACTCGTGAAAACGAGTTACCGTTCAGACGCCTCCCGGCCAAGTTTAGTGACCAAGAAATCAATTGCAATTTGCAAGAAATATTTTTGTTGCAAATATGAAATCAAAAATTGCGAAAGAAGTGAAAGGGGTCTAGGGCGCCATAATACCATACATTAAATTTATTTTTGGCATGTTTAAAAGTTTTAATTCCACCTCAGGTGCAAGGATGGCTCAGTTGTTAGAGTTGCTGACTACAGACCCAAGGGGCCGTGGTTCGAGTCCCTGGCATGACCAAACTTCCACCCAGAGTGAGGAAAGTCGCCAGCTCTCTGTAATTCCAGGCCTAGAAATCACAAGGTGTGGTCACATTGAGAGGAAGGACCAGGACACTGCTTGATAAGCATAAGCTTCTAAGTGTCCTAAAAACTACCTTCGGATGCTAGGTAGAGACAAATACTAGTACAAATCACCACCCAAATGCAGCAAATGTTATGTAACCCAGCACAGAAGTCGAGCAACAAACTTTGATGTTGAAAAAATAATTTTCGAAAATAGCTTTGAAAAAAGCAAACATTTTACAACATACTAAAAGCTTTTTCATCTGACACTTCTCAGACCATAAAACGTCAGAATCAGGGTCTGAGAGCACACAATGAAAAATTGCTCTGAAGCACCAATGGCCAATTTCTGATAAAATGAAATGCATATGATTTTTCTTTGCTACATTATACAAAATATACAAAGTTTTATTGTGGGATTTCAATGCGTATCTTAAGGTAGACAAAAAAGGTTTTTGCCAATTTACTGCCAATAGCTTGATTTACTGCCAATATTCTCCCTAAGATACATTTACATTGAGAAGAAATACAAAATATCAAGAAATCAAATTGATTATATCGAAATTCAACTTCAATGAAGACACTAGATTTTTCATAAAAGAAATACTTAAAACCGCCTAAAAAGTTACTGTTTAACATTCAAATCAACTGACTATGAATTTCTCAACACCAGATCTTAATTCTCTAATTGTCTTCCTTGGATCTTCACTTTTGACAATGGCTGTCCCTGAAACTATCATGTTGGCTCCTGCTTCGCCAACAATATCAATATTAGCAGGGCCAACACCCCCATCCACTTCAATGTCAAGTTCTGGATAAAGCTCTCTCAGTTTCTTGACTTTTGGCATCATGTCAGACATGAATTTTTGACCTCCAAAGCCAGGTTCTACTGTCATAATAAGGATCATATTAGCTTGATCAACATATGGAAGAACAACATCAACATTTGTCTTTGGTTTCACTCCAATTCCCACTTGCATACCTAAAACAACAATAGTGCTCCTGTTAATAAATCAGCTAAATGTTCATTAGTGGTTACAGTAATTAGTGGTTACAAAGTGTGTTTATAGAGTGTGTTTAAACAAATAAAGAGCAATTTGAAAATCTTGGAAGCAGAAGCAGTTGGTTTTTTCTTTCTATCAACTTATTCTCAGTGAAAAGATTATAGCAACAAATTTGTATGAATGTCAATCATCAAAGCCAGTTGAAATATTAAAGACAATTTTTACAAGATCTTTGGTGTGCCAACAGCCCCACACTTCAGGTACAGATGTGCAAAAACTACCTGAAAATCCAACTTGCAACAGAACTATCAGTTTTTCCAGATATAGAACAAATGAATCCAGTTTTAGATGGGCCCTTGATGATATCATGTCTGCATCTTGGGCACTCCACTGCCATGCTCTACAAACTGCCTCCAGAGCATACAACTGCTGACACAAACTCAGATCTCAGGGCTGTATATTGAAACTTGAAATGTAATAGAAATGATTGGTAAAAGAGTTGTTTATGGCATGTGTTGTAAAAGAACTCTTTTTTGACATATATCGTCAAGTACTGCACAATTGTATGTTAGATTAGCATGGCTCCCAAACATTTACCCAAAAAGTCAAGACAATCATTGATGTAAGTGAAACTGGGCTGCAGAAGCTAAGTCCATAAATGCCAGCTTTCACTGAGACCACTTTATTATTAGCATAGAACCTCTAACCTGTTTCCTTAATTTGTCGAATGAGTTTGGCAGGATCACTTGTTGCCTCAATGTGAAACGTGTATTGATTGCAGCCTGCATCAAACATATCGGTTACCCACTTTTCTGGTTCAGCAACCATCATGTGCATATCAAAAAACGCTTTATGCACTCTTCTTCTTAAACATTTAACAACAGGTGCTCCGAATGTAATATTGGGTACAAACTTTCCATCCATTACATCCAAATGCAAATAATCTGCACCACTATCGAGAAGTCTTTCGCTTTCTTCACCTAAATTTGCAAGGTCGGCATTCAAGATTGATGGGCCTATCTTGCAGCATGGTGTTGTTTTGCTACCCATCTTTTTACAGAACTAACGATTAAATGATAAGAGGCAAAGCGTTTAGCCTTTTTATGATTATTGAAGAAAGTTTTTTTCTTTCCAAGATGGTGCAACGTGGCAATATTGTTGTTTCTAAGGTATAATTCTTACGAATTTCAGCTTGTTTAGTATTCCGCCAAAACTCCAGCCTCAATGCGGACCTGAGGTAAAATCCTCCGTAGCTACAGTTCTCCGAAGCAACTTGTTTTGTTTTCATGGGATTCAAGAGCTGGGCAGGCCAACTGACTCACGGCGAAACTATCAGGAAGCATGGGCAAGGTTAACAGTAGGATTTAGTTTAGTTTGACAAGAAGCAAGGGCTTTCGATGATGCTCCTTGCTTGAGAAAGATCTGGTGCGAAATTTCACTGTATTGTATGACATTTGATCATTCATCGCATTGTAGTGAGGTTAGACAAAAATTTGGCTGCTGTTATTCGCAGTCAGTTTAGTTACACCTACTTGACTGAGAAATCTTTCGATCGTTACTCAAGATGCCACAACGAAATTCGGAAGTCAGCCTCTGCGTCAAATATTTGCTGTTCTTCTTCAATGTTTTTTTCTGGGTAGGTATTACATGTATTATATCTTAAAACAATTTGAGTAAATTGTTTTTGCAAGAACTACACTGCAAATTTTTGTTTTCCACTTATTTATTAGCCAAAAGGAATATCATGATTGAAACTCAAAGAGATTAGAAAAAGCATCTCTGTTTTACTTTGAAGAAAGTTCTGTGAAAAAGTCAGACCCATAGGCCTGAATCACTATGATTGTTCAATCATCTTACCTTGTTGCCAACCCCAGGATACATCTTATATTGAGACTTACGCTGAAATGACGACTACAAATTTGTATTAAATTTAAAGGCTTTTAGCCACAACATAAAGGATTCAATATGTATTGTGTATTTATGTATGTGTTAATCATCATCAATCAAATCATAATCAGGGGCAGACACTTGGTCAAATATAAGGGGGGGGGCAAGCCCATTGTTTTGATAAAATGATGTCAGATTTTCCAATTGTTTTGGAACAAAAGACCGTTGTCATCCTAAATATTAGGGAGTGGCTGCCCCCCTCACCCTCCAGGTGGCCACAACTGATCATAATCAATCATCATCAAAAAAGATCATCAATCACAATAACTATCATTATCAATCTTATTAATCATTGTCAATCATAATTAGTCATTTAATCGATCACCAGCATCAATCACCATCAATCTTAATCACCATCTCATCAACCACTAATCATCATCAATCACTAATCATCATCAGTTGCTGCAATCAGCCATAACACAGTCATCATCAGTCATCATCAACCACCACCATCAACCATTTTTGCAGTCATCATTAATGATTCCCTTATATCATATAATCATTTGTTCTTCATACATCTCAACATTATCAATATTTCTTCAAGATCATTGGAGGTGGGATCCTGGGCATTGGGCTGTGGGCACGCTATGAAAATACCAAAGCTGGTGCTAGTGTTAACAAAATTACAGATTGGGATTTGGATCCAGCCTGGCTGCTTATTGCCATTGGGTTCCTCATGTTCAACCTTGGATTCTGTGGTTGTATTGGTGCTTTGAGAGAGAACATAGCCCTGTTGAAGTTTGTAGGTATTTTTTGTTTCATGCTAAGTTCTTTTCAAGCATTAAGTAAACAAATCAGTAAAAAGTTAGTATCAATAGATAAGAAGATAAGAGAATTAATTCCATTTAATTTTTTTTGCTCCCAGTACTTGCAATAGTTTGTTTATCATATTCAAACACTACCTTGCATAAATATTTTATGAATAGCATTTTGTTTCTTGTTTTCAGTGTTTTTGATACCATTTCATAGGCTTTGTTTTATCAAATTTCTAATATCATTATTTTCATTTCACAGTTCTCAATATCTTTATCAATTATATTCTTCCTCCAACTTGCTGGTGGTGTTATTGGCTTTGTCTTCAGAAACAAGGTAATTTTATTCTCAATGGAATCTGTGTATTGTTGGTCATTTTTTTATATTCAAGAGCATTTCTCTATGTTTCTATTTATTTCTCAATTTCTGTACATTTACTTTCTTCTTGTTTGCTTAATGAAATTGAATACTTATAATTTGATAGCTCAATAGTTTGTTTCAGTTCCAAAAAGTAATTCTAAAAATTCTTCTTTACTCTGTTAATTAATAAGTTAAACAGTTTATCATCATATAGAATGCATAGAAAGTTACAAATTACTTACAAGATGTTTCTTGTTTCCTATCAAATTGTGATGCAGCAACATAACATTTTTGATAATTCTTTTGTCCCTAGATCAAAAGCATGGTTACAAAGAAACTTGAAAAGACAATAATTAGCTACAGAGACAATCCAGATTTACAGAATCTGATTGATTACACTCAGGAAACAGTAATATTTTTTATTTAAGTTTCATACTAAGAATATATATTAATATTTCCAGTCTGCATATTTGGGCTTATTTTAATGACTCACTGAATTTCATTACCTTTTGTTATATGTTTCTTTCATAAACTCCAGTATTAATTTATCTTACACAACAATAATATATTTTTTGTAGCAAATTCAACATTAGCCAATTAAATTTGGTATTTTTTAGTTTAAATGCTGTGGTTTAAACTCATATGATGACTGGGATATGAACATCTACTTCAACTGTTCTTCTCCCGGAAGTGAGGGCTGCGGTGTCCCATACTCCTGCTGCATAACCGTATGTACTTCATGTTATAGCCCATTTGAAGATAGAAACTTGAATTCAAAGTCAAAAATATTTTTTGAATTAATTAAGATTTTGTTTGTACTGTATAGTCCTATTATACATGCTGGGACATTCTTTTGAAGGGAACTTATGTAGGAAAGCATCATTTAAGCTGTCAGCATAATGGTCTGAGATTTTGTTAGAATTGCCAGTTTCCTTTCTGTCCCATGATGATTTCTTTGTGTGTACTTTAGCATACATTTTCATGATTGCTATTGCTAGGTTATTGAATCTGATGCACATTTTAGCTGATACACAGTTATTTGTGTTTATTTTTGATATCATGAAGATTACTAGGCAACCAAGGCTTTTGTTAAATTCGAGGAATCGTTTGTGGTTCAACTGACATAGAAACTGATACAAGCAATATTAAACTCATTGTTTCAGCTATAAACTACTTACCATGAATGAATAAGATCTTAGGTACCCCAATAGATAGTTGTTCCTAATCTTTTAATTGCATATTATTCTTTAATGAAAAGGACAAACTGAACACCATGTGTGGTTATGGAGTGCGCAAGAAAACAATGTCGGTATGTTAAACTTTTTCCCTTTGTTATGTTAACCTGATTAACTTGACTTTCAACCCTTCAGATAAACAAGTTTCAATTTGGCTTTGTGCGACAAAATTATTTGTTTTTTAAAATAAAGTTCTTCAAGTTATTTTCTAGGAAATTGTGGTCAAATTTTACTGCTAGATAAAAGCATTGTTTCAGTTCAATTAGTCTTTCAGTTAAAAATAGTATCAGTTTTCTTTCTTAGTCTTGCAAATTGCTTTGTCATCTTCAGATCTCGAAGCAGCTTTTAAAATTTGCTGTTGACCAGTCTTTTTTAACATTTTTCATCTTTAAGCAGTATCTTTAAGCAGTTAACATGTTTCATTTGTAAGACAGTTCTTGAAAACTGGCTTTTGTTACCCCCTGCCATATCACTTATTAGGGGACAGACAGGCGAAGAAAAATCTACACAAGTGGTTGCATCGATGGCGTTACGTCATGGTTTAAAAAACATTTGATTGTTCTTGGAGCTGTTGAATTTGGTGTGGCGCTTCTTCAGGTAAATAAAGTTGAATTTTTGACAAATTCTTGGAAAACTTGACTTGAGCCTTTCGATTTTAAGAAGGCTTTGCCATTGTTCCTGCACCTTAAAGTTTTTTAAAAAATTGGAAACAGATGTAATGTTAGCCTAGAATTATAAACTGATGATGGATTTTTATGGAATCAAACATTAAAAGAAACCATTTGCGTAACAGGCTTTATATTACTGCCTTTTCACGATTGCATCTTTAACTAAGTAGTGAATTTAGTTTGCGATCTATCGTGAGTTTAAACAATGTTTTGTGTTATCCTTAGGTATTAGGGATTGGTTTTTCGACTAAATTGATATCGGACATTCGAAAGCAGATGGCGAAATGGGAAAGACCCAGACCGTTGCTGCGCCCGCACCACGAAACTGGTTATATGTGAGGTAAGCAGGACCGCAAGGATCGGTGATGGTGACCATTCTTATGAAGTTTGATTGAGTGATGAGCGTTTTATCCAAAAGAAGATCACCAATGGATGACGTCAAATGTCATGTTTTGAATCAGCCTCCGGTCTAGGAGCATGGGGATCAACTTTGAGAACAATGTATTATAATATTTTTGGTTTGGCGTCTACTGTAATATACAACCTAAATTCAATTGTTTTGGAGGTTTAAGGAGGACACTATCCCGAACCTTTAATGCCTTTGAAATACTTTTGTGCAACTTGTATGTTGTTGAAAACAACAGAAACATTCCAATAATGTACTTGCACTGACATTTTTAGTTTGTTGTTCGTTTTAAACTTCGATCTTTAATACTGTTACGCAAGGAAATCTGTAATAAGGGACAATTCTTGATAAGGGAAAGCTCTAAATAAGAATCAAATAACATTATTTCTTGCGTTAAAAGCCTTGTAGAAGAAACCCAAAGACGTTTCTCCACTCCGGACAGTAAATGTAGCCAATCGTTGCACAAAGTACTTAGAACACCTAGTAATTTGTGTTGAATTTTTATATTTTTCAATTCTTTTTTCGGATATTCCTATTTTCACACCCCTTCCCCCCAATACAATGTTGATAATGTAGAAAAATATCATAGAAGTCGCGTCGATAACGTACTTCCCAATCCCCTACCCCGTTTTATAGTAAACCAACATTGTTCACAGGGGGGAAAGGGGATGGCTGAATTTGCCCTTGAAAACAGATGTTAGTGTACCAAGACTTTTGGCAAGAATTGTAGCCGCAAAGAAGCCCTATGTTATAATTTTTAGGACGTTTGGTATTGTTTTTCACTTATGAATTTGAGTGTGAATTGCATATTTAATTGCTAGAAAATTTGGTTTAGGTTGAAATGATGTGCTTCTTTTGTCAATAAGTGAAACTGGATTTCTTTAACATGGCTACTTGATGAGTTTGAAAAAACCTTGTGTTAGTTAAACTAAGAAGAATCTCATCAACTAATAGCACAAAATATTTAAAGAGGTTTTGAGAAAGCTGTAGTTTTCTATCCCGTAGTCAGTGCGGCAACTATACCAATTGTAGGCTCCTTTGAAGTCCGTAGTCCCTATATCTCTAAACAATGACTCCGACAATAAGTAAATAAGTATACCTTGCGAAATCTTTCTGTTCTTTCAACGACTTCGACAAACCATGCCCTTGAAAGCAACATCTGTACTGCCCGAATCTTCACTTGTTGATGTTATTCATCTTTATTTATTCTTTCTATTTTCGTATTTATAGTCATTTAGTTTTTTGAAGAAAGTTATATGAAACGGTGTTTGTTTAAATTTCATTTATCTATTTATCGTCTCACCTTGCTTGTTGAAACAACCATTTCGAGATTTCAATTTAATTTTTACTTAGTAATCAAGTATTTAAATATAAAGCAAGCTGAAATATAAGCATAAAAATGAAAAAAGTGTTGGAATTTGAAAAGTAATATTTGGAAAAAAGAATGAGATGGCACTTGAAATAAATATGTAATTGAAAACAATTTTCCAGGCTAGAATGAATCTACTCGTTTTGTAGAAAATTCATTTCCTAATTTTCTATAAGAACCAGATAAATTTTCTCGAGGCTAGAAGATCTTGGCTGATAAAATCTGCCCCTATTTCTTGCCACGAGAGAAAATGTTCAAGTTTCAAGAACAAGTTAGTTTTTCTTCTAACATTTCATTTAAAGCTCGACATATTTTACATTGTTCTTTTTCCGGAAAATCAAGCCTTGGTGTTTTTGTAAAGCTTGTTCTTATAAAGAAAGGGTGTAGGTATGCAGTCCTGCCCCCTTTTTGAAATTGGTGAAGTCCCCATTTTCGCGTAAAGATTCCTGGGCAATGACGAGGCTGCATGGAGGCCAGTGCGCAGGAGTACCTTGCAGTGCTCGTGTGCTGGTGTTGTTTGGATCCCATTCTGCAAGCTGCTGGAATAGAAGGCAAAGTTAAAACCAAAATGACTGCATTTTCATCTTTAAATGGTGCATCAGTGGCAGACACAGTTGTGCCAACTGTGGTTGCAATCACTGGTGGAGTTGTTGCTTATTTGGTCCTGACTTCGGTTTTCCGTAAGGTGGTAAGCAAAGGGAATCCCAACACCATCAACAAATCAGTTAAAAAGGACACAGCCAAAGTTGTAGACTGTTTTGATATCGAAGATTTGCCAGATAAGGTCTCCTACTGTCGTTGTTGGAGATCTAAAAAAGTAAGAAATCGTTACGATATCAGACCATTTTATGTGATAAGCTGGACGATTTGTTGATCAAAGATTACTGACGAGGGACGAGGCTAAGTGCTAAAAACAACATTAAATTCCACTTCAAGCAAAACACCCTCATATTATTCTAAACAACTTGCAAGAATCAATAACTGCATATCAAATCAAAAAGACAGTTGTAGCATAAAGTTTAAGAGAGATAGAATGACACTTCAAGCTATGTCAAAATTGTTTATTAAACTAGTATTACATAATAGTGAACAGCTTCTTGCATAGCTCAAGTTTTAGCATTGCTTAAAGACAAAACATTGAGGTACCATATTTGCTAAAAGTGACAAACCATGCAACAAGCTTTTTAGAGTTTGACTGCTTAAGTTCATTAGGATGTCACGGCACACAAGAACTAAAAGCAAGTAATTGTTAACATGCAACTCAGAGAAGTAACTTGGAATCAACTTTTTCTAGACACAAATGTATGATAATAGCTGCCAACATAAATGCATTCACCTTGTTGGTTTGATCACCTTATTGGTTTTGATCACCATACAGATTGAAGCACTGGCATAGCAAAGGCTCAATATTTTTTGTCTGATTTGAGGGCTACAGTCCTGCCTCAGTCCCTAAAACTCATGCCTGTGGATGGAAGGCATAAAGACAAAACAAGCATATAGATCAAGAGTTAATTATTAGAAAAACTAGTCTTGTAACAACTTTAGTTGGTACCAGTAAAACATTAAAGTCCCTCTCTGCTTTCTTTCAAGCCCTTGCCTTCCTTGTAGATTTCTTGGTTATTTGGTTTAATGCTCTTCTGAGACCAATGTATCTGCTGCCCTAAATACATATTCCATTGGAAATGGTTTTTCAAATTTAGTAATATACTGCCCATTATTATTAGGTTGCTGTCCAGAAGTTTCAATCAATTAGAGTTTTTCTGCCAATTTTTGAATTAGCTTGAAAATTTATTCAACCCAATAAACTATGATTGTTAGGGCTCTGTTGAACCAGCAAGGAAAATGTCTTGAAATGACTAATAATTTTAGCTTCCCTCGAAATAGCTTAATGGTACCAGCATTTTAGGACTATCTAAAATGATTTTTTTCTGGTATAGTGCCTTCTTTCTTAGTGCTGCCAAGACTGTGACCCTATCTCATGAAAAGTAGGAATTATGACATGAAATTTTCTGTAGCCTTGATGATTTTTGGAGCAGTGTCCACTCCCTTAGTGCCAGGATTTAGTCAGCGTTGATATGATAGAGGGGAAGGTTATGTGATTGAAGCTCATTTTCAAGTTAAGTGTATCCTGGCATTTTCGAAAATTAACCATTTTCAGACTAGAAATTCCTAATATTTTATCATTTGCCAGATCCCTTTACATTCCATACATCCAAAATTGGATGGTTTTTCCAAATGATTTGAAGCAAAGCCTCATGACAAATGCAGCTAGTTTGCATGACAGTAGGGGAAAATAAATACCAAAATCATGATGTTTGGCCTATTTAGCCTTTGCACCCCCGAAGGCCCAATGTGGGAGAATCCCATTAATCTTTTGATTCATGCACCCATTCTTCGCTCTTTGATAATCATTCTATTTGCAAACATTAAAGCTTAATTTCGTCTTTTGCAGTTCCCATTGTGTGATGGAAGTCATAATGCTCACAATGTATTGACTGGTGACAATGTTGGACCACTGTGTTTGAAGAGAAAGAACCCAGCGAATTAAGGAAAGACTTAATCAATTATTTGTTAAAATTTAATTTCTTTGTAACCATTTGCCTATTTACATGATGCATACCTTTTATTCAAGTTTTCATTAGAAAAAAAACAATGAAAATTGAGTTTGATTTTACTATTCTCACACTCTGTAGTCTTGAAGTGGTTAAGGGAAGAAAATCGATAACAGGCCACTTATCCACCTCTAACGTGGGTCATATTCCCTAAAACGGTTTATATTTAGCTTCAATGTCCATAAACGCCCATTCTGGGTCTTGGCAACTAGATTTCCTAATTTCTACATTTAACTGCAATTAGACCTTAGAGCTGTTCGCATCATTCTGCATCTAATGGTTCACCATAGCCTGAATGTTTTGTAAGGTCATTCGCAGAAAGAATAATCACTAAGTGCAACGAGGCTCAACTTTATCCTTGGGGATTTTTCCTGTGCGGTAAGAGACTGGATAAAACCTAGTTGCCAGCGCAGTTTCCGCTACGCAGCCATCAATGTCCGTAGATGGCAAGAAAAAAGAAAGAACAGTTAGCCCGGTGACTACGTTTAGGTCACTTAATCAGGAAATGAGAAAGGCACGAAATTTTACAACAAGATTGCTTTGAAAAAAAACATTTTAAGACACTTCTTAAGCTTCGTGTCTTACACTCTGCGGAGTGTAAAACGTCAGATTAACCATCGCAAATTCTACGTTAAAGAATATATATTTCTAGATGTGGATTTAAGGGGACGAGCCAGAAACGCAAGCACATAACTGTTGAGGGGGCCCAATTAGTGCTGCTTGCCTAGAAAAAATGTTACCAATGGAATCCAAGGGAATTCAGACCTTCTTCTGTCTGAATTATTGCGGTTTTCATTTTCACCAAAAGTCATTCTTTCTTAGCTTCAGCCCTTTTTTATGTCATGGCTTTTCGACGTTCTGAATACTATGCACTTTATGTGCTCTCCGCACATTTATATCGAACCAACAAATTCTACTTCACAATGTAAAGATTATCTCTATTTTGTGTCCACATCTACCGCTTTTAAATTCATTGTTAATTTTGCAAAATTACCTCAATGCATACAGAGGAAAAAAGCAATTATTTCTGCTACTCTTCCCTGAGATTAAACCTCTATAAGGTCTGATATACTGTTCGATTGATAATGTTTGATAATGTTCGACTGATGAATTCGTGTTATCGTCACCTCGCTATGGTCTAGCATGAAATCATAAAATCATCCACGGGACCCTTTTTGAAGGAGACCTGCATGGGCTGTCAGGTTGCGGATCCCATCGCAATACAGCTTTGCTTCAAAAGTCGTGGTAAAGGCTGGCTTGTACACCCTATCTGCACATGGCTACTCACAAAGTCAGCCGTAAGAGATTATCAAACCGATTCGATTTGTAACTACGGGCGGTCCTTTTGCGATTTCTAAACACTTCAATAATTCCTATTTCACCTATATAATTTTCATAATAGGCTTTATCAAAGGCAGCGGCTGGAGTGATCTACAATATCAGAAGTAAATTACATCTCATCTGCAAAATAGAGCTTGCTTTACTCATTATTTTCAAGGCATGCCACAACAAAGTACCACCCGATTGCAGTTTTTCTATAAGTAAGCAATATCATTTGACCAAATACTGCCCATTATTTTTAAAACTCGTTATATATCATGTGGAAATTTTGATTTAATCAGTAATGAAAGAAATTAAAAGGAAATTAACCGGAAAACTGCGGAAACATCGTCTGAAAACCCGACATTTCATTGTCTGAAATCTTGGTTTGGATGTCGCTCCGTAATGCTGACGTTGCATCTTTGAAACCGCTCTGGTGCAGTATATGTTTTGCTTGATTTCTGCGAGCAAAGGTCATCCCATTGAGATTCTAATCAACTTATCTCAACCCCGTTGACTCTCTGAGGCTCTTGTAGCCAGGGTAGAAGGGGCCCAACTGCTAAGAGGCTAAGAGTGCATGCAGAGTTAGCCTGACCAATGCAGTAAAAAACCTCCACCCTCGGACAACTCCCAAAGTTTATATCTCCAAAAGCACGGACAAATATTAATGTTCTGTTTAGCACGTCTTTCCTGAATCCAGAGGTCAATGTAGTATACAAGTGGCCGAACAACGGACATCTCCCTACATCCAACCATATCCACACGAATGTCCGCTGTGTTTTGAGGTGTCAATGTGCTATAATCAGATAAATCTGTTCCGTCAAATTTCTTTAATATAAAAAGAGATATCTGGTGAATTCTTATCTTAGCTAAGGCGTTGTGTAAAGTACTTAGGCCGTCATTTTTTTGTTATTGAGCGCTAGACAATAATAATTAGGTCCTGTACTAAGATACGTTTCTACATGATTTATTTCTTCGAGCAGTGTTGGTTTTTTACAAAATCATGCAGCCAGATCTATTAAAGTTATCATCATTACAACTTTAAGCCCGTGAACAGCAAAATACGAGCAAAGGCTACAAATTTTTCTTTTTCAAGCTCGATTCAAAGAGATCATAACAAAACTTCCTAATGGTATGAAAACAGATTGTAGCACAGGTAATGCAGGAGGTCTGGCGAATAAACCATTGTTGTCAAGATGATTGCAATTATATTCCGAATGCAGGGCCTGTTGTATATAGAATTTGCCGAAATTGACTTAGAAAAGGTCGCAGTTGTACGAATGGATTAGAAGAAAGTTGATTGAAGAATCAAATGATTTCTCAGCTCAATAGCAGTGGGGAAAATTAATTCACAACGCAACAGGACTTGATTTAAACAATAAAGTTCATTGAGATCCATTACAATTTAAATGAATAAGAAAACAGTCGGTGCCCTCATTGTGGTGAATGACTTGAAATGCGATGGGCAGTCCTCCTTTTCCATTACGATGTCCTAACAGCATGCAATGCCTTTTATCCCTGTTGTTTCAGTTTGACCGAGGTCAGTAAGGTAAAGAGAATGCGAGAGATTTCTCAACCATGAGGTTGTTATTCGCTCAGTGCTGCGTTTCCTTCACTTAAGAGATGTCACGTAACATCCTTGTCGATTCCACTATAAAACTGTGTACGGAATGAAGCTGTTAGAACTCAGCGTTAATACTTGTTCAATAGCTGGTATACACTGGAAGAGACATATGGGCGTTAGTGACTCGTATACACTGGAAGAAACATATGGGCTTTGGTACAGATGGGTGAAGTTTGTAAAATGGTAAAGAAAAGTTCGAGCAGTAGCGAAGAAGGAAGTTTTGCGGTGCTTAATGGCAACGTCAAAGCAAGATGCATACCGATGAAAAATGTTCTGGTGAGGAAATTATTTTATCATATGCTTGATTTGCCTTCATTGTTTTCATCACTATAGTCGCGGGTTGAATATATGTGAAGGTGATGCCATTGGGAGGAGCCCATTTGTAATTAATGATTAATTTATTGCTTTCATTGTCATTTCCGTTTGGTTTGTTTATGATTTCTATGTAAATTTGCCATTTTTGTTAATTGTTTTCTCTATTGTGCTCTATATTTTTATTCCCATCCTTTATTATAAGTTTGACTGGTTTATATTGCCACGTTTTCTATCGTATTCTCTTTGTTAATTTTTCTTCAACTACTGTTTTGTTTTATTTCTATTGTTTTTAATAGGTTTCTTTTAAATCGCCGATGATTATTGTGACGAGCGTGTTAATTGGATATGCTTTCAAATTTGTCCAATTTTTGACATACTTTCAAAATTTTTATGAAATGCCATGAAAAGATTTGCTCATAACAACTTTATTTTCTTTTGTCTTAATCAGAGAATAATTGTCCTCAACGGACCAAAAAATCTTCTCCTACCATTGGTGGCTCACAATGGTCATTCAAAAACCTTAAAAGAATTCGAAATTTCTTACTGGGAGACCTTATAAAAGTTGTAAGTATCAAATGAACAAAAATAAACAGAAACTTTGAATTTATTCGAAGGCACTATTTGCCTTCTCCGCCGTTATGGTCTCTAACGCTGGCTACATTTGCCGCCGCCATCTTGCCCTCATCGGCATCACCGCCAGAGGTGTGTCGCTACCGCTAGTAATCATCCTGCGGCTGTAATCAATAATTTCGTTATTTCTAATTTTGATGAATAAAAGGACTCGAACAGAATAGATATACTTTGTTCTCATCTGCCAGTCCATTGCTTGTAACCATGTTTACATAACAATGCGAGGGTGAGACATCTTCATCAAAGCTGTCAGGAAAAACACAAAGGAAAGCACCTTTGTGTTCGCTTCAGAATCATGAACTCCTTACGGCGAAGTGTCGAGCTCTCATCTTAGGACTCGGTAAACTAAAGCTTGGGAAAATGAAGAACTTTAACTGGAATACGGTCAAAAGTTTTGGAAAAAGCAGCGGAAAGAAAACGCCGGAGAAAACGCAAGCTGTAAGATCTTCTTTTGATGCTAACAATTGTTTTTCTACTTGTTCATTTAGCAGGTTCATGAATTTGTCAAACATGCTCTCTAGTTTAAGTTCTGTCGATTTATTATTCACGAAAATGCCAGTCATTAATAGGTTGAAACTTTTTTACCTTTCCGTAAATATGCAAATTTCTAACAAGGGTTCTAGAAGTTCCAAATTGCCAAAAAGATTTTGCCAATGGTCGTTGAAAATAATTGAGACTTTTGGATTCGCAGTGTTTCAACTGCGTTTTAATTTGCAGCTAAACAAACATAAATTTTGCCTAACTTTTCATTGACAATAACCGCTAAAGCAGCGCCGAGAGAGGCTTGAAAGTAGTTGAAAGTAGTTTTGATCAAAGGAACATTTGTGTCTCGCAATGATGAACCGATTTGACCCTTTTCAGATATCGAAAATCAAAAATAATTCGTCTTCAAATCTTTGCCTTTTGAAAAGTCTGTTTGTTTTATGATTACGTTTGAGAGAAAGTCAAATAATTTTTAGTCGCTGGTGTAACGAAATTCATTGTAAATAGTTTTATTCCCAGCAAAATTTGTAGGACACGAGTTTGTTGTTAATAAACTCGAAAGGGCCTAGGATCGAGATAATTGGCGATGTCGTCAGCATATTCAATGAAGCTGCGTCAATGTGACGAGTCCGTTTATTAAGCTCAAGCTGCAAAGACACCGGCCAACACCTAGTTGCGTAAATAAATAGTTGTGCTTTGCGTAAATAAAGAAGGCCTGCGACATTGGAACAACAATGCAACTCCCCCCTGTTCTTGCCAAAAAAGGTGCTGCATACTAATGGCGTGCTTTTTAGGGTCCTTCATAGAAGTTCCTACTTTTTCTCTCCCCTCTTCTAATTAATCAAGCAGCCCAGTTCAAAGTAAAGAGTGTGCATCACCATCCATACCCCGTGCACCCCATTCCGTTAATGCCATTGAAGCGGAAATCCGACGCATGTGTGTTGAGCAGCCTGCTTATGCCCCAAAGAGAGACCTTTCTACAAAGGCTTTTAATTTTTCCAATTAAACCGTTTAGGTAGAATTTCCAACTTTCAAAGGCACATCCGCCAAGACCTTCTGAACAATGGATATTAAAAGATTACTTATTTTTGTTAAACCATTTCCGATTCCCATGTTAATTAGCATATTAACACTCTTCTTTGCGATACTTTGTTCCTTATCCAAGTTTGAGTAGAAGAAAGAAGAAAGAATACTAGGCCTGCGCGCACGCTAAGTTTAAGTGCACTTTTCTCAAGATACCTTTTACCTTCATATCCAATTAGCCTATCCTGTTTAAAATTAGCTACAAGCTTTCCCTTTTAATAAGGGAACATAGTGTTTCTTCCACTAAGGCGCAAATTTGATGTATTTTCAATGCAACTTTCAGACATCTTTCACTGAAAGATAGCTATCGAATGCTCAAATCTAATCATTTGGCTAATGTTGTCTCGTGCGATCACCAGCTGCGCCGCGGAAAAGGCCCGACAATTTTGCAGGTGCAAAATCATTGTCTGGAATTTCCAGACCCATTTTTTATATTTGCTCTTAAAATTTTCAGAGCAGAAAAAGCGCAGTGACGAGAAGATTCAAGGGCTGTTAATCAGTGTGAATCTGCAGAAAATTGAGTGGGTTTGACCGACACCCCTGTTTTACATGCACTCCCAGACATCTTCTTAAACCTCTGCTCCTCTGGCTTATGCCCCTATCCCTTTCACAGAGTTTCCCACCAATTCCTTCCCCGGTTTCTGATTTACACTTGTCCCTTGTCGTTGTATAACTATTAGCGATTTTATGTTTCCTGGCTGTGGGCGATTTATTTCTACGGTTTGCTGTTAAATCGTAATGCACTTTGCGGGTTGCTCGTTAGCTGTTTAACGTAACACATTGTTCGGTTTGGAAATCTCCAAGGATGGATTCAGATCTTCTTGTGATAAGATAAATTTCTGGTCATGACAAAATGATTGATAGCAGTGTTCCAGTCAAGTTTCTTTTTCGTGTGCATAAGGGTTTGAAACCAAGATAAACAGTGAGAAGGAGATATCGAGGCTGTGAAATCTGCAAACTATTCGTTGGTGAGTTTGCACTTTTATGATAGGCACTGCCGATTTTACGGCAGTTTAGTATTTATAATTCTATTTCATCGAGTACTGTACTTTTCAAAACCTCCCGTATGTAGCCATTTATACATACTTTTTGACTATTATTGTCCCCCCTCCCGTCTTTTTATTTACATACTTATTTATATGAACACACTAAATGCGAACACTGAGACTTGATTTTCGGAAAAAGTAAAAACAATGTACGAGCGGATCCTGTCTCAGATTGAAATTAGAAGAAAGCACTGTGATGTTTTTAAACATTTTCTCTCCTGTTAAAGAAGCAGAGAAGTTTATACCTGCTATGAGCCGTGTTACTTATGTCATACAACCTGTCATTTAGTGGTCGCAAGTGGTCTTATAGAGATAAGAGCAACATTAACAACACCCGTGCCTCAAATTATCCAAAATATTGGAACATGAAGTCTCAGCGAAAATTGTTGGGTTCTTATAAAATGGCGTGAAGTGTTTCTGAGCATGGTATCTCCCTGTACATCGCCAATATTTTCAATTCTTCCAAGCAGAAGTGACTGATTTAATTGCCCGGTCAAAAATTGTTCTTTTCAAGACTTTGATGCATAAGCTATGCCATTCTGTGAACAGACAACTGTTTTGTTTGTACATCAGCATGTTTTGAAATGAATGTTTTGATTCACTGTATCCGAATGCATTATTGATCTGTTAATGAAATTATATGAACTTAGTTATTCTGTTAATAGGATTTCATGCATATTGCCAAACAGTACTAAAATGAATCAGTTCGGGGCCCCTGGTATCGTTTTGTGCCATTCCATAACATTTCCTCTTCTCGTATAAACATTTTTATTATAATATATGATGCATTTATCTTGAATTAATTTCACATTCAATTATGTTATCCTTGAAACTAAGCAAACTAAAAATATAACTGACATTAAAAAACAAATACCGTTTTTCTGAGTATTTTGCGAAAATAAATATTCATAAAATGCAAAATAATATGCATAAAAGATGCGAAAATTGAAAGGCGAACATGAAATTTTGTCAATACGGGTCTATTTACGAGACGACCATAGACAGGTCTTAAACCTAGCGTTTTTAGAATTATTTTATTTTCTCATTTTAAAGAAAAAAGCTCGAAAGGTGCTTTTAGCAGTCGAGGTTCTTTACTCTGAAGGACCTTTTCGGTCATTTTTTAGATCAAATTCAATTTTTATGAACCCTTTTCATGCGTATATTAAATATCTTGATTTCGAATCTTGAGCGTCCCCTTCGAAGAATGGATGTTGGCGTTTTTTGGTCTAAAAATCATTCTGCTTTGAGTCTGGCATGATGGAAATTCCGAATTCTAACGAGGGTGTGGGGAAGGTTTTTTCATGGTAAATGTACGTGGGGCTTTGCCGTGAGCAAGGGTATAATTTTGTGAACTTAGTTTCTAGCCAAGGGTAGAAATTTCATCCTGACAACCTATTTTGTTGACAATAATCTAGTAAAAATGAAAACATTTTTGTAGAAATTTAGCCAAGCCAAGGGTACCATTTTCGTAAAATTCCGTCAAGCCAACGATGAATATGCTTGCGGCAGACTCATACCGAAAATTTAGCCAAACCCCTCCCCCCTCAGTGCTAATTTTTCAGTAGAGCTCTAATTTAAATCCCTTATGACGAAAGGGAGTAGGTGGAGGGGTACACAGAGTTAGGGGGTTCACTTCTTACTTATCCCTAGTTTTTTTCTTATGCCTATTCAAGGAAGTTGCTAAAAAGTTATGTGCGTGTTATTAATTATATCCATACTTTTTTACCAAACACCAGATCTGTTTTCCCCTTTTTAAAATTCTCACTTTTAATATGAATTCTAAAATACGTTTGAGAGCAAAAAGATGGTTGGTTTTTTTCTTTTTGAATCATATTAGTGTCCAGTTAATATTTTGGCCCACCAATACATTTAGCTCGCTCCTTCTTCATGACAGTTATTTTGCGACACACTAATTTGGAAAAGTTTGTCTCTAAACTTTCTTCGTTTGATTCATCCTGATGTTTTTTTTGGCTTTGTTATTGAAACCGTAGTGTCTCGTTGACTTATCACCGTAGTGTTTGTTGGGCTAAAGAGCTTGTAAGGAAATCATTTTTAAAAAATGCAGAGTTCGTGGTTGTATAAAATTCTTTTATTCTATAGCTCTTTTATAAAAGGCAGCATATTCTTTGGTTCACCTTACATGAGAAATCAATGTTTGGGTAGGAGCGAAAATGGGTATCTCTGTTAAAGAGCACACATAAGGCATAAGTATCTTCTTAGAATACAGAAATACCCCATAGCCTGATTTCCATTTAGTAAAAAGCTGCCTCTCTTCTTGCCGTTTTTCTATCGAGAAAGGACAACGCCCTGGTGTCGTGGATCTAAACATTACCTCATCCTCTAAATTTTACTGATGCCAAAAGTTTGTTTGTTCACATGTTGTATACAATGGGTAACCCGTAGGCGTATCTCTTTTTTACGTCATACGACACTTAGGTCTTTCCAACAGGTTGGAGAGACGTACAAATGGGTGTTTGAAAGTGTGAGTCATTGATTTCAAAGAGCATGCGTAGCAAGGATCGAGTTTACTACGCATGCTCTTTGACTGCAAGAAGAGGGGGACGCCACAATCATGAAGAGCTTTGTCTTGTTCACCGCCAAAACCCCTGAGAACTGTTGCACCTGTAAGAAAAGTGCAATTCAGTTCAATTCACCTATATATTATCTTGTATAATTCAACATTTGCTATCTCGCTGGTTAGCTTGTGAAGTCTAACTTCTTATGTGACCCTCCTAGGATCAAGAGACTGGAATGGCCAGGCATCTTGGCCTCGTCTGCAGTTGCAATATCTGCTGCCTGGAAGAAATGCCTATCGTTGCTGCAGATGGTTTGCTCTTTCGATGCGCTGTCAATGGTGGTTCATATATACCCACGGAAATTGTTCATTTGAACGAGCTCGTTCAGTTGCTACAGAGAAAGATAAAAGACATATCGGAAAGAAAGCGATCTTACTCAGTAAGTGACCTTCTCATATTCCTATTTATCTTTAAATTATGCTGCTGTTTTCAACAACAGAGTAGCATCAGATTATTTTCAGAAATTTTATATCATGAAAATGATTTTTACATTTTGAGCTTCAGAGTTGCAAAGAATGGAGTGACATGGATTAGCAAGCACCGATTAAAAATGGAAAAATTGAAAAAAAGTTAACTGGAAATAGGACGGAGTAAGAACAAAATAAAAATAGGTCGAAGAAATAGGAAAAGGTTTGACAATGAGTGACTCTCGAAGAAATTTTGAGTATCTTAATTATGTAAAGACAATGCTGCCAGTGGCTGTAGTTATAGGGGGCCTGGGGGCATGTGCCCTCCAAATTCACGAATGTATCAGAAAATTCAGGCTTGCAAACCCCTGGTATTCTGTAACGTTTTCTTGAGACCTTTATTCTAAGACACTAAATGATAAATTGCGTGTAGAAGTGTCATGAATTCAGAAAACAGGCGAGCAGAACAACGCGATTTAGCATGTGCTGAAGAGGTTTTCGCTATTTTGAAAAAAGAACCAGCTACAAAGGTGTTATTAGTAATGATACATGTCCTACACGCGATATGTCATTCATTGACGGATGTAAATAAAGGTCTTCAATTTGTATGCTGGATTGAAACATGGTACTGCACAAAAAGGTAGGATTGGTCAGGCATTTCTTTTCATGCTCATGTTACAAAATCATTTGATGGACCCAGCGATACTTTGCAAGGGTCGCCCCGATTTGATGAACTTGGTTGGTCACCTCACCTGCTCAAAACGCTTTTCAAATTTACCGGAATAACTGTGAAAAATACGAGCTCTGTTTTCTCCTTCGCAGCTGCATATTTACAGTCCCCAGCCATTATCACTCGTTCTCTTGACCCTCTTATCAGCAGACAAGCATCGGCGGCAGGCACTGCTCTTTTCAGAAAATTGGCATAAAGTAATTGACAATTATATGTTTGAATGCAAAGATCGAGATACATTTTTTTGTTTGGGGGGGGGGCAGCCCTTATAAATCAATGGAACAACAGCCATATTTCCCAAAATGAAAGTACTTTACTTATACCACTAAAGTTTTTTGGGGGGACAAAAGCCCCCCGCCTCCCCCTCCTCGGTATCTCGGTCCTTGTTTGAATGTTTTAGATTTTATCTTGTTTTCCATAAAGATCCTTCTGTAATAAGCTGCTTTGAAGATTATGTTGTTTGAAACTTTTTGAACACTTAAAGCAGCACTAAGAGAAAGGGATGGTTTCTCCATGTTTTAGTGTTACAACTATCGGTTTTAAAGTCTTTCAACAAGATGGTTTTTCGTAATGGGAAAGATGGGCGCGACCAACTTGCTGCTCGTTGCCAGAAAATGGGCGTGGTCAAATCAATTCGGCTGCTGAGTAAAGACCTCCTTCCGTGACCAGAAAATAATAGAAGTCCTGGATGTACAATGAATTGCAGGCTTGTGAAAAGTGAAGTAAACAGCAAACAATGGTTTCTATTTGGCAAATAACCCCCAAGTCTTGTGCCAAAAACCGGTACAATTGTTCAAAATACATGGTAATACGTAATAACCACAGGCAGTTAGATAGTGACGTGTTGCCTCTTTGAAAACATTATTATGCGTTCATTTGTCAATAGAGGTGGCTACAATTGCAAGCTAAACTGCAAAATAGCGTCTCTTGTGTCAGCTGCCTGGCCTCTGATTACGTCAATGCTAGCTTGGATCTTGCAAAGAGAGACAGTTGATCGAAAGCTCAAAGATTTAAAACATTAATTTTTCCGTAAGGGCCTAGGAATATTTCGGTTAAATTCAATGCCTGAACTTTAGACCACAAATTTTTCTTATAATCACAATGACATAAACCGTTCAAGGTGTATGGAGCTATATGCATGATCATTTTTCATTTTCACATGACATTTTAAGGGTATTCTCTTTCTAAACAAGATTTCTGCTGCCAAATGGTTGCAAAACCTTCTCCGGTATATATAAGACTTTGATTTTTTAGGCCTCTTCAAACAACCACAACAAGCATGATAGACGACAGAATACTTGTGACCACAACAGCAACATGATGTCATTATTTAAAAATCGCTCCTCTTCAGATTCATCTCCGCAAACACCGAGAAAATGGCGCGACCGATCTTGGTCATCCTCGTCTTTAACCAGGAATGCCTCGTCTCCAACTTTGAAGACGATGCCACATTCGATACTTCTGAAATGCACTGACAAACAAGATCCCTCGCAAGAATGCTGCATGTCCGAGGTAATAAGCATAGAGGGAACTGAAGAAAAATTGAAACAAAAGTTTGGAGAGCAACTTTCTTGGGTTAAAGAAAACGGACAAGACTTCGTTGCCTTGGAGACGTTAAAAACAACAAGTGAAATTTCAGCTTTGCTTTGCGTCCTTGCAGAGAGCAAATCACCGACTTTGATTCAGTTAAAAGTGAACTGCAGTGAAACAATAACGGTGTCTTATCATTTTTTGGAGAAATTCAGACAGGAGTTTATGATGCTGAAAGTAAACGACAATTATTGCATGTTCATGGCGCCATTTTGAACTTTCTGAGTGACTTTCGGTATAATCATCTTTATTTTGCATGAGAGGTTAAAGTTTATAATGCATTGAATGCAATGCTCTGTAATAAATACGTCTAACTTGATATTTAGCCCGTAGATGGGTTAACAAACAGTTAACTAATCCATCATATTTGTTTAAAATTTCTTAGATTTTTTCAAGAAACGGGATTATGACCTTGCAGTAGGAGCAAGAGTTTAATTTCAATCCGAAAGGGAAACGTTTAAAAAGAGACAAATTGTCTAGCTAAGCGCAAAATATCTAAAAATAGCGTTTTTTCAATCGGTTGCATCTGAATGAAGTTACAGTTTCTTACAGATTCTTACATTGCCAAAGTGAAGAGGCTACCGTCTCCGGGAACCCTGAAACACCAGGCTCCCTTGACATTTCCGTTGCTGCTTCTCCGAGAAAAATCTGCCAACAATTCCCTCACAAATTGTAAATATAGATATGGGGATTTTGCGTTTAAAGTTATGATCGAGGGGCAATTCACTCCAAGAAAATCTTGTACACCTTTAGTGGAAATCCTATTGTTTTATCTGAAAATCCCTAGAAATCCTTTTGTTTTAGGGAAAATCTCGTACGCTTTTTGCAAGAGTGAATTGCCCCTCGGTTAAAATCGTACACTTGAATTGTTAAAAAGGACAGCCTTGTATCCTTTTGTATATAGTTTTGAATAATTAGTTAGTGTTCCAGAAATACGATTATTTCTAATATATTTGAAATTTATTCTTGGAGAAGTAATCAAGTTATTTCTGTGGATATTTGATCGATAATCCTATTTTTTATCAAGCCATAAACCAGATGTCTGGAAATTATAGGTCAAGACGACCCAAGTACATGATAATAGTACATTGAAAATATTTACCAGCGGAAGATTTGATGCCAGTTCTATGAAGAATTTTCATCCAATTATAGATTAGAGTTGTTTATTGACATTGTGGCAATGCCAGGGATTTATTTGTAGATCATCTGTTTTGTCAGGGCTTGAGAGAAGAGGTAGGGGTGCTCAAGCCTCTCTAAAATTTATAGAAATCCTTTGTTTTCAATTAAGAATCCCCTCTGTTCCTATTGTTCACAAGCAATTGTGCCCGTCCAGTCATTCTATCCTTCCCAAGGTACAGGTTTCTACACCAATTTCGAAGGCAATTGGTCTACTTTATCTGAAACAGTATCATCACTGATTGATTAGAAGCAACCTGTCTAATATCACAAAGGGAGGGGCGCTGTGGTCGTGAATTTCGTTGTTAAGAAACCTACTTCCCACGCACATAGTTAAACTGGTTTATAACTACAAAAAATGACCTTGGGAAATCACCATAAATCTTCTACTTTAATTCATCTTCACCTTCAATGGTAATTAATATTGCTCAGTAAATACGTCATTTAATCGTTTGTAGTCTGACATAGGCCTTTGGTAATGACCAAATTTAATTTAAAGGTGTTAAGCCAGTCAAAATCAAAATTCAGATCAAAAATCCAAAACTAAAAAAACCAAACATTAATAAATCATTCTTGAACAATAAATCGGCATGGTTTTGATATCTGGTTCCCTTTGTGACCATTTTCCACTTATTTTATCGAATATCTGGAGTTTAAAAAGCTATTGTGCCGCCAGTAGGATGAAAAAAGCTGATGAAAACCAACCAAAAAAACAAAAAGAAAACACAAAAACGATGAAATATCACAATTTTGAAATTTAATCATGAAAAAGAAATATCTACTTCGTATGAAGCACAAATTTTTTCTTGATTATTTTTTCTCAACTCTTTATTTTGATCACTTACACAACTCAGTAATTGACATAATAAAATCCAAATCCTAAAAATATATAAGAAATCTGTCAAATAAGTTACCATTCATCTGCTATATCGAAAATTTCAAATAATTTACCTGCCCCATAAAACGTGGCTAGACATGAACAGATTCTAACACCGCCAGTGCGAGGCCCATTCAAAATGGGATGTTGTACTTTTATAACTAAATTAAGTGGACTCAAAACGGTGCAAGAAACAAACAATAATCTGAATCTAACTTAAGCATCATAAAGTCTTGTTTGAAGTCATTTATCGCTTGATAGCACAGTGTTAAACTGCTATCTTGGTTCACTTCAATGTCTATGACAGTTGGAAATTTATTCTCAATTATAGCTTCAAGTAAAGCACATGTCTCTGTGACACTTCGCAGCGTCTCCATGTATACATAGTCACTATCTGCCTCGCAGAAACCTCTTATCTGTGCTGTATATTTCTCTTTGAGATAGCGCTCCTCGTCAGAAATCGAAGACGTAGATTCTACGCTATTTTTGTCCAGATCTCTCGGTTTAGTAGCGGCCTTTAGAAGGACCGAGTGCGGTGATTTGAGGGACGAGGAGCGGGATCTTGTTCCGCTATTCATTCTTCTGACCTGCGGTGGAGAACTGATTGAGCTTTGCGAGTTTGAAGAATCACCAAAGCTTGTGGCCCTTCCACGACTAGCGTTGTCCTCGTAGCATCTTCTTGTAATTTTCTGCAAATTGAAAAATTTGAGATATAAAGCAGCCAAACACAGAACAAGATTAATGAAACATATATTGCTTAAATCGAGATAAAACAACCTTCATTAATTTAGAGGCTGTTATGGAAATAAGAAGTTGCAATGAGCTTATTGGTGGATATACATGGCAAATGACATAGTTTCAGATATAAAGTCGTATTACTGGATCATTGTGCGATTACTGGATCAGTCAACATCGAAATTCGAGACGAACAACCCTAAAACCATGTAATTCATATCAAGACTCTATTTTTGTTGCAAAGTCTCTTCTTGCACAACAATGAAGAGCCAAATTTCCCGCCAAATAATGAAAATGAAAAAGAGGCTGAAAATGAAACAGTGGTATGACAAGAACTCACCGGTGAAGCGTCGGGTGTTTTGTACGCGTCAATTGTTCTTTTTACAGAGCTAAGAAAATCGTTTAACCCAATCATTTGTTGTGGCACATAGGAGTTTTCTATCATGGAACATTTCATCATGTGACCATCCGCACAAACGATGGGCTGTTTGTCAATTAGCAAAGAGTATTGGCCAACAGCATCATATCTGCTCTCCACCAAGGGTTCCCTCTGAGCTGCCGTAATGACGTCATCAATCGCGCGACCTGTGGATAAAGTCAGACAGATGGTTTTAGTCTGCATGACGACTAAGAATGAGATTAGGCATAAACACACTGGTTAACAAAGCTGTCGGATGCATAACAAGACAGACCTTGAATACATGCGAGTTATCCTTGGTAAACACAGGTCCGTCTTTCATTAGCAGAGGAAAGCGACTTATATATTTAGGCCGTTAAGCAGGGCACCATCATATCAATTCACACAAATAGTGCTGCAAAATCTCAGTTATTAATCAAAATCCGTAAAATGCAGAGTTTAACCTATCTTACGAGTATTCTTTAATTCACCTTTTAGTTTTTTTTTCGATCCAAAACAAACAATTTTTAAGTTATACAATGTCATGTGACCTTTATTTTGATTGTTGTGTTGCAGGAGTCAATCACTTTGGTAGTTGTAGTTATATCTTCCCTTTTTTTGGTTACTCGCAAAAGCAAACCACAAATGGGGATAACCTTCTTTTAATACCTCATTTCTGTAAAAAGTTTGCATTCCTCTCGACAACTTAGATCCTTTTTTCTGATTTTCTTGAATTAAAACTAGTATTAGACTAAAATTCGACAGATTTATGATATAAAACAAAGATAAAACAACACACATTACATTTATGGCACATCAATGAAATTAGATACCTTCCGCTAATTTCATAGTACTTGAGTTCTTTTTCATATTCAAAGTTCTGCTTCACTTGCATCAGCAAGAGACATTTGAACGAAGCAGAATCCAGTTCGTGTCGGGCATTTGTTCCGCAAAAATGACAAACATAGCACAAGAGATGGGTAAATAAGTATCTTGCTAGTTTGACGTCATTGCAGCGGGTGGTTGAAGCAAGGACAACAGACATCATAATGTGTTGATTTATAACGAATTTTAACACTGGCTGATACCTTGCAGCAACGAACATTGTCACGGAAAAAATTGTCTTTTGTACAGAGGAAAATTCTACCATGTGTCTGATTTTCTGCCTGAATGTTTAAATTTATGAAAAAGGTCGCTAGCGCCATGAAACACTTTTGGCATGAAAGTCCAGAAGAGCTCAGGGGCAGATCCAGAGCAAATTTGAAGGAGGGGCAGTTTGTAGTGGGGGCGCTGAAAAATTTTCAAAAATTAGTGACGAGAGTACGCTGTATACAACAATTTCAGATCCATTTTCGGAATAAAGAACATAACTTTGAGGTAATCCTTATAAATTTGTGCCTTTAGATCAAAACTCTTTTTTTCGTGAAAGAAATAAAACTCTCCTTTATTCCTATTCCTATTTATCTACAAATAGCTCACATGGAAATTACGAGGAGAGCTGTTTACTGCTTGCCAGCTAGCCTGGCTCTACTGGGATACAATGAATTTTAAATTCAACCCAGTAGAATGGTAGGAAAAAGATACAGTGGAACCACATTGAAAACGGTAGAGTCTGCGCGCAGGCTAGAAGAACAGGCGTGGTGACTGCAAAGATCTTGCTCAGAGTCCAACCCTTCCCAAAAACAACTTTTTCTTCCGTATCATGCTATGCCTAGCTATATTAAGTTACCTTTTCTGCTAGAAAATTGCCTTCGTCGTCAGTGTTATGGATAAAAACAAGTCATGGTTGATTCACAGCAGAAGAGCTGTTCTTGTTGCTAAACACAACCAGAGTCAATATATGACGTAGGAAGCAAAGCAAATCAAAATAACAAATAGTCAGCAATTCCATTGTCCATATTTGGAAAGACATCTATTTTATTGAATTGGAAATATCATCTTTGATCACGGTGTTATTTTGCGACCCTTGACCTGCGCCTCGTTCATCATCTTGTACATGGAAAGTTCAGTATAAACTTTTCATCTCCAATAAGAATTGGCTTTTTATTATTTATTATTATTTATCAATTATACAAAGGTTGCTTTGTGTCTGACAATGCTCTTCGCAAGAATTTCCTCTCTCGCACAATGGAGACGTGGTAAATTCATTCTAGCAGGAAAGGCACCATACGAGCACCGCCCGTTAGAAATTTTGCGATGTTTTGCTTATATTTTGCGATGTTTTGCGATGTTTTGTTGAAGATAAGATGTTTTGCTACAAAAAATTCAGGAATTGTCAGGAAAGGAAAAGAATCGCGATTTGGGCTCTACCACAACAACAACTTTCTGTTACGGGACAACGGTTGTCCAGCAACTCGATCATCAGACAATTGTGAATGTTGACCTTTGAAAGGGCGGGCAAATTACGTAATGCGGACACCAGTTATTTGTTGAAGTTCGGCATGCAAAGAAAAACTCGGTTAGCTTTACTGAATCGTGATTGAGAATTCAAGCGTTCTTCGATACAACAATCCTAAAACTCGTTTTCTATCAAAAACTGACGATTTGTTTCGGTGTCAAAACAAATGTCGAATGCATCTTTGTCCCAAAAACATGGAACGAGAATAATTTGACAGCAATCTACCTTAACCTTAATTACAAATGCATCAAAGGGTTATCTTAAAAAATACTTATCCATGATCATCAGTCCAACAGGCCCCACAGCAATATATTTTGAAAGAGTTCTCATCAAACTGGCTATTGGCCAGAGACGGGAAAACCCAGAGAGGCCTAAGGCCACATCTTGAACAATAGATGTGTTTGCAGTTTGTCCATTAAATCTTTTGTCTATTATTTGCTTCTTTCAAAGAATCGTCATTACTTATTTAGTAGATAGAGAATACTTGAATTCGGCTTTGATATTTTTAACATAAAAAACATAATTCTCAACATATTTTTTTGCTTTTATTCTCAGAGAAGTGGAACTGACTAAAAGAGCTGTTCAGGACACACGTCAATTTTGTCTCACGAAAACTAAGGTTCATTTTCTGACTCACTGTCAACAAAACCTACAACTGAAAATGACGTCATATGCCAATTTATGCCATCAATGCAAGCAGCTATCTGAAAACTGAAAACTTACCAATCATGATGAAAGCCTCGTCAGTTCGATGTCGTTAGTGCTGGAGAGTGATTCGCGCCAAAACACTCAGTTGAATCGATGCCGTTCGTACAGCGATGCCTGCAGCTTGCCAGATTCATCAAATTTTCAAGTCTTGTGGATAAATGCTTCTGTTCCTCAATTGATTGCCAAGCCAGATTCAGTTCTGTCATGAATTGACCTGCCGAAGTACAGAGTTTTTATAACTATGGTTTTTCCAACAGGTCGCGTACCTTATTCATATACGATTCACCGGGTTTCCGTTCGAGTGTTTTTGTTGTTTTTTCATGAAATCTCCAGCCACGGTGCGGTTATCTCTAATTCTTCACTGTCCTTCTCCAGCTGAGGCTATAGTGAAAAACAAACCTACGATATAGAACACGAAACTTACTAGCACAAGGCACGGGGGATTGATGACGTCCAGTGTTGCTTATCGCTACCATTGATCTATTGTTCTCTAATAGCATAAAACGCGGGGGATGAGTTGGTTTATGAAATAAGAAGTAGGTTGATGTATTTTATTGCTTTTTTGGGAACACAGCAGATTATTTAATAGTTTTCAAATGAAAAGGGTAAAGATATGTTATAAGAGATGGAAAAATATATTTGTCATGTAAAAATATGAAATTGTTCGTCTTCTATGAAATTGTTCGTAAAATGCTTGGATTTCGTTAAGATAATCTTAATTTCGTTGGATACGGCATTTTATTGTCACTGGAAAAATCAGATGTAATCGAAAACTTTTTGTGTCAAACAATTGGTCCATGTGCTTCTATTATCATACCGCTTTGCAAGCAATTTATACTGTAAAACCAGAAACAGTAACTGAACAAAATGACTTTGCTAGCCAATTATCAATTATAATGCAAAACTGATGTGTTTGCTTTTTGGCCAAAGTTCCCTAAATTTTGCTACATGCTGGCCTAATAAATATAAAGGGTTGGGAGGGGGCGTTACAGGAAATTAAGTGTTGAAAAAATCTTCAAATTTTGTCGCAGTTTGGCAAAACGGTCACCGATACTTTCGACAAAGGTTTGGAAGCACAATTGGCCTACAGCCCAAACTTCCCGTTACTGTATTTTTACTTGATGTTTAGCTTGCGAGGGTCATAAGCCAAAGTTGCATGCTATCGAAGTAACAGATTCAAAGAAAGGAAGAAATGAATTAATCAGACAATAAGCAACAGAGACACCGTCAATATACGAGTATTGAATGAATAACAGAATTGAGAACTTTTTCCTGATATTACAACGCCCCCCGGTTTCCGCGTTACACATTCCATACAACATGACCTAAGCATTGGCAAACTGTGAGCAGTTTATATAATTAGATACAAAATAACTAATTTTGGCTTCTGGTAGGGCAGAAGACTCTAGCAATAGAATCAATATATTTTTGCCTTCAATATTGAAGGGCTTGAAATAGTCCCAGATGTTCGTCCCATGTTGGGTCATTACTGGCCTAGAGGGCAAAACATGACCATAATAGACGGCAAAGTCAGCTTCTGGCATTTCATTTTTTTATTAGAATAAAATCTTGTAGTCCGAAATGGCTTCTCGCCAACAAAGCAATGATTAGAACACAAATTATAACACAAAAATTACACAGCATATACCTTGATTATTCAAAAGTTGATGTGAAATGGTTTTATATTTTCAAGGCCCTGTTTCATCGAATCATATATTCTATATTTCTAGCACTTTTCGTCTTTGAGTTCCTTTATTCAATGCAGTTTTTTCATAAGGTGAAGAATATACTAGAGTCTCCATGTGTTAATTGTTATCCTTTATTGACCTTATTATACAACGCAACATGCAAAAACGAATGTCTTAATTTATTTAATTCTAACAATAATTAAGTAATAATTATAATAATTAACTCTTACTCTCTCTATCTTCCCTCTCAATCACTAACCACAACAACAACAACTCTAGTTCCAGTTTCTCATCTCAGTGATCGCATCCTCGCAAGTTCTTACAGTATCTGCGAACAAATAAAGAGGATTGAGTATGATTTACTCATATTTGATGAACTGAAAACAAGAAATCACACTGCGTAGCAATAACGTTGAGAGTCAACAAGTATCAACCTAGTTTTTCCTATCTTTTCTGCGAGTCAATAATGTTACTTTACTATTTTGATGACGTCATTTTATTGACATGGTTGTCTTCTTCTGGTCTGTGATAATAGTTGCTTCAAGGGCTTAAGTTTCATGCCGTCATTCCTTGTAGCATAAATGTTTGATGACGAGAAGTAGATATCACAGAAAGCAACAATTAAGTGATTTTCGTATGCTAAGGACACTATTCAGGGCGTCCTAAGCATGATTTCCACGTGTGCTTTAAGTTTTGAAGCTGTACTGCTGATTGTAGATGAGGTACGTGCTTATGCAATAAATTATATTTTGTTAGGCCAAAAAAGACACAAAAACTTATACTAAAGCTGTAAAACTAGCATTTTGAAGGCTACTAAGAAAGGATTCCTACCTGAAGAAAGATCGAACTTCAAAGAAATGTGTTACCTTGCGCCACACACACGCCCAAAGAAGAAAGCGAATCAATGAGGGTGAAGGCCATGATCTTCAGAGGCGTGAAGATGGCCGGTTTCACCTGTTACCAGAGCAATTGTTGTTGCTCTGTATTGACGTAAATGGCCTTTTGAATTCACTGAGCTGCTCGAGAACTTAGTTTTTGCCTGGCATCTCTCCAGTTTAAACATAAGTACAATTTGCCCTATTCCGATAAATTTTTTATGACATGCCTCAAATTTACGTCAGCACTCAGCATCTTTGTCTTTTCACGATGCAGAGGAACAAAACAAAAAACAGAGCCAGAAAATTGAAGCATTGCTGAGGTCACAACAATGTAAAACACCGGTTTCTAAGCACTCCTCTCTTAAAATAACATTTGCATATTATTACATGCTAGCATCTAGCAATAACAAAGAAGACAGGCTTTTCGATAATTTGAGAAGGAAGTTTTTTCCTGTTTGTTTATTGACAATCGCCGATATATTCTGATAAAAAGGTCTTTGTTAGGATATATATCGTTTGCCCTGCAATAAATCTGCAATAACATTTCTTTTTCCTCATTAACAACAATATTCGACTTTGATTCATGCTACGTCATCGTGAAAAGCCATTATTCTGGAAGTTCATTTTCAAGAATGACGTCATTTAGCAGCATGGCAAGTCCTCACATCCCACGCAATTTCTAGCTTCAAAAAAAGCTGGGGGCTGGTCGTATAAAGTACTCATCTTCTCTTCATTTCACTAAATGTTATTTTATGAGCACATGGGAAGAATATAGCTGATATTAGCTGAGATGATGTTAAAATTACACAACAAACCATCTCAAAGTTTAAATTGCTTCACACTGGATAAAGTAAAATTAACTCGTGCTTCTTTTGGAGCGCCTGTAAATAAACATAGCAAGTGACTCAATTAAAGTTAACTAAGCCATTACATTCACTATTCCTTTTTATTTATTGACTTACATTACAGTGACTTACAAACCCAGGGCTTCCGTTTCGTTTTGTTTATGGACTAGTTATTTAACATATTTTTATAACTTCCAGATGTCTATTAAAGAGAACAGTTCCTTAGGATTTTATTATTAATTTCTACCCCTTAAACTCCAAAATTTGACACTTCCCCGTTAATACGGCCACCCCGTTAATACAGCCAATTTTTAGTGGCCCGTTGGTGGCCGTATTAACGGGGTTCCACTGTATATAGCTCAAACTGTTTGACGTTGCGATGAATTTTCAGGACTTTTCAACTAGATGAGAGAGTAGCTGTAGCGAATGGTCAAAAACAAAATACCAATCAAACGTGTCATTCTCACATTACTTTCGATCCACATCTAGATGTAATTTTTTAGCTTACCCTTGGACGTTATCCGACGTTTATACTCCGAGGAGTGTCGAGCAAAAACTACTTTAGTATGACATGTTTCTGCTTATCCGTGCTATTTTCAATTGACTATTATTGCTTTCTACAAATGAATTATAAGGTCTTTTCTCGCGACATGCGGTTTTCAGATAGCCAAGTTTTGGTAATGACCAAAATCATTGTCACAGATACTATATGTACTTATTTAGCTCAATAAACAATTAGACCCCGAGGATTTTGTTATAAAAGGCTGGCCGTTGAAAGGTCTTTGATGACAATCACAGTTTTATTCGCGTAAAAAATTATTATTATCATTATTAATAAAAGTAATTTCATTTATCCCTCGGCCATTAAAACAAGCGTTTCACCACTTTGTAATTCACGGATAATCCAATTCTCGCGATTTTCAGATAAATCAGCTGCTCCACGATATTAGCGTGGTGTTAAAAATTCTTAATTATTGATGGCGGTGCTAACACCGACTAACTTCAAGATGTCTTCTGACCAAAAACTTGATTTTATTTGACCATTCTATTTTTCCGATTTGGATTAACTCTTTGTGTGACAGCCTATTCATGTATGTTACCATTAGAGACAGTAATTGGACCAGTGCTATTTAAGTCAGGTCCGGTTGTAAAACGACCTGCTTGTAACTCCACAAAATGATCATTAGTTTTCGAAACTTCCTTTCTGGAATGTGTTAAGTTTGTCGAAAGGGAGCAGCTTTTTTGAATCCAGGTGACTGGCGGGTTTAAGGTGGGATTCAGATCCTTTGAGGTGATTAAAGGTTGGATTTGTTTAAATGATTGATCAAAGGCTCCGTCCTATCAAACTTGGTTCGCCACCGGATTAACCGTAACTGTCCATGACAAGATTCGACAAGCTTTAGATGCATCTTTGTTCAGAAATAAAATTATCGGAGGGACTAAGTCATTGGCCATCGAATGATTGAAAGGTGAGCTGCATATCCTTGATGCATTATAATGATCTCACTGAAGCAGTTCAACTAGCAATCTACAAAGAAAATGCCTTTGTGACTCCTTAAATGAAAGACAAAGTAGCAGGGTGAAATTAAACAAGGACCTTCCATTGTTCCAGGTGGGTATCAAATACATTTTCTTTAAAAAAGCAATACTGCTCAAAGTGTTCACTTTCTAGCTTCAGAAATTGCAAATTGGAACATTTGAAATCAAGGCAAATAGAACTGGTGGCCTGTGTGAGTTGTGACGTACTGCGAATCACTTGTGAAGTCACTTCCTCTTTATTTCATTGCAAAATCTTACTATTCTGAATGCGAGGACAGGTCTATTATGGCCACTATCTTTCTCCAAGAGTGAATATGCCGCATGCGTACAGCTCGAATATGTTTATAGCCATCTGGAAGTAGGAAGTATAAAAGTTGGACGTAGGAAAAAGGAAACTCAACTTCAACAAACTTCATTTCGCTTTTTGATAGTCATCTGGTAAAGAGTTTAATACCAATGCTGTTTTCCTGCATTTGGTAAGGTGTTTTAATAGAATTTCTCCGTCTATAAGTATTTGTGTGAATATGTAAACATATGTAACGAAAATTGCTTTTTTCCCAATCGATGTTGGAGTGAACACATTGTAATCACAAGTCACAGTCTGAAATGGCTTTCAAATTTGTTTCGCCGATTTCTTTGCCAGGTTCTATCTCATGATGTAAATATTAATTTGCAATCAGTCAATCTTTTAGAGTTGCAAAAAGTCAGCGAAAAATGAAACTCAACATTGTCAGTAAAGTCATATCTTGTGCAAACATGCTCACGTGCAGCTTTGCTATAGACTGAAATCACGTTTCCGGAAATCAAGAGATAGAAATATTCAGATGGTAGTCGTTCTTTCATTTCTAGAATTAGAAAGCATTTGTTCAGCCATGTTGATCAAAATATGAGGTTTCTTTTCCTCTCTTACTCACAAAAATCGCAACAATAATTGTTCTTAGGAGGAGGGAGGGGGTCGTTCCTCCCAGGGACGGATCCAGAGGAAATTTTAAGCAGTTAGTAGCAGGGGCGCTGAAAAATTTTCAAAAGTTGATGACGAGAGTATGCTGTATACAACAATTTCTGATCTATTTTCAGAATAAACAACATAACTTTGAGGTAATCCTTGAAACAAATTAACCCATCGGTCTCAAAAACTTTTTCCCTGATTCCCATTCTTCAAAAGGGGCGCACAATTTCCAAAAAATGGGCGCCAGACTTGCTTCAACTCGTTTAGGGAGGGGCAACTGCCCCTAGCTGCCCCCTTAAATCCGCCACTGGTCCTCCTAAAAGAATATAAAAATCCCCTGTTACCGAAGAACAATCCATTTTTCTCTTTTGTTTTCAACCAACAGATCGAGTTCTGATAGCCATACTCAAATATTATTTGACGGTTTAAGAAAGAGAATTTAATTTAAACTGTGTGTGAAATAAGGTATGATAAAATATTAAAAAGATATAATAGACATTAACTTTGCTGAGTATAATCACCAAAGGCTGAACAAATGGCTAATGTGCTCATCAAAATAGCTATCCTTGCCGGTCTCTTTTTGATGCTACAAATTTACAGCACATTATTGAAGCTCAAGTTATGATTTATTTGGATAAGGTAAGAAAATCTTGCGCAAATATCGATTAAGGGTTAACAAAACATTCCTTAGAAAACGGTTTCTTTCACTGTGGTGAAAGGTCATCCCAGTATTTCGAAACAATGAAACCATTTCCCACCCGAGCAATTTTTCTTCTTTCTTTCCATCTGCTAAATGCCTCCTTTTTTGTGATTGTTTAATATGGTTTTAGAAAGCTTGGTTTTCATGAACCCGAAGTAAAATGCTTTTCTGCTTAAGTCCCAGGGTTAAATCTAGGTTGATAATCATTCAATATATATTCATTTCTTGTAGAAAGTCGTTATTTTATTGCATTAAATTTAAATCTAGGTTGTTTGACTTGCACGTTAATTAAAACTTCAGAAGATAGAAGGGCCTTGCATTTGTGCTACAGCATAAGAAGACCTTGAAGCCTATAGCAAAGCACTAGACAGGAAGAGTGGGAGGGGGAGGGTAGGGTAGAGAGAGAAAAAGTCAAGTTTTTCGATATCCGTTTTAAAGAAAACGGAATGCAAGAATCTAAGAAGCAAGAAAATGGCAAGGCATTTTTCATGGTACTATCCGGGAAAATGAGCTGCAAAACGCCGATGAGGAAGAGGTTCGATGGAGTTTTTCAGTGCCACACTCTAAACCACAATTGGTAGACTGCAATCGCAACCAAGATCTACTCTTCCATTTGAACCAACAAGCCCTTCATTTCGTTCGAAGCCTGAACCAGGCCCTTTTCGCTTTACAATCTACAGTTACTGGCCCATCCGAACCGGGGGGCTTGGGGGGGGGGGGAGAATAATTGTCCAACTGTAGTATGTTTCCTTTATAACAGTGTATTGAATGAGAAGGAAAACAAACCCCCTCGATATGAATTTTGTTCCGACGGCACTGAGTTATTAACTATATGTACAATCTTGACAGTAATTTGTACAGTAATCGGTGTTGGTGTCGAAAAGTCAGGTTATAACTCCATAAAGAAGTTTTAGCCTTCACTCGTATAGCAACTAAATAGCTATTAGCTAATGAGCCATTTGCTTATGAATTCTAGCCATTAATTATTCATATAAACAGCTATATGAAAATGTCATTTCTATCATGGCTTTATTAATGATTGTCTTGTAATAGGTCTTTTGTGGCCCGCCTGTGGCGAGGTGTTTGTTTGCATTGAATTGAATTCGTTGAGTTGGATTCAGCAAAGCCTTCAAACTTTTTGACCTGAAATATTTGTATGGATAATGCAGACGGATGATTCTTGCTAGCTTGGCCTTCGCTTTCAAAACCTTTGACTTTGAACAGATATCATGGTTAGAGATACAGTCGTAAGTTGTCTTAAAGGCCCTTTAGTTTGATGACATGCTGATTTCATGAATGTTTTGATGTTTTCCATTAGGCCTATTACCAGGACATCAACAAACTTGTAACAATGCTTGCAAGAACCCGCCGAAAATGGTTTGTTAACCTAGATAAAAGTCGTTAATATTGAAGTAATTTAACGTGAGAGTTTATCAGGCTAAAACAGTAAAGGATCTCTCGAAGTATATTGTTCTCCTAAGGAGATAGGAAATGAATGAATTTTTTGTTTATATCAAGAGTCGGTCGGCAAGTGGCTCCAAGGAAAGAACCATCTGTCCGATTAGCGCGTTTGAGGCAAGATAAATGTCGAAAATCAACCTTAACTGGCTATGGAAAGAACTAATATCAGATCGAAGAATTTTAATGTTTTGTTGAGTGAATGATGGTATTTATTAAAGAATGGACCTTGCTGAAGTAAATTTATCGGGAGGTGGCCACAGCATTCGGTTTTATCTCCGTCTTATGTTGACTTGCAGTATGATGATAACATCATTCTGTAAACAGAAAGTCAATGCTTCTTAATCCGAGCTATTTGTTTGTTTTCTTGAAAATAAACAAAGCAAAATCTTAATTCTTGAAAGCCCTTGAAAAGCTTTGCACAATTTTATTCGTATCAATGTAAATACAGCATATAAATCAGACGCCCGTAGCTAATTTGATTTCTCAATTCCGTCACTTTGTATTTCATTTCAAGAAAGTATTTTTAATCTCGACATTTTTAATGGAAGGTTACTGGTTGGAGTAGTTTGTTCCTATTTCCTGTATGGATTTTTAATTTCCTGATAGAACTTCTCAGTGAAATTTGGTGTAAATTATTTTTCAGAATTATATCCTTAGATATATTTAGTTTGTAAATGTTTTGGGATTTTACCAGAGATTGAGATACATAAAATTAAAGAATTTCATATTTGAAGGATAAAGTGAGCTCAAAGAGAAAATAGCACTCTGAGCCAGCTGTTATCTCAAAACTGTTAATCCCAAAATAAGAACTCCAAAATTATGTTCTGATTTCCTTGACAGACTCTTTATATTTTCCTGAATTTTCACCCCTTTTTAATACCTAACGCAAAAAGGAAAGAAAGAAAGCAGACTTTTCTGTCATTTGTATTCTAGTTTTACTCTTTACATTCCATGCAACAATTTTTGGAACGTTGCTAACCAGAGAATTGGTAAGGCACATTGGTGGGTTACCAGCGTAATAATTCTGTAAAAATGATAACATATGAAGGCAGATTAACAACAAAATAGTTGTATGCGTTGAATGATCTTAAAAATAATATCCCAAGATAAAAAAATGTCATTCTAACAACAACAAAAATAATATTACACTGATAATAATTGATCCTCACTGTTGCTTGTGTATATATATTTCATCAGCTCTGGATGCCCCTACTGAGGCATTTTTCTTTTTTTCCCTTGAGTTATTCAGTCTTGTAGTGAATAAGTTATTAATGCTTGGCTTGGCAAGTAATTGATAATTGTTTTACCCTTTATTTTTGCTATAAAATATCTCACTTTATAATCGTCAATATTAAAAGCCATACAAATATGAAAAAGTGATTTTCTGTGGTTTTCTGTGTGAAAAGTGATGTTGGTTTGAGCATTTCAGTAAAAACATTAAATTGCACCAAGTTGGTCACACATTAATACATCTTCAGAAGGCAAGGTCTTGTAGATATTTAAGGTGATGTTAGTGATAACAAAAATGTAATGTGGTGGATAAAGAAGAGGACTTTCTAACATTTCAAACTTTGCTGTGTTTCAAAAAAGTAATATGATCAACAGTTTGCTAACTTAGATTATCTCTCGGAGGTGCTTTTTTCATCAAAATTTGTAAAATTGGATGATGTATACTTTGATACCAAACGTTTGAGGAGCACTCAAAGCATTAAGATTTGTTATCCTGATTTTATTATCCTGATTTGCATCTAATAATTTTATTGATTCATAATCTGAGCTTTTGAGGAAAATTTCACGATGTATTGCTTTCAGGAAGCCAGCATATTGAACTTACCTGCCTGTTCAGCTATGTCTATAAAGACCTATATATCTATTCTGTCATTATAGGCTTACTGTAATATTCAACATGCCAAAATAAAACCTTTTTAAGGGAAAAAGACAGGTCTCAGACCCTTGTTCTTCCACACAAGTAGAAAATGACCCTGGTATTTTGTAAGGGGCGACCCCTTTGCTACAAAGTGCCATTTTTACCCAAAAGCAAGCCGCAAGGGCTCAGTGAGACCAATATTTTTGAGTGGGGGAAATAGTTCACATTTCTGTCAAAATTCTTAACCAACAGACAAAGAGCAAAAATTGATTTCAATTAGTTCTGAGTATTTCAAATTCTGAAAACTGGTGCATGCCTGTTTTGCCCCCTTGCCACTGGTATGTCCCCAAGGTAAGTCCACCCCTTTACTTCATATGATTATAATTGCAGTCTAGATAGTAACAATCCCACATTTGAGTATGTTCCACGAGAACATTATTTACATCGAATTTTAGTCAGTCTTAATAATGTTTTCCTTTTGTTATAGAAAGTTTGTTTTCTTTTCTTAGCAAGTGACTTACGTAGGTGATTTTTTTCAAAACCCACAACATCAGATCGATTGTTTGCATCTTTACTTGAGAAACACGGAAGCAGACTTAACCCTTATCTGCTTTGTTGTTCTTTGTGCATGCTACGTGCGTGCAATCTCAGTTCGCTCCCAGCTTTGTACTGGTCAGCTGTTGTTTAATACGCATTCTTAACAACGCCAGCGTCAAGGTGACTGCTATCATTTACGTGAGTGTCTATTGTTGCTTTATATTACCAAGATGACTGGGTAATACCATTTAATGGTCATATTTCAGGACCCCCTGACAAGGCGCATTCTGCCTCACAGTCCATGAAGACAAAACAGAGGACGAGATTTTCATTCTGATGAAAATTTTGCTGATTTATAATGGATAACATTTGGTCAACTTCACGAGGTCGAGCCGGGTCAACAAAACGAGCTGTTAACCATATTAGAATCGAGGATGATAACGATATTGATGAAATTTTCGATTTCGGAATTATTCTTGGGCAGGGGAGTTTTGGCAAGGTTATCGAAGCTGTCAGCAAATCAACCAAAGGGAGATTTGCGGTTAAAACTATAAACAAGGAGAAAGTGAGCATTTCTTAATCTTCTTCTTTTCGATTTTTATTCTATATCTTTTATCATGATTTCTTCGGATGATATTATTTCAAGGACACACAGGAGAAATTCAGAGTACAACTTCATAACTTATTTTCAATTAGATGTTTATAAGAATATCAACGATTGAACAGAAAGTTAACTTTGACCATTAATACCAGTTAAATTCGTCTCCAAACTTCAAGAAGCCTTTCGTTGGAATTGGGCGTTTTAAATGACGCGTGTTCCCTGTGTATTTTTCGTGATCAAATTTATAATCTCTTTATGATCACCTATGCCTAAAATAAAAGGTATTTTTCCCGCTGTACAAAGTATATTATTGCTGGCATTAAAAGTCATTGTTGTTTGCAGTTTCTTATGTTTAGCTTCTTTAGTTATTTCATAATCTTGCTTAAGTCTTTAACGATTGGCATTGCAAGCCTGAGCAAGATCGTGTCCAGTCATATCTAAAGATTATTTCTTTCCCATTTTTCATTTATTTCTACGATCATTGTTCGTTCCTTATTCTGGTTTAAAATAGAACAGAAGGTGTTATTTTTAGAGCTAATTCCCATCGGATGCGATATTTTTAGAGGCAGTTTCCATTGGATTAAAGTTCCATTTTCGATGCATTTTGTGAGGAGTGTTCGAGCGTTTGTCTAAAAGCTAGTTTCTATGCCTGTTACGTCATTTGTATGCTAACCTCAACGTCAATCCTGAATTCGTTGTACTGAGTGTTGAATATTCATGGTCTTCCGTTTAACTATGCATTAGCGGACAAGTCAACTAATTCTTTTCCGTACAGACATGTCCAAGGTCTGTTGCACTAACAAGATAACGAACGAGTATTTACATGACTCTCATTTAAATAATTGAATACTGTAGTAAAGGTAGGTGAAGGTTGGTCAACATCCTGTCTTATGGAAAGAGCGTTTTATTCCAAAAAGCCCACGCAATTTTCTAACAGAATTATTTTCCATGATTTTAAGTTATTTTCGAACAAAGCAGGATTAGACGATTTTTCTTTGGTTGTCTCGTTAGCTTGTGAGCGAAGTATCAACTCAAATCTGAAACTCAAACAAAGCTTAAAGTCAACATCATAATCATCACCATCATCACCATCAGTCATTATCATCATTATTGTTATCAAAATGTCAACTGTTGGTATCATTTGATGTGAGAACGAACTCTCATGCGCAAGTAGGCGAGTCCCCAACCGTCCAAAAATTCAATCAAAAAAATGTAAACTTTTGATTCAAATGTTATATGTTTATTTAAAGAAAGAAGCGCTACGTTTTATCTCAAAAGATTATTAATTGATGACCAGGTGCCACGTTTTCCTTGCATAAATATTTAGAAACTTAATCCTTTTAACCCGTTAGGCCCCTTTTGAGGCCAGCGCAAAACTCATCCGATCACAGGGTGTTAGGCAGTGATTAGCACGTCAACATATGATAAACAGTGAAAAATGAATACACACAGACTTCGTACCTTTCTTCAGCTAAGTTTCAAGATCAGGCCTTACTTTTGCTCGCAAAAGTTACTCTACCTTTTAACTTAGTTTTGGTAAGATGTGGGATCAGTAAATTGGCCTGTTTTCAATGTGGAAAGAACGTGTTGTGTCCTGGGTTTGAAAAACCTGCTTTGGTGGTGGAATTGTAACCGCGAAGTTTATGTGAATGTTATCTTCGATGTTCAGCCAGCTTTTATTCATGATAACCATCTTTGAGAAAGTCACGTAACAGTGAGTCACGCAGGGCTTGTGTTATATGTATGTACCTGTGTTGTGTCTTTATGCGTGTTATGCAGTGTGACCAGATCTAGCATAATATAATGCTTTTAGCATAACATTGGCCAAAAATTGTCATTAAGAATAAAATCTAGCATAATTAGGAATCTAGCATAACTCTGGCATGATTTTTTTAGTTTTTAAAAGTTCATTGTTTCTATTGATCCGTTGTCTATCACCACCAAATGCAAACACTTTACACCAGAATGTGTGACTTTCCACTTTCAGGGTTTAGCCAGATGTTTGTAACGGTTGGCAGCCAAATATTTTATGGTTGGCAGCCAAATTCAGCCAGCTAAATGCAGTACACAAAAAAGCTGAATTTTTGCTAATTATGGAGAGTGATAGTGTAATCAAAATTTGCTTTGTAGGTTACAAAAGCTTTCACTTACTTTTATCTTGCATTGTCTGTTATCTTTCACTTTCAAATCATTCTAAAAAAATTGAAATATTATCTATGCCAAAAATTTATTTTCCTTTGCATTTTTTGTGGTTTTTTGCAACATGCTGCCAGAATTCTGCCAATTTCTGCTTCTTCGGCCAAATCAATTTATGACGGCAAAAGGGGTTGAGAAATTTGGATGTCAAAACCATTGATCTAAATTTCCTTTTTGTATTCAAAAGATGGCAATTTTGAGTACACTGTGTTTTAGATTGGGGGTCGAAAAGGCCAAATGGAAACTTTGGTCACTTTTGATGTTCTGAGCATCCTCTAGCCTCTTTTACAAGAAGGGGTGCCTTGATTTGAAATTTAGCATAATTTTTGCAAATCTAGCATAATTTTATGACAAATTTGGAATAATTTCAAAATTGAGATCAGGTCACACTGGTGTTATGTATATGTACATTCAGGCAGGCACTGTACATGTATATTGGTAGATAGATAGATAGGGCAAGAAAGGGGAAACCACTTGATTAAGAATGAATGAATGTAATTCTAGCCTGAACAAATGATTGAACCCTTTTTTTGAGGGAAAGATTAAAGTTTCAGGAAGGCTGCTATTTAAATTCAGGCAAGTCGTAATCAGAAACAAGTGCAGGAGTCACATCGTGTATTCACGGAGCATTAGACAACAGTTATCATTATTGTCAACGATCATCATAATCATCATGTGTAGTCATTAATAATCGTCACTACCAGCATCGACATAATCAGCATCACCAGTGCCATACCTTTTGTCCTTCTTACATCTCAGCGGCGTTTCTGTTTTTTATTTAGGCCGGCAGTGCTGGTGTTAAATTACTGGAACGAGAGGTGAGCATAATGAAGAAAGTGTTTCACAAGCATGTTGTACAACTGGAAGAGGTGTACGAAACTTCAAAGGTATTCCATGTCTATACAATTGTCATTTGTTTAACACTAGACATTTTATCGTAAAATTTCATCCTTTATAGTATGGTAGCTCGTCTTCTATCCACCAACCAGCATATGGGTATACCCTGGCAACACCGGGGCAGCTAAAGGCAGCCATTAAAGAAACTAACCCCTCTACCTCTCCATACCTCTCCATGCTGTTGGCTAAACACTCTCTCTAACAGGCACTTCCCCCATATACGGATTCTCTCCATACAATGTGATAGTAACATGTCGCAGAGGACTCGAAGAGAATTAAAAAGCATTAAAGTTGCGAGCCTCGTTCTTTCTTGAACAGTTTGCCTGGCATACACGTACCCTCCCCGTAATTATTTCTCGGTTTACGAAAGCGAAGCTTCTGTGCACATACACGTCCTAGAACCGTATCACAAATCTCACCTTTACATTGCCGCTACTATATTTTTCAGGAATTAAGATGCAGCATGTAACAATTTCGCTATTTATCACCACCCTTGCCAATTCCTGTAATAACAGTCCCTAAATCGTTCTTACCAATTCTGGGACAGGCTCGGTTTATTTAGTGATCCCACAATTCAGGTCTTTTTCAGCAATGCACCAAATTCTGTTTTTGTGGCCTATAATTAATTAGTAGCTAATTTCATATATTTAAGGCTCAGATTTAGTGCTGAAGCTCTTTCGAATTTCAATGAAATTTTTTATTATTGCTATTCTTAAAGGGTAAGTCGTCTAATTAAAGTTTGTGACCATTTTAGAAAATGCTGCTAGTCATGGAATTATGCGATAATGGAGGATTGAACGAGCTTCTTAAAGAGAAGGTTCGGTTTAGCGAAGAGGTTTGTTATAATTGATGTAAATTTTTTATCAATCCAGCTAACAAATTCTAATCTATTGTTGGTTTTCAAACGCAATAGAAATTTCAGAAATTTTAACCCAACACCTGGCTACCCTTCCTTCCAACGAAATTCGCTTGAGCGGATTATATTTGACAATAAGCTTGAAAGACTAGGCTAATTTCATTCTGAAATATGGTGTTTGTAAACCACACATCATTCGATTTTCTAAGTCAGACCAAACATGGAGTGAAACAAACAGAAGGAGCTGCAAAAGTGAACCAGAGGCGCTTTATTGAACGTTCAACGTTATATCAAAAAGCAAATGGTATCCCTACATAAATCACATTTTGTGCAATTAAGGTTTAGTCGGACTACCCACATTGGATACGAGTAAGGGTACAATAGCGTTCACATTAGGAAGGCTGAATTACACCCCGCCTAGTTTTTAACTTCAAGGTTTTTGATACATTTAACTGATTTTGAAAATCTAGAAGTATTTCGTGGTGTTCTTATATGTTATGTGGTCAAAATTCAAAAATTCTAAAAATAGTTTTTGTGACGTCACAATTGAGAACTCTATTGTATTCTACTGCTTAAGAACTTTTGTTCTACTGCCTGAAACTTTTTTCGCAGAAAGTAGAAAGCTGATAGACTCGCGCAAAGTTCCCCTACATCCGTTGAATATCTGTGTTGATAGAATTTGATTTGCAAAAACAGTAAAGAACATTCTATACTGATCAAATAATACAATCTTTACATCAACTTTCAGTCAAGTAAGACGGCAATCTTTGCTCCGTAAAATCATCACAATGTGAAGTTGTGTTCTTCCTTGTTACATTTGCAGATATTATTTTAGCTCGTCCGGTTTAATTTAAACGACTGTCGTTATTTTTCATGTTCTGTGTAAAAATCCAATCCCGATTTCCGAAAGGGTTGGTTTTTTTTAAATAAAGTAAACATGCATTCACTTTCAAGATAAATAATGAATGTGCTGAATAATTATTTCATTTATTGATTGAACAAATTATTAATTGTCAAAAAGATAAATTTTTTGTTTTATCTAAATGATTAAGAATTCAAAGACCGGTGTTCCAGTGGATTCTTTGATCTTTTCTTTTTATTATTGAATTTTTTGTTCAATTCAAAGATTTTCTAAGTTATGATTTTTGACCACCGTTTGTTTGCAGAAAGCGATCAATGGTTTAGCCAAAGTTTTGTTATTGTACTGTATTCGCTAAACCAAACAAAGATACTTTAACGTTTCTCGTGCGATCGGTCCATTAACTGTATTTTTATTGAATGAAACTGCCAAAGATTTAAATGAAAGACTGAATTTGTAGAGTAAACAGTATTGAGAAAGGATACTCATTGACGTTTTAGACTTACCGCTTAGAGCACAATGAGTTCGAAAAGCTTAAAAACATCCTTTAAAGGCTACTATTCATCTTACCTTTAAAAATCTTTAAAAAAACCAGATGATTGTTTTGGAATCTTTGAATATATTTATCGTTATTTCGATTAATGTTGAATGTGTTTTGGTTTCTAAAAGGCAAGAATTCCTCAGGTCATATTAAAATGCAGCATTTGCTGATTACGTCTTACAGAACTGGTTGATCTTTGGAATAATTATGTATGATTTTTGTGAGACATGGCCGTTTCCTTTCCCTCTCCCTGGTAGGCCCAGGTTTTTCGTATTCATAGGATCTTAAGTTTGGTGTTGCTTTATCCTGAAAACTCGGTTATAATGGCTGAAAAACATAGGTGTTCATTTTGTGTAATGTTTCCGTATACACTACACATAAATACTCTTTTGAACGTCGGACAGTTTGTGGAAAGAGTGATTGAAAGGCAGTTTTATAACCCTTGACAAATGTTTTTGGCAATAGCCTTCAGTTTTTAAGACAAGACCACTTGGTAGAAATAACCTTTGTGGATTACAATCCTTGCTACTGTTGTGAAAATACTTAGATTTTAATCCTGATTTGAATTTTCTTGTAGGAGACACTATGTATAATGAAGCAACTGATAAGTGCTGTTGTTTATCTCCACGAGAACAGTGAGTTTCCACCTTATCTCTCTGTATCTTCCATCTTGTATATACATTGATTAGTTTGCTATAACAAGAGCTAATGAAGCATAAAGCTCTGGCTGTAAACCAGTTGAAGTAATATCCTTACGATAACGAGCTTCGTCACTGTACATATTCCATAAATGCATTAATCCTTTTTAAAGGGAATACTGTCATTGGATTTAGGCTAAATGAACGCTGCTTGTGTGGCGTCTAGCTTGTCAGAAAGCAAAATTTAAAACGGATCTGGTGTAAGCAAAATTTTGAGAGGCCACCAAAGAAGACTCATAATATAGGAGTATTCTGTTTTTAAAGTAAGGTTTACATTTGGTTCTGACAATCCCTCTAAGAAGGGGCTGGGGTTTTCTTCGATGCATATTATAATTACCCCTTTATGTGCTTTCTAAATGTTTCTATTTAAAAAAAATACTTTTTAAATGTACAAATGATTGAACCCCAATAAAAGTGTCATTAACAGCTCTCCAAGGGGGTGCACTACAAGCATTAATTTGGATTCGTAAAATAACACATCTTATTCATGGATAGAAGTGCTGAAATTTGCTCAAGTCTCTACTGTTCCTGCGACAACAAATATTGCTCTTAACAAGATACACAGAATAACACCGATTACTCGAACCCCCGACTATTCGAACCCTCAGATTACTCGAAGCCCCCAGATTACTCGAACCCCCGTTTATTCGAACCCTCAGATTACTCGAAGCCCCCAGATTACTCAAAGCCCCTGATTACTCGAATCTTCTGATTACTCGAATTCCTGGTAACTCGAACTTTTTTCATTCCCGTTGAACCTTCCCCAATACATTTGACAACTCGATGACTCAAACTATTCTTGTCTGGGTAATATTTTCCACTTGCCTTTGATAATTTCTGTTTTTCCTTGTTTCTTGTATCCCCGCAAAACTCATTGCTAATCGCATACCTAGCAGGCATCTTCTACATGACAACCCATCATTAACCGCCTCACTGACGCTTTCCATCAATTTGCTTCTAGATATTGTACACAGAGATCTCAAGCTTGAGAATATTCTTCTTTGTAAACCAGATGCTGATGAGAATCCAATTAATATCAAAGTATGCTGCCTTATTTTGCTAAATATTTTTTACAGGATAAACACTTGCCTTGGGCCTTAATAAATCCAGACTGCATTTCTTTCTAACATATATTTGTATCGAGCTTTATTTCTAAAGCGGGGACCTTAATTTCTCAAATTATCTGCTTATTATACATAAAGTTTGATGCAGTTGCGAAGCATATGATCTACGGTTTAATTTGAGTAAAAGAAAGTAGTGGGAGCAAGTTAGGGCAGTAGTCTGTAAGATTTAAAAACTGCGAGTATTAGTTGTTAAACAATAAAAAAAAGTTGAGTCTTCCTATAAGAATATGGACAATTGAATATGGACAATTTTAAAGAAAAGCAGAGTGCGGAGAACCATGGAGATCATTGATAGACAACCTTCGAATTTTTGAGAACGTTGCTTAGATTGATTGGTTGATTCTTTGAATAAAACATATTTCTCCATTTCTCTCTCTATTTTTCTCAGTTTTGCCACTCATTCTGTGTCCTTTGTATTCTTTATAAAGGCATCGATTATGAATTTTATATTTTAGGTGACTGATTTTGGTTTATCCTACATCCGAGGGGGCGTAGGAAGTGACTACATGATGCAACAAGTCTGTGGAACTCCAATGTATATGGGTACGTCATTTCTGAGGCGTTTTATATCTCCGTGCTGTATTTTTGTCTTTTTTCTTGATTTGCATTTTTTTTACCACTGGCCTACGATACATGTCGATTATAAAGAAATAATTTACTATTTTGAAGCTATTTGTCAAGAAATTTAAGGGGCAAATAATTTTTAACCAGAAAATTAGTAACTTTCATATTGTGAAAATATAACCTATTTGATGTCAGTCATTTTGAATGAGCATCTTTGCCTTTTAAAGAGCATATCCAATCCCTATAATCCATCACTTTTTCCTGAAATTGTTTTGACCTTAGTTTTTGTTTTTTTCAGCCCCAGAAGTCATCACAAACCTAGGCTACAGCGAACGCTGTGACGTATGGAGCTGTGGCGTTATTATGTATTACCTGTAAGTACCGTCATTTTCACAATTCAGCTTCTAGGGATTGTGTCCATTGGATTTTATTTGCATGTTCAGCTTTTTTCGACTGTGATATTGACAAAATCTTCCCTGTGACTTTCTGTTTTCTATCAGGCCAGACCTTGGACTTAATGTACCTATTTGTTTCCGTAGGCTGCATGGAGAACCACCTTTCGTTGCGAACACTGAGGAGGAACTGCATGACCTGATAAAAAAAGCTGAGGTTGATTACTCCATGCCGCATTGGGATTCTGTCAGCATGACAGGTAACAACATTGTTGTTGTTGGTAGATCTAAACTAGAAACAGAATTAGTGATCATGGCATCCACATGTGGATTACTCTAACTGACTCATTCATTAACTAACTTGCTAACTAACTAACTAACTAAGTAACTAACTAACTAGCTAGCTAATTAACTAACTAATTAACTAACTAATTAACTAACTAACTAACCACCTAACTAACTAATTACCTAACTAACTAATTACCTAAGTTAACTAATTGGCAAACTACATTATTTACATGCCGTTTACATGGAAGTGAGCGGGCGTTGGATTTTTATAGATGGTAGACTGCCAAAATCAATAGTGAAACTGGAGCCCTGCCTGTTTGTGGGCATTTCCCCCAGACTATCGATTTAGCTCCTCTACTTCTGTCTGTGAAACTCTCCTTCAATTATACAAATGGCTCAGTATCTGAATATATGTAACAGTTTGGATGGGACATTTTCGCTGTATTTCTGCCTAATACTTAGCAGTCATGACGTAACAGTCCTATCAATATTACTGCATCAACAAAGATCTGGACAATTTAATCTTGCCTATTTGTTTCGTGTCCTGGAACGAAGTAATATCCAGTCAAAGGTCACGAGATTATCCAACATCAGAAAATTTCCGAATTTTTTTAAACAGAAACCCGGCAGGCTATAAAATGTAATTGGAACTTAAATTATTGCTCCAGTCAGCAGATTATGTTGTCTTAGTTTCGCTTTTATGTTTTCTAGCAAAAGAATTAATTAATTGGATGATGAAGGTTGATCCAGCCCGTAGATGCAGTGCAAAGGAAGTTCTGTATGACCCTTGGATCATGGTGAGTCTGGAGGGTTCAGCATGGATTATGTTCTTGTTATCCATTCAAACTGCGATTAGACCATCAAAGTAGAATTTCCAACGAAGTTAATTTGCACTGCCTTATATTCTTCTAAGCTGGCCAAACATAGAGAGATTTCAGCATTTTGTATAGGAAATAGAAAAATTGTTGTAACTGTGTTAGGTGTCCCTAGAAGAGATGCATTTTCATGGTACAAGTAATCCGAAGTAAGGCTACTATATAGGTAGGCTTAAGGCTCCTATGAAGGTTTAGTAAGCGTATTAATCGAAACGCAGAACTATGAGAATGAATTGGCGTAGTAAAAGTATGTACTGCAAAGAAATTGTGCACAGTGTTTGAAATTTTGCAAATTGATGACTGCGAGCACAAATATTTCGAAACATTTTGAAATATAGAACGCCTTTTTTGAGCTGTAAACCTTTTGGGATGACAGTTTAAAATAAGCAGGTTCAAAAAGAGGTAAAACTATAAAGAGATGAAAATATTGATGTATTGAGAAAGAATAGTATGTTTTCTGTAATGTATCGTTGCTCAATGTTCAGTCCCTTAGTGAAAAGATACACCAACAGCAAGGTCTTTAATACCAGAAATAAGTCAATTTAAAAGTGCTGGTGCGATGCAAAGTTCAAAGCCTAGTTTGTTAGTTGAATTGCTGTAAGTACATTTGGTAATGCAGTAAGGAAACCACGAGAAATTAAGGCATTCTATAAACATGCTTTTAGTCGTAGAATAAAATATACGAATACACATTACTCGCGAACTTTCACAAAAGGCAAATGTGACGTCACCATAACGTTGCTTTCTCGTTTGATTTCGTGGTATTTTTCTGTTAGGGGACGACCCATTCTACAAATGGACCAAGGCTTAACGTTTTAGATCTTATGGGAGAAGAGCTCATGAGATTAAAGGTAATTTCTTTTAAAGATGTTTTCAAGTATTTTCAACTTTTATTTCGAATAGAATTGTTCTCCCTTTTGATTTATGCATTCACGTGTTTTAACAGAATTGGTGTTTTCAAACTCAAGCTGATTGTTTGGTTACAACACCTTTCGCTTCCACCCAGTAATAGACTGACCATTCGGTGGATGTATTTTTTTTACCTATGAACATATTGCCAGAAAAGCGTTTGACCAATTGTTTGACCGTTTACTGACTTGAAACCAACACATTGCACTGATACATTCGCAGTAAGAATTTAAAGAAAGGGCAGGGCAAAACCGTTCTCGACCGTATTAACTGCTTTTCCGCATCTTGACTGGCGTATAATTGACTTATTACAATCTCAACCCCGTTTCCTGCTGTTTTAAGGCTTCAGATTGACCAGTTTGACAGCTTCAAAAGCGGTTAGCTTCATTCAAATGAGCCATATTATCCGGTTTGTTAGGTTTTAATCAATAAAAATTAAGCCAATAAAAATTGTACAGACTCGTGAAGTTCGATAGATTTGTGTGTAGATTATCATTTATATATGAAAATTAGCAATCGTTTATAATAAACATTAAATTTAAACCTTTAAATTGTCTGCTTTCCAATTGAAACTACTATCAAGATTGATCTTTGCAAAGCTTTTTTCAAATTGATGTCTGATTTACTCTTCACAGTTAGAGAGATCTCAAAACAACAACGAATCAGAAAATGTAAGTTTCCCGTTACAAATTCTTCTCTTTGCACTTTATCAAAATTTATGATAAATATTGGTAGTAACTCTAGCCTGTAACAAATATCTAAACAACATTATCAAATGTTCTCTCCTATATGATTTCAGCTTACCTTAAAACAGGCCCAAAACAAAGAAAGAAATTACTGTCAACACTATTTAATTGTACTATAGGGCCTTGTATGTTCGGTTGATACCTCTTCTATTAATTGACTTGCTTAAATGCAACAGATCGATAAAGGTAGTTTGATTGCTTCTGATAACATTTATAATTTTTCCACCTTCTTACATAAAAATTCTTTTTCAGGATGATAATTTATCCAAAGATAGCCATTCTTCTTCTGAATTATCGACAAATATCAAATCGGTATGTTTCAGTTTTCTGACTGTCAATATTGTCATAGTCAACTAAGTTTTTTGTACCGCAAAGTTTGAAAACAGCATTTTGAAGATAATAAGCAAATGTTTCTTGTTTGTTTGAATTTTATAACTCCAACCAACAATTTGTTTGTCTCTTCTAATGGACTTGATTTTGCAGATTTATTGTTTCTTAGTTAGTTACCAAAGCGCCATAAATATTAGATAAGCTACATCACACCTCTTCTTGCATTTTGAACGTTTACGAACGCCCTATGGGACTCACTGACATTTAATACGCTATTCTTCCAAGCGATTCTCCTGTCGATGTTGCGTTTAAAAACAATCACAGATGCTTTAAAGATTGTACCCAACATTCGTTACTCCATCTTTTGTTTCCCCCACCCTTTATACCCTTCAACCTGTGTCACTAGACCTAATGTCAAATTTCCTCTTTGTAGGAAAAGACGAAGAAAGGGGTGAGTTTGAAAACCTCTCAAGATTCAAGCAGAACGTCAAGGTCAACAAATGACAAAAAGACTTCATCGCCTGTGCGTTTAACTGAGAAAAAAACAGAGTCATCTTTAAAAGAAAAGAAGACAGAAAATAATGCAAGAAGTGTGCCGAGTTACATGCAACCGACAAAAAGCTCGTCAGCTCCCAGAAATCCGAACACTAAGGACAAGCGGACAAAGAGATAACCGAAGATTTAGTTCTAGGCCATACGTAAATTCATTTTAGAACTTCATCGTGGTGGGGACAAAGACTAATTGGTGGCTTGTGTGATGAACGTTCGCCTTTGGGAGACTCAACCCTTACCACTCTGTTTTATATTGGTTATTCTTCATGATTCCTGAACAAGGCGGTCGCTTTTGCTTAACTTGTGGGAAGGAAGCCATCGACGAATGTTGCTTCGTAAGTTATTGCACAAAATGTTAGGTCGGTTACTTTTGTCACGTTATGCCATTTGATAATCGTTGCCCTATCAGGGGTTTGAATATGCGCGTGCCATTCTAGGCGGCGTCTAAAGTATGTTTGCTTGGATAGACTTGAGAAAATTCCATCGATTTATCCAAACGATTGCGTCGAGAAGTAAACGAACCGTTCTAACTTCCCCTGAGTTAAATTTCTGGTCCAGTTAGTTCCCATTAAACGGCTGTTGAGTACTTTTTGACCGCAAGGGCTAACGGGCAACAAAACACAAAGGATAGGTCCCTGAGGTTCTCAGACCCTTGGTATTACAGTCTGTTGTTAAGAGTCGGTAAGATCGAGAATAAGTTGAAATTCACTTGCCACGATCTACTTTGGGAGTTCTAGATAATAACCCTTGCCCATTTGCAATGTCACCCCTGGTTCAACATGGTTTCCAAACAAAAGACAAACGAAGCGACATTGCTGCTTGGAAAATAAAGCTCATCAAATTATTAGCTAGGTGACTTATTGTGTAGGGTTCATTAAAATATCTTTTCGTTAGCTTTTCCAGCCAAATTTTTTGGCAAAGATTTCAATTGGCACCATGAGCTCCTTTCACACATTTAGTTGAAGGAAATTCAGAAGCACAACCTAACAGACTTCAATATAATTGAGCTGGCTCAACTTGTAAGATTTAGAGTGGTAATTGTTTGATATTGTGATCATGGCTCTGTATATTTGTGAAATTTGAATGAGAAAAGTCGAGTTAAGAAACTGCCCTTCAGTCTTGTCATCTACTTTTTACTACTCAGTCCACCCATGTGGATACAATTCTGTTATAATGGCCTGATTCAGGTGCCATAACTCAGATTTACTTTCAAGATTGGCATAAAAGCTTATAGAAACTGTACAAGGATCCCAAACATATCCGAATTTCATTCTTTACCTAGAATCTATTTCATTGAGATGTACATGGTGTGTTCGAGTTCTAACATTTTGGCAGGTATAACAAATGAAAAAGACACATGAATATTTTGGCAAACAATTTACTGGATAACAATTTCTAAAATTTATGAATATTCCTGAGTACACACTTGTAACTAGAACATAACTTACCAATACAACGATGCAAGAACTGCCTTATTTGTCTCACTGAACTCCCTATTCTGCCTGCTAGTGTTGCTTATATGGAAATGCAAGATGGCATTACATACAATTATACTAGACTATATTCATCAACAGAAGCACAAGAAAAAGGTCAAATGTATGATTAAAATTGAAGTTTCTGATGCAGTTTGTAGCAGAAGATACTTATTTACGACATCGTAACCACGCACATATCAACTTAGCCAGTTCAATTAAGCCTCGAGGTTGATTCCCATACCAAGTTTATGTCCAGGTTGATCCAGACTTTTGGCATTGATCAAACCAGCTAGAGTGAGTTGAACGCCAGGTCGTAAGCTTTGGACATAGGACAATCCTACCTGAAGGTTGTTGTTGATTTTCAGCTAGAAAACAAGATAAAACATATAATGAGACAAAACAGAATCATTGCAGAATCATTTGCACACCTAGAGGGTATTATCATCTGTGCAACACAATTTCAGTCCTGGTAATATGAAATTTGTTGGCCTGCTGGTAGTCACACGCCTTGAACAGTTCAGGCGTGTGATCTATAAAATGGAGACTGTACGACTTTTATGAAGACCTGATAGCCTTTCAAATGTAATATATGTATTTGAAGAGGTGTATCACTGAAAAAGCCTGAGGTCTTCATAAAACCAAACATATTTTACAGAATTTAGAAGAAGTTCTTGAAAACGAAATAATTTAATAAGACAGATACAAGTTTTTAGGCCCTGTTGTCATTAATCTGTTTTAGATTTCGAGTTCCCTTAATATGCTTAAAAACAGAGTCATAATAAACAAGAAATTAAAAGAAATTACAAGAAACAAAAGAGAAAAATAATATAGATATAATTCAAAACGTGGAGCGGCACATGCTAATATTACCAGGATTGCAATTCAGATCATTTTAAGTCAGACAACTGAGTGTGTACTAAGAAAATGATCCAAGAGAGCAGAAATTAAATGTTAATGGTATGGAACCATTGATCTAGTAAAAAGCTCTGTGGTTTTTGCAACTTTCTCCAGTATCACCAAAAAGCCATTACTACTACAAAATCTTCACATTTTTACACAAAAAAGACAAAAGAGGGGTCAAGGAAAAGTGAGTTGATTGTGGGCAGCACAAATTGTAATATGTAAGAGCAATCTAGCAAATTCATAAAAATGTACACTTGTCTACATGGCATCCAAAGATGTGGTTTATTGAATCAGAGTCTTCTGGAAAGTTTGATCAAACTTTATGATAAAGAAAATTAGAAAAACCTTGCATGAAGTATCCTTGTCAAGCTGGTATTTTCCACCAAGCACCAATGATGAGCTACCCCCTTCTGAACACCATTTCAACATTGCTGATGCTTCTAAATCCTTATTTACCTGAAAGGAAAGGAAGCAATGTATATGTGCAAATATTGAAACAGTGATATTTCATTCCATGGTCTAAAACGTTTGTTCTCTGTTCTTTGAAATGTTTTTTCACTCATAAAAATTATTCATGCATGATCTTTTGATAGACAGAGCCAATTAGGGTGAGAGGTTTTACACATCAGCAAAATATCGTTATATCACATTACAGGAATTTTTGTGAAAACACAAATGAGCATTGGGACAAACCCCCTTCAAGAAAAAACACACCAACTAACAAGCTGTGTTTTTGTTCAAAAGAGACATAGAGTAGCAGAGCCACCAACAAAATGCTAAATTATTCAGACTCAGTGATATTCTACCAGCTGCTAAAATTCATTGACATATTTATGTATCATATATATAATCAATAAATATTTCTGACATTTTTTATCATTTCCATGTTTAGCAATGTGTACCCTAAAGCAAAGTTGTAATCATTTTATATCACCTAAGACTTGCTCATATGGGGAAATTTCATCCTGTCTAGTATGATGATACTGTAAGCAAGAAAGTTTTCACCTTTAAATTTATCAAAATAAGGTAAACAAAGAAATTCTTACTTTCTGATGAATTGAACCTTGGAAGTCAGTTGCATCATTGCTATAACAGAATTAGTTTATCTAGTATTATTCATGTTATGAAATGTAGATAAACTATGGTATCACAAATTCTGATGTTAAGCTTGTTTTGTGATAAGCAAAAATAAAGTTTGTAAGTAAGTAAAAAAGTTTGTAAAAAAATCAAATTGTCAAAGTTACAAAATCCTTTTTCCCTGTTGGGAGTACTTACACTGATGAGTGGAGGACAACATCACCATTCTTGTAGGAAAGAGATACATTGTTTGCAATTAACTTTGAGTTGGCAGTGTCATAGGAAACCTGGTAGCCTCCCATGAATCCTTTGTAGCCAACAACAGTTGAACCATGCACAGTTGGGCCAGCAAAGTCAAAATCAACATCGGCGGTAGAATGCATGTATTCATTTCGGTATGCACTCTTAACTCTGGCAGACTTCTTAGCACTATTTGGTTCAAATGATGTATCAAAGGTAAACTTTAATCCTTTGGCAAGTTGGTCTTCGATGGTAATTTCAGTTGAGAGCAGATTATCAGTGTTCCATTTTTCTAGAAAAGTGACTCCATAATCGCTGCACTTGTATTTGGTTTCCAAAGATGCAGCAACCTTGCCAGTATCTGTGTTATGTGTTCCATTTGCACTGAATTCCTGGCACCAAAAAAGGAACTTTTACAAGAAGCAATTAAAAAAGCAATATTAACTGAGATAATGACCCGATTAAAAATACCCTATGATGCATTTTGTTTACAAGAAACGAAGCTCCAAAAATACGCAAGAAAATAGAAGTTGACAAAATTATCATTTCATGATTTACGTTTTTATAGGTTATATTTTTGAAATGTGCATCAAATGTCTTATTCAAACAAAACAATGTACAAACCAGTCCATTTTCGGCTTTGGTCTTTGCATCAAGTTTGACAGAACCAAAGTCTAAGGAGAATAATCACAAGTGTAAAGATTAGCACAAATAAAAACTTAATGTTATGCTATTTGTATGCAAAACTTCAATAACACAACTATTCAAATGAAACGTGAGCTTGGCAAAACAAATTAAGTTGAATGTTTCGAGGATTATTAATAATAAAAAACATGGGAGCACCCTGTTCTACACTCAAAAGTGCATAAATGTGTATGTATTTATATGTAAACATGGCTTCAAAAGTCCTCTATTCATTTCATCAAGTCATTTGAATCAGTGCAATGATTGGTTGCTTTTGACAAGGAAAATGGAGTTTGATGCTGAACAAGTGCAGTAATTAAAATTCTGCAGTACCCTTTGGAAAAAAATTTCCTCCTTTCAGTCTTGGCCTGGTGTATATTTAAATATATCAATCACCTAATTTGACAATATTTGTCCAAACATAAATAAAGAAAAAACTTACAAAAGTTTTTATTCAGCAGATCTCTAGCTTCTTTACCCAATTCAGCATATTTGGGTGGGTTGCAAGCCATTTTTAGACCTAGGAGAAAACTGGTAAATTTATACATTAAATTACAAATAAAATTTTTAGATGCTGAGTGTGGTTCTGACAAATTTTAGAAGTGGTTACTTTCTCTGAACTTCTACTGTCCCTTTGTAGCTACATAAACTGAAACCCTGTCTCTTCATATTCCATCTCTCATGGTAGATGACTGTGATTGCATCATACAGAAAAACAGAGTAAATATATTGGTTCTAAAACTTGTCCTGTGCAGCTGGAAGCAAAGGAATGTAAATGCTAGCCTATGATTATGTAACTCTCAAGAAGAAAACCATACAATAATCTATGTAGATGCGTTTTCACATACAGTGAATCATTTTCCAGCCATGTTTAGATCTATATCATGATTATTTGCGATCTCCAAAAGCCTTGTGCGAGGAATTGCATACTTCGAAAGGCCGGCAAACTTGATATTGTTATTAATCGTTGCAAACAGCAGTTCTCCCTAGATTTCACTGTTTTTGACGGGGTTTCCTGAACATCAATTTAGTTTCTAAAAACCGATCAGCGCCTTTGCAAGTGAGTAAAAAAGAAGATTTCTCAAGAAAATTATCCAGAATACAGCCTTCCAACTGATACCCTGAGAGATTAATTCTAAATCTTCGGCATATAGCTGCATTCAAAACATATCATCTTAACCGCTTGGTCAACTTCAACTTGTAATCAAACTAGATACGGATGTAACTTTTCATACTTTATATGACCAACCGTTTTGGGATACGCCTTTTGCAGAAACAAAGGGGCCTCGCGATACGATAACTAGGCCCGAATATAAAACTTCTGAGAAAGTCTCACCACAAGAAGGTTTCTCGTGGCTAAATGCACAATATATAAACCTTTTCACAAAGATTTAATCTACATTATAGTAGCCAGCATTTCAAAAGTTTTGTATGGAGAAAGAAACGGGAGTTTTTCATACCTTTATAAACAGATGTATGAAACAGACGTCAACTGCCGAAAGACATGTGCAAGAGAATTTGCCAATGAACTTGGAGTGTAATCCACAATCGAAAACAATGCATCATGGGAATTATACAATGCATCATGGGAGCAATGCGGTCAATGTCAAATTTTCTTGGGACGAAAATCGGACATAAATTCACATTTTCCGAAAGTTCTGCGTGTTTGTGTGGTACCAGAAAAAGTCAACTGATACTACTTCGAAAGGTTATAAATTAGATTGCGATATATAGCTGTGATAATGAAAATTTTCTCTTCGCGTGGACTAACTTGTATTTTGGCGTCAATTATCCATTTCCAGGAAAGCATGTAACTGACCTTAACATTCCTCAATAAAAACGGTTTATCTTAACAGATGCAAAGAAAACAATTTTGTGTACAGATTAGAATAATACAGATTAGAGCTTCAATTCTCGTGGCATATGAGATATAATAAGGGCGTAACCCACTTTTGCCTGTGGTCCGAAGGGCGTGGTTAGCAAAGTTTCTCGGGCTTGGCATGTGGATCCAAATTCTCATTCGAGCTTCAATAATAGCCTGTTAAAAACCACCCTAAAAATGCATTCATATTTTCATCAAACTCATTCATAAAAAGCTAAGAAACTGAGGAATTAGAAGTGTTACTAAACCCCCCTCCAGGTCAAGGAAAAATGGGTTTGGTAAAAGTACGACGGGAAACAAGAAAAAACTCCACTTTGGTTTGTCATTGTAACCCCCGATTATTAAAAATGAATACTGAGGTCTTTCCCAAGCATGTAGCAAGGGCCTAAAGGGACATAAACAGCAAAGTACTACACTCGCGAGCAAGATAAATTTGAGGCTTGGGTATTGAATAATGTTCATCTACATCTACATCTACATCGATACTGAGCAGGACCGAGTATCGGTATAATGCTCAGAGTGCAAGAAATAATGACATAAAAGTTTAATGGATAAAACGTGCTAGAATATGCCACTGATCAATGATATTCTTGTGTCAATTCTATGATCAATGTTATTCTTGCTTCAAAATTGATGTTTCATTAAAATTAATGTTTCTAAGAAAACTAACAGTTTTGCATTACATCTTAGTTGCACGGCTAATAAAATCTATCTTGTTTTGTTAACAGGAGAGGTGGGGGTATTTTCAGAAACACGTTGCTACTTCTCCTAACTTCTCACCTGCGGCTTGGCATGTTATCTTTTTCAAATCGACCCTCGATCTCCCTGTTGCACTACTGCTCGGCTACAAGCAAGTATTTGATAATGCTACCTATGAAAGCACTCAAGAATTTTGGTTTGTGCACAAATAATGTTTGTTTAGAAAACAATTCTATTATAAACAGTTAGCAGATAAAAGAAATATTTTTATTCTGCGAGGTTGTATCCACTTTGCAGACTTGCAGAGCCTTAGAGCTTGGGTCATGACACATTCTGGTGCGCCTGATATACTGTTTGAAACGCTTGTCTACTGCACAATTTAATGATTTTAGAAATCACATTGCGCCTGATTTTGGCACTTAGTTGCTAAGATCAGTAATCAATTTCTAAGGGTGTGGCCTAAACGACTTTGTTGTCCAAAAATTAAAGAAGCTTGAGACAGAAAAACTACACTCTTTTTTATAAGAACCAGTAAATTTAAGTTCAGGCTGGCTGTTCTTAATTTTTTCGAAAATCTGAGGGTGGGTTGTTCTTAATTTGTTCTTAAATTAAGAGGGTGTAACAGTGCTATTGTTAGCTTTTTCGCTCTAAGGAGGTGCTCAGGCCTCATTTGCCAACAAAGTGAGTGAGACAGCTTTAATTTGCTGACAAATTTGAATATTCACCGAAAAAGCACCCACACATCGCTAAAAATCCTCGATTTTGAGACAAAATGTTGTTCAAAATTGCATTTTGCAGAAGCTCAGCCTCAGCTTGTTCTTAATTTGTTCTTAACTTTTGACCAGTTTTGAGGCTCGTGTTCTTATAAAATTGTTCTTATAAAAAGAAGAATGTAAGCAATTTTTCTATTTCGTTTCTGGTAATCGCAAATATCTTAAAATTTTGAATGAAATTAGAGACCAAGAATAAGAACGATAACGATATGGAAATGGATAAAGGGGCAAAAAGAGAAGGGTTTGGGGAAAAGAATGTGCCTTGAACCCCTGGTGGTGACAGAATGTGAAATCACAGCTGTTGCCATGGCAAGCGAGCAAGGAGTCAGAAGTCAAAATGGTAGATCCTTCGACGAAGGCGGGGAAACGTGGTTTCCTGCATTCCGCTTCATCTTATCAAGGATCTGATTGTTTTTATGCACCGTATCTTGGTAGAGGAAAAGTTCTGTTCACGGGTAACAATAATCTTTATTTTTTAATGCAATTATTCTCTTCGCTTTACAATATTTCCAAGCCCTGAACAGAAACTTTGGCTCTTCGCGCGCTCTCGTTCTTGGAAATTGTTTGTTTGTTCCCCACACTTTTGGCTGTTTTTCAGTAAACAATATTTTATTCAATTAACCTTTTACAAATAATTTTTTGCTACCCGTAGCACTGACCATCGGTGCTAATTTTTCATAAATTTTTTACAGGACCAGATGGAGTTAAAGACCATGAAACGAAAATTTGTGATGCGGAATATATTGGTATAGGAACTGCGTCAAGAGAAAGCACAGGAAATCTTTCATATCTTTGGAGAGCTGCAACAGTAAGTATATTTTGTAAGGAGACAAAAAGTTTGTTCTTTATTTGTTTGTGAAGAATGTGTGAACAAAGGTGTTGAGCAGAGTGTTAAAAAAGATTTTGGAATATTACAAATAAGGTCGTGAATGAAGGTCGTGAATGACTTTTGCTAGGTAATTTGGAATAAAGATGGAAGATATAGGTAAATAGGTTAGTGGGTTGGGACTCCTTAGGGGGATATTTGCTTGTCCTTTTTTCTTGTAGTGACTTTTATTACTCACGTTTTATAATACCAATATTAAAAATGACCGATTAATCATCATTATCCCAGATTTATTACATGTCGTAAAAACTCATTACAGATCACCTTTGATTATTATAAACTGCCTGCAATAGATTTCAATTTTGTGATTATCTGAATTTAGATGTCAGTTATCAAAGGTGATAAATGCTTGAAGCCACATTTTCTCAATAATAGGACTCTAAATCTGATAAAACAGAAAAAGCAAATTTTCAAATTTTTTTTTACAATCTCTTAAATTTCAATCTGCCTTGGAGGAATAGATCTTGTTTGAAGTCTGACTTGTGATATTGCTAAATCTACTGTTGCCACTGTTGCATTTGATTTGAAAGAAGCTCTTTCTTTGAGATTTGGTTGCTATTCAGCACTTACATTCTTTTGTAGCACACACCCCACCCATCGTCAAGAGGCTGTCAGGTTTGTCCCTCTACTTCTGATTATCTTATCAGCTCGTTTGGATCAATGTTTTATTTATGGTTTGCAAAAACTGCATTGAGACATCAAGAACCATATACTATCTGCCTTATCCCTGTTAAAGAGGGGAATTGTACATTTTTGGTAGTGATGTTATCAGCATGTGATAGCCTTGAATTTTCCTTTCAGATTGGTGATTGATCTTTTAATTTTTGATGTATTGATATAGTCGAATTTGATCTGATGGATTGGTTAATGTATTGATGTGTTGATTACAGGTTGGTGATATTGGTTGGCATTCCAGAGGATATATGGATAGACGCCTCTTGTCCAGTAGACAACAGATCAAAGTATGTGAATCATTTCTTTTGTAACTTTTCACCTTTAAACCTTTATAAACTGAGGCTGGTTAGAGCAAGAGGCACAAAACACAGATACAGAACAACGTCAGAATCAACCCACATTTTCAAAGGCGTTGGGTATGCTCAGGGCCATTGCTACATTGGGCACAGGAATGTGACAACCCCCCCCCCCCTCAAAGAACTCATTGTTATAGATTGTTATAGCATGGAGTTTCTTGCCATGTAGGGATGCTTTGTCTGCAAGTTTTCAAGCTTGTCAGCAAAAGGGTGCCTCACCCATTTTGTCAGCAAATTGGATCAAGTTTGAATATAATCAAGGGTTTACCACAACATTACATGCAAAGGATCTAACTCCTATATAATATCTAACTGAAAATTTTTCTTTCAGTCTAGATAGTGTAGTATAGTGTTCTAAACCTCTTCTCTTCTAGCTATTTTAAATTGCGATTAAGATATTTACTTCAATTTGCTATTAACTACAGCTTGGAGAATTCAGAGAAGCTTGTGAAAACCGATATTCTCACAGGAACCAAAATCCATGGTATGATTTTGATTTATTGTGCTATTTCACTACACCAGTACCCTACTTTCTAGAAGCAAATAGGTAGAAATTATTTTGTTTTGGGGTCAACCTCACCCTCCAAGTTTTGGGGTCAACCTCACCCTGCAAAATACTTTATATTACTTAGGGTTCTAAAATTTAGCCTTAAGCCACATAATCTATCGTTCCGTATTTTGTCACATGTGGTAATTTAATTTAATGTGGCCCAATTCAGCTATCAGTTTCACAATGTGCAAAGGTTTTCCTACAAATTAAACCTCATTTTAGTCACACAAAAGTGGCATGTTTGAAAGTTAAAGAGCATGATTTAGTCTTAAATTGCAGGCCTTTTAGCGCATGTTTTGTTTTAGGTATCCTGAAAGCAAAAGATTTAGATGCTACCAGAAGTATTCTGAGCAAAGAGGTTTGTGACTTTATAAACACCAACTCCTTCCTCTTGAAAGATATATTGTCAAACCCAGACGAGGAAAATTTCTCTTGTAAAAGCTCAAACTATTTTTCTTTCAATTAAATAAAATATTATCTTGACATGGCCTTATTATATCTTATCTTGAAAACATTAAAAACAGACAAATTAAGTGTCTTATCATGGATAAGTATTTGTGTCATTTTAATTGTCATTATTTCTTTGGTAATCCTAAAACAATCATTAGCAAATCTGCTCATTTTAGAATTACATCAACAATTGACAATGTCTTGTTTCAGATTCACCAATAGAGGAGCTTAAGCAAATTCCTATTCGACCTCGATCTTGTGCAAGGCCCAAATCAACCTCAACAATTGGATCATTGCCATTTTATGGGTACAAAAGGAGACCAGATTCTCCGAGTTCGAGTTCTTCTAGTTCCTATAGGTGAGTCGTTTTATTTCTAAAGCTTTATTTACAACATGTTTTTTTAGTTTTCGAAGAGCATGCAGCGATATTTCAAGTTATTTTAGAAACAAGGCTCTTGAAAATTTCAATTCTTTCAATTTTTTCTTTCTAACTTTTTTGTAGAGCAATATCTCCTTTAAATTTAACCCTTTTTCACTTTAAGAGTGAATTAAAAATGACTTTTCCAAAGATGAATCATTTTCCAAAACTTCGTCTTTGTCTACAAAATTGGTTGAAATTGGTGAAAACAACCGTATTGATGGCAATTTTCGTAAGAATTTTAAATTCATATTGGAAGCTCAAAGGTTCCTTTTTGAAAGTCTTTCGGCTGCATTTTAAATAAATCACGAGTGTCAATAGCAAACACTTATTAACTTTTGTTTCTTTGTCTTAGGGCAACAATGTATATGCGCTAAAATGTATCATGAAGAAGTATTCTTGTATCATAATACTAAATTAAAAACGACATTACATTGTGTAAGTTGTCTATGATTTGTAATTAAGTGCGAATTTGTAAAATGTGGTTTGAATGATTTTCTATTGTATATATTTATGTCGAAATTTTTAAAAATTGAATGGTTATGAGTTTCACCAAAGTCAAACATCTAAGCAGCTGCACTTCTTTTGTTTATTCTTTTGTCTTTTGTTAATGAAAGAACGTGGACTCAAACATATGAATGCAGAATAAAAGCAAAATTCTTCTTTAATTACATTAAATAGTAAACATGAAGAAAACGAAACAACCAAGCAGATATTTGAAGAACAAAAAAAGCTAAACACGAAAAACTGCTGTTTGAAGAAAGGAAACTAGATTAAAAGCAGCTGAAAAGTTTGTTCGCCGAGTAGTTAATTTAGCAGTAATGATAATGGCTCTGAATAATACGTAGCCACACATGCCCCTTTATAAACCCTTGCTTTTGAAATTTCTGTAAGATTTGCATCATTTTTCATCCAATAGGCCAGAAATGTTGTACCAAAAAATGGTAAAGTTTAGGCTAGAATTTTATTCCAAACCAAGTAAAGATCTTAAACTGTCAAACTTTAAATTCACGTATTACCAAAAGATCAAGATGAGAATTTGCCATAGCAGACAGTTATATGTTCAAGGTTTAAAATAGCTGCACCACAAGCTCAATCTTTTTGCGTAAAAAATTTAGATTAAACGGTTGAAAAGTTTTTGAAATGTATATTTATTGATTAAATGGGCTTCCGGAGACATCATTTTGGACAAAAATTTTCCGAAAGATATCGTCAATTTTTTGACCAAAATGTAAGCCTATAGCCTAGGTAAAATGCCCATTTTTGACTGAATTTTTTTGCGTAGAAAATTTGGATTAAACGGTTGAAAAGTTTTTGAAATGCATATTCATTGATTAAGATGGCTTCTGATGACATTATTTTGGACAAAAAGTTTCCGAAAAATATCCTCAATTTTTTTACCAAAATGTAAGCCTATAGCCTTGGTAAAAATGCCCATTTTTGACTGAATTTTTTTGTGTGAAAAATTAGACTAAACCGTTGAAAAGTTTTTGAAATGCATATTTATTGATCAAAAGAGCTTCCAGTGACATTATTTAGAAGAAACGTTTTCCGAAAAATTTCCTCATTTTTTGACCAAAATGTAAGCCTATAGCCTTGGTAAAATGCCCATTTTTGACTGAATTTTTTTGCGTGAAAAATTAGACTAAACCGTTGAAAAGTTTTTGAAATGCATATTTATTGATCAAAAGAGCTTCCAGTGACATTATTTAGAAGAAACGTTTTCCGAAAAATTTCCTCATTTTTTGACCAAAATGTAAGCCTATAGCCTTGGTAAAATGCCCATTTTTGACTGAATTTTTTTGCGTGAAAAATTAGACTAAACCGTTGAAAAGTTTTTGAAATGCATATTTATTGATCAAAAGAGCTTCCAGTGACATTATTTAGAAGAAACGTTTTCCGAAAAATTTCCTCATTTTTTGACCAAAATGTAAGCCTATAGCCTTGGTAAAATGCCCATTTTTGACTGAATTTTTTTGCGTGAAAAATTAGACTAAACCGTTGAAAAGTTTTTGAAATGCATATTTATTGATCAAAAGAGCTTCCAGTGACATTATTTAGAAGAAACGTTTTCCGAAAAATTTCCTCATTTTTTGACCAAAATGTAAGCCTATAGCCTTGGTAAAATGCCCATTTTTGACTGAATTTTTTTGCGTGAAAAATTAGACTAAACCGTTGAAAAGTTTTTGAAATGCATATTTATTGATCAAAAGAGCTTCCAGTGACATTATTTAGAAGAAACGTTTTCCGAAAAATTTCCTCATTTTTTGACCAAAATGTAAGCCTATAGCCTTGGTAAAATGCCCATTTTTGACTGAATTTTTTTGCGTGAAAAATTAGACTAAACCGTTGAAAAGTTTTTGAAATGCATATTTATTGATCAAAAGAGCTTCCAAAGACATTATTTAGAACAAACATTTTCCAAAAAATTTCCTCATTTTTTGACCAAAATGTAAGCCTATAGCCTTGGTAAAATGCCCATTTTTGACTGAATTTTTTTGTATGAAAATTAGAACTAAACCGTTGAAAAGTTTTGAATGCATATTTATTGATTAAAAGAGCTTCCGTGACTTATTTAGAACAAACATTTTCCAAAAAATTTCCTCATTTTTTGACCAAAATGTAAGCCTATAGCCTTGGTAAAATGCCCATTTTCGACTGAATTTTTTTGCTTGAAAAAATTAGATTAAACCGTTGAAAAGTTTTTGAAATGCATATTTATTGATTAAAATGGCTTCTGATGACATTATTTAGGACAAACATTTTTCGGAAAATTTCCTCATTTTTTGACCAAAATGTAAGCCTATAGCCTTGGTAAAAATGCCCATTTTGACTCAATTTTTGTGTGTGAAAAAATTAGATTAAACTGTTGAAAAGTTTTTGAAATGCATATTTATTGATTAAAATGGCTTCTAATGACATTATTTAGGACAAACATTTTTCGGAAAATTTCCTCATTTTTTGACCAAAATGTAAGCCTTGGTGAAATGTCAATTTTGAAACGGTTCTAAATCTCATACTGATTGATCAACAAGGCATTGAGTAAGATATGTTTCAGGAAAGATTGTCGGAGAAATATTCGCGAATTTAGAAAAATAACAAGCAGATAGGCTTGCTAAAATGCCCATATTTGACTGAAAATATTTGCCTTAGAAAATAAGACGAGATGTTTTAAAAATTTTCAAACGAAGACTGACCGATGTTAAGTGTCTTACATAACACATTTTGAGAATTAATTTTCAAACGAAACCAATTATCAATGAATCATGTTTGGCAAAATGATTTTTGGAATGAATGGTAAGCAAAAACGTTTCAGAATTTCCTAAATAAACAAAAATTCTGACCAACATCAAATGTTACTTATACAATTTTGGCAAGCTTGAAAAGAAAACCTCCATTTTTTGACAAAACGGCAAGAATAAAGCCTTGGAAAACAATTTTGGACAACAAAATTAGAAAATCCAAAACGTTATCGGTAATTGAACTGGTTAATCAACTGAGAGTACCCGTCACTGCCGAGCAAAAACAGGAGAAACGTTTGGCAAAAAAATTGAAAAATGTCTGGCATATGTTTGGAATTCTCATACCACAAAATAATATATATAGACTCTCTACATAATATGCACAAGCGTAAATTTGTATCAATCTATCTGCTAATACAGAAGCCAGATGCTACACTTGCTGATAACACCAGCCAATATCCAGTAATATAATATCCAATTATATTATGTAGTGATAATATTTACATTATATTTTTGGCAGTTTTGGTGCCGTGACCACAGGGTTGCTTTGCTCTAAGACTTTTCGTCCCTCGCCTTTATAATCGTAAGTACAACAATGAGCCTCTGCGTATCTGTGTGTTGCGCAGTATATGTTACCACACCTAAGAAAAAAATTCTAACTGTGAGGGAAGATAACATAAGTTAGTGTAGAAACAACAATTTTTTAGTAAAATGCCTCAAAAACTTTATTTGATAAGAGCCATAATCTGAAGGGAAAAGAAAGTGACAAGATACATATTAGTACTGAATGGGATCCGGATCAAGGAGCCGATACAACCCCATACCCTTCAGTTGTTGGTCTGCCCAAGATACCAGCGGAATGTATAAGGGGTACTATCCGAACACCCCTAATATTGCTAAATAGTCGGCTGAAAGGGATCACAACTGATAGAAGTGTGTCACATCGCATCTGTGGCTGACTCTATGACAAGAACCAAACTGAAATGCTTGCTATTACTTGATACAAATATATATAGGCTGTTTGTGATTTCTTGATGTATGTGCAGAACCTCTGTATTAAAGGAAGAAACTGGGTGCAGCATGCTTCGACATGATATCCACGTTAGCAGTTGCTGTCATAGATCGGCATTTCAGCAGGGGCTGGGAAAGAAATCGAGGGTCAGGGATATTATTTTAGGGGCTAAAGTAATCAAATGGAGGGCTAGGGTACCCAACTCCGTAAGGGACATCTTGAAGCTCAAGGCGACAACACACAATTTTTTTAGTTGCAGTGCTACACCTTGTACACTGACGTTTCTGATGCACAGATAATTCAAATCGAAATACCTAGAATAGCCTTTTCACCACTTTTGCTAGCATGCTACTACAGATCTAAAAGCTAGATAGAACAGGGATCATTAAAAGGAAAACCAACCTGCATTGATAATTTGTTGCGAGTCCTAATTTCTTGGCACATTGAAAACATCGAGTACGTTTACGACCACTTGGTACCAGCTGAGGAGGAGCTTTAGAGACTGACTCCATCTGAGGCAGCCTCGATGGGCTCAAGGCCTCTTTAAGACTTTTGGCGGTCGCCTCTCTCTGAAACAAACAGGAGCAAGTTATCATACCACTGATCATACAGAAAACCAACTGATTTTAATATTTTACAACGAAAACAATCATAATCATAAAACAATGCTTGTTTTTCAACGCGATTTGTTATCACCTTCTTGTTCAATGCAGGAAGAACTTTGAAAATTTACACAATCTAATAAAGAAATATCAAAAACTAAGGCTGAATGGGACCTTTCGATGATTTATGCAGAATTTATATCTTTGTATTATAAAGGCTAGACTATATCTACGATACGTTAATAATGCTCATATTTCACAATCGCTAGCGACGAAGCTTTGTTGGAGAAACAAATTTTCAGAAGCTACCCTTAGATCAGATTTGGCTTTTTTCATGGGGCGACTGGCCAAAGCTGATGCCCTGACATCTAGACCAACTCCCAATGATGAGGCAACAACTGCCTGAAAAAATGAACTTGTATATTGTATTTTGTATTTGTTTCTACCTAGCATCCGAAGGTAGTTTTTAGGACATTGAGAAGCTTATGCTTATCGAGCAGTGTCCTGGTCCTTCCTCTCGATGTGACCACACCTCGTGATTCCTACGCCTGGAATTTACAGGGAGCTGGCGACTCTCCCCACTTTGGGTGAAAGTCATGCCAGGGACTCGAACAAAGAACTTTTGGATATATAGTCAGCGACTATCCTCGCACAGAAAAGAAGATATATAATAAGTTAAATATGAATGATTAAGTGTGATTTAATAATAAATTTTCAACCAACCTTTAATCCAACGATGCTTTCCTCCATTGATGCAAGTCTTGACCTTCTCAGCAAACGTCTTCCTGTATCCGTGGATTCTTGCCTCGACAAAAGCTTTTTCTCCCCTAAAGATTTTAATTTCTGACTTTTTCGATGAGTTCGTGATTCTAAACTTGTATTTGATAACATATTTTCCCATGAAAGTGCACTATCGTTTCTATCGTCAATTTTAGTTGGTGTTTCTTCGTCATCATAAGATTTCTCGAAACCTATATTAGTATCACCGCTTTCTCCTCGAAGGTCTAACGGCTTAAGAGACTTCACTCTGCGCGGGCTTCGTTTTGATGTGCTTTTGTACCCATGATGCAGTGCCATATTTCTTTCTGCTTCTGCTGACTTCATGGAAACAGAATTAAGATCCTTAATCAACTTCGTATCTAGATTGGAAGCACTGATTATGTCAGATATATCCACGTGATCATTGCTACGGTTCCTGGAAGTCACAGGCGGAAGTGGAATCTTATCATGGCTATTAGAAGCACTAGTGTCCTCTTGCCGTTGTTTTAACTTGTGTCTATGTTTCTTCAGCCTTTTCTGCTCAACTGTAAGTGCATTATTGTCATTGTTTTCTGCATGGCTTGCTGCAAATCGTAATCTGCAAGAAGAAAACAAACAGACATTAATTTGACTCAAGAATAAAAAATGATTAGTGGTAAGAAAATTTAGAAAATTTATCAGGGCCTTTTCTATCTGCTAAAGTCAGTTTCTTGGGAGATGTTCGGAACAAAATATTCTTGCTATGTTTGTAGGTTTTGATTTATCGGAATAGAGGATTATCATAAAAAAATGCCAATATCAAAAGAGTTGAGTCCCATTTCGCAAAAAGCATCACTATAGGTGTCCTCTTCTACAGTCTTGCTGTGCACTCATAACAAGTCTTGAAGCGCAAATTCAAGGTATTCTTGCTTAGACGCACGACCATAAATACTACTGCAACCATTATCACTCAAAGAAAGACCTAACAAAAAGCAGTTAATAAAAATACCTTCTTCTTGCAAGATTGCTGTTTGGTCTTCCAGAGGATGGAGGGCGTGGAACAATCTTTGGCTTTAGGAAGAAGAAAAATAATAAGTTTTAAATGCTAATCGATGTAAAACTCATTTTTAATCCTATGCAAATGTCAAGACATGGCAACAGGTTCGTAAATTTTAAAAATAAAGGAAATCTTGCTGAAAACTTGAATAATTCAACAGTCAAAACTCACAGCAAAAGCTCCAAAAGTTTCAGAAATTTTGTTTAGCAACTTTAAATTTTGACATCTCTAACAACAGCGCCAAATGATGCTAAAAATAACACAAACCTGCTTCCTAATGTTCAAGTTAGCCATCTGTGCTTGAAGAAATTTCATCTTTTTTCTTGTTAATTCATTTTCTTCTTTCTTTTCCTGGAATAATCAATAAGAAAAATATCTTTTAGGATGAGAAAACAAAATATGCCAGAAAAAAGAGATTCTGTATAAGACTTGAAGAAAAAAAAAAGCTGACCAATTGCAAGAAGAAACAAACAACATTTCAAGCTATTTATCTCCTGACCTCAAACACAACTTTAGTCACAAATCCATCAATATTACTACAATATGTACATGTGCTTCATTTATTATCTAAATAAAAGACAGGATCATTTGGTTTCCATGATTTACATCATGGACTGAAATTGTAGATGTTTTTGCACTCTATTCATTAGATTGTATATTAGAAGAGACTTGTTATTACCTTTGAAATCTGTTGGCTTTCATCATCCTCTTCATCATATAAATTATAAATTGATGCAGCACTGAAAAAACAACAGTTTACAGAAAAGAATAATCTTTACAGAAAACAAGCAGAGTGGGGAGTTCAAAAAATGCTATAACTTGTTCATAGAAGTTGGTCCACTGGCTTAAAACATCAATTTATCCTATATGTAAACTATGCTTAACTTCAATATTTATGTTTGTCTAATTTGAGAACCAATGATTACCCTATGTATGATATTAAAGAGGAAAAACAAATGATTCTTACATTTTAAGATAAAAGTTAATGACATTTTTCAATTTAGTTTATACCAACAAGAAGGAAGGTTGCGACAAGACATTTAAACTTTTTGTAGCCAGTAAAATCATTAGGTAAAGTTTGTACAGAAAATGAAGCAACATCTTGTTATGTATACCTTAAAGTTTCCGATAATGGTGTAAGTGTTCCATCTCCCCTGTCATAAACTCTAAAAAAATTCAGTTGATCTCCATCCCTATTTGCAGAAAGATGCATTTAAGATTATGTTTCCAAACAATAAGTGTGATAACATGTTGAAGGCATAAGTTGTCAACAAAACTATCAATAATAAATTTCTTTGCAAAATCAATAGCAAGATAAGAAAATAAATTTTGTTTTAAAAATTTATTCAGTCAATCAAGCCACAAACCTGAACACAAGAAGGGTGACCTGTCTATTGTCTTTCATAAGTTTGTCCAAAATTTCATTCCTAGAAAATAATGGATGTAAAAGTTGCAAAACAAACCAAAATGTTTACAATTCTTTGAGATGGCTCGTATCAAACCATGGAAAATTTGATTATATATACAACAAAACTATAATATAACTCTGTGATATGTGAAACTATATACGTATATAATTCTGAATATTAAAACATTTCAGCTTTTATAAGAATAAATTTTTGTTTGGAAAAAAAGTGCTGCAAAGTTTCTTCTTTATATTTGTCAATCTTCTTTATATCAACTGTTTATCAGGAATGTAGAAGAGGACTAAAACTGCTGTTTACAACTCAACTTTTGTTTAATTGTTTTGCCAGGGCTTAAAGGTTATCAGCAACTGAATTTAAAGAACAATGATTACAAAATTTTGGTAAAAATCTTATCATCAAATCAAAATGCTTTTGATCATACAACTCTAGATTATATCTCTAGATTGCCCCTTTAATTGTGCATTTACCATGATTTCATGCATAATTTACAAACCTATTTGCTTCCATGTATTCTGCCATTTCTTCTAATGAAGGTTCTTCTACTGAAACTGATAAAAAGTGGCAATTAAAAAATATAAATTGACAACCAATGTAAATATATTTTTTATATGCTAAGAAAATAAGATCCGTCCAATTAGCACTATTTTGAGAAATCCCTTGAGAAAACAGATGAACACTAAGAATTTTTATACATTGAGCAATCATTATTAGAAAAATTGTGTTTTTATGAAAATTTTCTATAAAATAATTTCAAATGCCTCAATTTGACCAAGTTTATTGTATATCATAAGCAACAATGTAGATAAAAATTCTATGTCTTAAAATGCTTACTCCTTCTGGTATTAATTGGTCCACCTCTCATTGCCAAGACTAACTTCAAAGTTGCACCATCTGTAATACTAGTACACAAAAACAGTAATTCATTAGCATTCTCTTATAAAAAAATGACCTACCATTCAATAAGATACAGAGAGGATTAATTATGATTTTTATCAGTTGTGGTTTGTGATAAATTTTATTACACCATTGTGAAAATCTTTAAAATATGACCCAGTGAAATTCAACCAAACATTAATAAATAAATCAAATAATGATAAAGCTAAAAACAGCAAAGTTCTGACACAGCCTGAATAAGAAACAATGTATTTTAAACAACAACTTGGTGACATACTCAAAATCATGTAAGCAGAGTTCATCATCTAGTTCTGTGGACTGCCAGATAAGATGCTGCTGTGAGACAGGGATGCCTGGAAAAATAAACAAATTGTTTGAATACATTTCTAGCTAGCTAATAAATGAAAAAGACTGCACAATTATGCTAAAAATCATACGAAAATTTATTTTGTTATTTTCTATTCAATGGTAATTTCTTTTCTGATTTTTTTAATTTCTGATTTCTGATTTTCTGATCTTTTCTGGTAATTTCTTTTTTAAATCATTTCTGATTAATATTTATGAAATATTCTGCACAACAACATTGGGATACTTTAGTAAATATTAACTTAACCTTTCAGCATTTTTTCTACTATGTTTTGCTTTTCTGTGTGGATATACTCAACTGTAAACTGTTTAATTTTTCATTTGTTTGATTTGTACATTTGAGAATGCAATGAAAATTACTGGGTCTTTATGTTCATAGCATTTTCTCTGCACGAATCACATGGCAGAGCAAGAAAAATCACATAAAAATAGATTTTATTGCAAAGGCACTTAGCCATTAGGATGTCAGTTTCTTTATACTGAAGTTCCTTGCTCTCACCAGTCCTAACTCCTTAACTGACTTCCTTAATTTCAAGGGATGATCCCTTTTAAATTAGCTGATCTGCTGAGAGAGCCCCCCTTCAAGAACATACAAATTTTTTGCATATTATTTGATAAGGTTATTGTATATTTTAATAATCTGTACATCTTAGGCACTTTGTTAAGAATGATGTATATGCTGTGGGATTTTAAAATAAAATGGATCACATTGATTACATATTGCAGGTACATAGGAAAATTTTTAAAACTTGCCCTCTAGTCTTTGTATTTTAGCCTTGATGCTCATTATTGTGTCAAAAGGACTGACACGAAGCTCAAACGCTGTCCCAGTCAACGTCTCAATGTAAAGATCCATTGAGAAATTCTGAAGATGACCATATACTTCCGTCTATGAGAAGATTCCAATATTTTCGATGAAAATAAGACCCATTTGTTTCTGCCTCAGAGGTACAATCCAATTCGATTTATTGTGCTCTGAAATATCCGGCTAGGCCTTTCAAGGTTACAAAAATTGAGGAACAATTAGCTGGTAATTTCTTGACGTCGATAATCTAACAAAATTACAAACAGTTCTCAAACTGCTCTGTTCTGAAAAGAAACAGCAGTCACATATTAATGGCCGCTGTATGCGCCATCAACATGTACTTGTTACCATCCTTTCGCTGCTTTTATACATTTACTTTTCTACTCGTCTTTCGCTCGAGGTGAACTGAAGGTAAAAAATGTGTCCGTTAGCAGGTTTAATTCAGGAAGCAAATACGAACACGAAGTACTCCGGACTAAGCCGCGTTTGACGGGATTTGACTTTCGCCGTGAATACAAATGGCCTTTCGAGAGTGGGATCGAGTCGGCTGGGCTGCCTTTAAATTTGATATAAAATCAACGCCATCATCAACCATCAAACGTATCTACACTAACTGATTCGCCTTAATAGATCTTCAGCAACAAACAGCAACGATACATAGTCGTCTTGTCTTGTTTCTCTCCATTTTTCCTACCTTTCTTCGGAGCAAACTTGAGCATGAAATTTGTTTTCGCTTACGTCAAAGTTCCCGGATAAAGAGCCACCACAGGTGCAGCCACAACAACAAGACGTATCGTTTTTTGTTGCCATGGCATTGGCCTCTTGCTTTTATTGCCTTCCCCATAGCGAAAGCGATTGTGGTGGGTTCGAAAACCATATTCTGGCAACAAGATAATAAGATTTCATTTTGATTATTTGAATATAATCTAGCATTCATATATCAGCTCTTTCTTCTGACGATGGATATCACCAATTCTGAAACATTATTTACCTCCACTTTCATATGTCAACTCTGTCTACTCCAAAAATTCCAGCGTAAGAAGGTGTGAAGAATTGCACATCAACCCAGTGTTCTTTAACGAAAAGTTAAGTGACTACTGTCTATATTGGTGATCTCTTTCATAAATAGGCAATGAATACAAGATTTCTCTAAAGCTTTCCTCTTTAGAATTTCTAATTATTTTTCACCATTGATTGTCTCTGAATACCAAAGGGACCTTTAATGATTTCACCAGGGAATTTTATTTGCTTAATTGTAGAAAGAGAAATATTCTACTGAAAACTGAAATATTTACAAATATTCGTTATGCCATTGTTTAATTTCAGTTGAGACAATTCCCAAAGTACGTTAAGTAGAAAATTCCCGGGAGCACCTTCATAATTAGCCTCATGGGATGTGCCGTGGGACAGAGTAGCCTTTCTTGATAAAAATTAAGGGGCAGGATATTATGAATTGCATCAAAACTCTAGGACAGGGAAGAACAGGGTTGTAAAATTAAGAAAATCTATAAATAAGAAGTATGTGAGAACAGTTAACTGATTTAGAGCGTGTTTCAATTACATTTGCTAGTGGTAAATCTCAATCAAAATCAATCAATCAATCATTCAATCAATCAATCGATCAAAATCTTTACTGTCTATGTCAAAGTATTCAGCTTACGAGCTAATTGGGACATTAAATACCAAGAGATCTGGCATATTTTTCATAATTGAGCCGTATCTTTGGCATACTTTTCATAGGACAGGGTATGCTTGGGGTAGGACAGAGTATGCTTGGTCTATATTTATAGGGGACAGGGTTAGGGGGCAAAAAGGTTTTCCCCATCTCTCTTTATCAAATGCCCTCCGGGCAACAATTTCTCATTCTTTCTTTCGTAGTAACAGAGTGATGCACATGAATCACGCAAACCTTACTTTTTATTTTATATCATATGAAAAACATGTACAAGACTATTCATTGACTATTCAACCCTAGAGACATAATTCGAGTATGAACGTTTCGGCAAATCTTCAGAGGTAATGTGTTCTACGATGAATACAGATACACGATTATAAATGATGAAAAAGCTCTTGATGGAGTCAAAGTTGGAGGTACAGCCGATTGCTGTTATCAGTGGCTACTGGGACACTTGTGCATGCTTTAATCACAAGCAATTTAGATTAGGTATTGCAACTCTTTATAATATGGCGTATAATATGGCGTGCCTCGGTACTTTAAGAAATTAAACAGTATACAGAATGATGCTGGACCTGTGCTGAATGCTGTTTAACCGAAAGGCACCAATCTATTTGAACATATTTTGAAAATGATGATAAATGACACACACCTAGGAACAACCCTGTCTAACAACCCCAGCGGGCTTTTTTCTCCAGAAAAGATAGCAAGTAAATATGATTGGGGTAGCAAAATTACAAAGGGGCGTCTAGGAGCACACTTAGGTTTAGCAATACGCTAATATTCTTTCCGACATGCGGGGCCTACTTTGTGCAATGATCTGCCATATGGAGTTAGGAATGCAAAGGACTCCCATGGCAAATCTCTACTGAAAACCCTTTTTAGACTAGCGTATAATTGACAATAAGATCTAATTTGTAATGCATAGTGTACACAGCCCATAATTGTGTATTATACAAGGTAGTTGAGAACTTTAACTCTTGATGATCGCTTAAGCGCGAAACTCTGAGTAGCAGCGTACAACCATTCTGTTCTATACATCTGATGCGTGTGTAACTCTATCTATACGACACCGAGCTCTTTATGAGAGACGGTAAACAGTAAATATTATTAGTTAAGGACTTTTATAAGCAGCTATAGCTAGGACTACACTAAAGGTATAATTTGGTTACAGTGTCACTCAAAGACTCCTTTTCTGTTCAAATTCGTTTAGTAAATAAGCATTTTGTACAGCAAAGTTATTTTGTGTATGCAGGAAAGCATCATTTTCTTGCATTCCAATTAAAAACTGACACAATATATTTAATAAAATGTGCCATTCATAGCCAAAAAAGACACATGGTCACCGAGTTCTGGCTATGTACGGCACTTACAATATACAACATTTGATTGTACTTACTAACAAGAGAAATGAACACAACAATTTTAAAAAGATTAAAGCGTACCAAAGGTGTGTCTTAAGATAGACGTCAGAAACCATAATTTATAATTGGATTGATCAGTGATTTGAGTTATTCCCACAGACCTTCCAACATCTAGCCCTAGACAGACCTTTAAGGGGAAAGATAATTTCAAATTAAAAGGAAAAATAAAATAAGATAGAATAAAGGGTTGTTGCCGTTTTTATTCCAATTATCCCTTATCAAACCGACCCGTATTTTTTATGTATGATATATAGTAGCTTCAATAATAATACTATTTTCTATCACTTTACAACGGGGATTTCATATAAAAGAAGATTGCACAGGGATCTATCGTCTAAGCAAGTAAGCTCCATTTCGGGAATGTCAAACATCTGCTCAAAGAGATCCAAACGAAAGGTGTCATACTGTGGACAATGCGGGAGAAAATGTTCATTTCTTCATCGGCTAAACTACATATACAGACAGGGGTAAGGCAGTCAAATGCATGTCTGAAACGATGCTCGTTCATATCACTAAACTGAAGGCAGAGCCTAGTCAATAATCTTATACCTGGAATACCAGATACACGATATGTAGAATTTTTAACTGGTCGAATAATTGAAATCTATTTCCTTTTAAACTGTGTGATTGAAGTACAATTTTGGATCTCACTATCAAGCAAATTCCACTCAAACAGTACATTTTGAAAATAAGTGTTTGAATGGCGAACTGTTCTTGCCACTGGTTATTCATTTTTATTAGGCTCTTCGACTATGCGATGGGTTAGTGTTTGCTGATTGGTCAAAAACACCAACCAATCACGGTTGATTTAGAAAAATTATGATGATTAAATAATTATATATGATCAAATACGTTATATCCAGTTTCCATGTTTATCTCGCCAAATCAACGGCCTGAGTCCATTCAAAACAACTGTAATCAAAGCTAGTAAATCTGACAAAACTGCAATCCAAAGTCCAGATTGGGTTGAGAAAATAACTATCATAGTCACAGCCTTGATTCCAATAGCAAGCATGACATTCTGATAGCAAATGCTATGAACACGCTTGCTTAGCAAGATTATACTAGAAATCTTTGAAATGTTGTCGTTTATCAAAACGACGTCAGAGGACTCCAACGTAATCGCCACGCCGCTTGTAGCAACTGCAATTCCAACATCAGAAGCCACCAGCGAAGGGACATCGTTTATACCATCACCAACCATTGCAATAGCATCCTTAGGGCTCTTCCGTTTGTCCTAATCAAAATAAAATACTTTTATAAGTGTGAAATACAGTTGTTACTACCACATTACGACGTTTGAGAATACACTAACAAGTGGTTCTTGTTATTCAATTCTGCTGAGCTAAGTAACCCTTTGCAATCAAGATTACATACCTAAAGAAGTAAACTATTAACAGTGTTATAGGTAACTAACTGCACCAAAACATCAGACTCTCTGCTACAATTTTTAGACCAAAGTGTCTTATGAAAAAGGAACCGTATACAAGAAACTGCGTGTGGCTTGTTATGGGTAAAAGATAGCGATTTGAATTCATACCTTCGCAGTGTTGATGAGCTGAAGTTTATCTTCCGGTTTCATGCTAGAAAAAACTCTATCGATTCCAACTTCCCTCGCAATAGATGATGCTGGGCCATTTCCATCTCCAGTTACCATCAAAACTTCAATCGATTGGTTCTTCAATGCGTGTACTGCTGCAGCCGCTGTACTTCGCGGTCTGTCAGATAGCCCTACGGCCATACATACCTATGTGGGAAAACAGAAGATTTAAGTGGTAAACAATGATGATCATGTCGAATGGTGCATACTTCAGCTCTTGTTTTCTAAATGTTAACACGTCTTTTTCTTTATTCATTAAGTTTCAGATTCGTGAAACAAAAGGACTAATAAAAACTGTCAGCAATAGAATCTCAAGAGATGACGTCATAAAAATCTATTTTTAGAATTTTTATAATTTTTTCCCATAACTCGAAAGAGCATCATAAAATACCTCTAAATCTGCGAAATCAGTTAAGGGTATTACGAATTGGCTGAGATATGACCAGATGAGCACAAGCTCTGGCCCCATCAAACCTCTGTAATTTGGTCTCAGTCGATAACTTTATGAACTGAGCCAAAATAACAGTAATCCGTTAGCAAACTTCAAATCTTCCATTAGCCATAGCTCGCCCGATTTTTGAAAAATTTAACTGATTTTGCATATATGGGAGTATTTTATGGTGTTCTTTCATGTTATGTGATCAAAATTCGAAATTCCAAGAATAGTTTTTTGTGACGTCACACTTAAGAACTCTATGGCACATGGCACATGGCACAATGGCGGATGGAAGGGGGAAGACTGGGAGTCCAAACTTCCCAACTTTTAAAAACCATAGCCCTGGAAAATGGTCCAAAAATGAAAATAAATTGGTGAGGGAGGGGTTAGGCAGATCCATTATGTTCTAGCGCCATTGAAAGATGTTTGATCATAATTGAAACAGAAAAACGTATTATTCAAATGCCTTCAAAACTTCGGCTCCCTGGTTCTGAGAGGATAAGGGGCATGCAGCTTTTTTTGGGGGTTACACCTTTAACTTCCCAACTCCAAGTATGTCACTGCCTATCAAAGATTATTTGTGAAGGTATCCTACCTGTTTCACAGTTTATTTTGGTGAGGATGATCATTATGGTTCTCCGTGATATAGTTTCAGATATGTTCATAATGCGTGTACATTTTTTACTTCTTGACATTATTCACTTATTATTTATTTCTTGTACCTACCTCTCCATCGACAGCTATCAAAACAGCCGAAGTTCCTTTCCCTGCCCATTCAAGAACATCTTCATTGCACTTTTTGCAGGGCACATCAAAGAGTTTCATCAAATCCAAATTCCCAATCAAAACATCTCGATCCCCAACAGTGCCTCTTATTCCTAATCCTGGAAGATTTTCAAATTTAGAAACTTCTGGAAGCGTAGACACTTCTTCGGTGTTATTCGAGTGATATTGTGCCAAGCAGCCAAAGAAAAAATTGACTAAAGCAGTTGCAGCAGGATGGTTTGATTTCTTCTCTAATGCTGCTATGATTTCCATGAATTCTTTCCTGAAAGAAGCATTATAAACATCAAAAATAAACTACAGCAGACATGAATCGTTCCATAGCTTCAGGAAATAATTTGGTGGAAATTTTATCATCACACAGACTGCTCTTCAGAACTCTACATGCGAGTTGTGTTTTCAATTAGATCTGTTGTGTAGAGTTGTACGGTAAAAAAACCCTGCATACGGCATCTCTTTTTGCTGCAAAAGTTCCCTATTATGTTTCACTTTGCCAGCGTCATAAAACTTTGTTTAAATACGTAAATAGAAACAGCTCCAGAAATTGCATTTCTTCATTCACGATCTGACAGAAAAGAGCATTTTTTACTCACATTGCATCTTTTGCTTTCAAGAGATCCGAATAACTTTCAACATCATTCACGCGCAGCTTGCCCTCACTCAGTGTGCCAGTCTTGTCGAAGAGGACAGTCTTCACGAATGCCAACGCCTCCACAGTGGCACCTCCCTTGACAAGAACGCCGTTTTTTGCGGCAGCTACAATGCAGCTTATGACTGGGATGGGTATGCACATGAGTAGAGCACAGGGACAGGCTACTAGAAGTACCATTAAGGCACGCTTTGTCCATATGGTGAATGATTTCTTATCCACAGATCCATTCTGTTTGAAATAAAGAAATATACTGTAATCTATACAATGGAATCCCGCCTTACGGCCACTTCGTTAATACGGCCACCTCGTTTTACGGCCACATTTGACATTAATAGGGGGAGGGGGTATTGAGGAAGGGTATTGGGGGTGCTGCCCCCCCAATCTTCAAAAAGGCAGATTTTCTAGGGCGAATTTATGGCTGCCAGTATATCGGTCGGGCAAATCTGGAAATTCTCTTAAGGCCGCACTTTTATTGCTACTTTTTGCCCTAGAATTATGGTCTTTTCCCCCTATCATTTTTCAATCTCCGCCCAGTTGGGAAACAAACCAGAAACAAGGCAAGCAACAACAACATACATTTCTGTCTTTCGTTCTAGCCTGAGATCAGGCTCTCGGGGCTCTATTTTCCATCCACTGATCTCAGGCTACTTTCGTCCACTGATTAACGCTTTCGTCTCCAGCCCGATGGAAGTAGAGTCTGAAGTATTGATCGACAGCGAAAGTATAGACGGACAGTGAAGTGTGTTTGATGCAAGAAGGAAATGAACACAAGGCATGCCCCCCCCCCCACTTTTTCAAAAACAAGAGCTTCTTTCAAAATCTTTTGTTGTGATTGCTAAATTTTCCCTTGACCTCCCTGCCCACTTTCCATCCTGCGTCGGCAGTGTGACCAGATCTCAAATCAAGGTAACCCTGCTTGAGAAAGAGGCTAGCGCATGCTCAGAATATCAAAAGTGACCAAAGTTTCCATTTGGCATTTTTGACCCCCAAACTAAAACACAGTGTACTCAAAATTGCCATCTTTTGAACACAAAAAGGAAATTTAGATCAATGGTTTTGACATCCAAATTTCGCAACCCCTTGGCCGTCATAAATTGATTTGGCCGAAGAAGCAGAAGTTGGCAGAATTCTGGCAGCATGTTGCAAAAAACCACAAAAAATACAAAGGAAAATAAATTTTTGGCATAGATAATATTCAAATTTTTTTAGAATGATTTCAAAATTGCAAAAAAGAAACCTGAAACAAAGTGAAAGATAACAGACAATGCAAGATAAAAGTAAGTGAAAGCTTTTGTAACCTACAAAGCAAATTTTGATTACACTATCACTCTCCACAATTAGCAAAAATTCAGCTTTTTTGTGTACTGCATTTAGCTGGCTGAATTTGGCTGCCAACCATAAAATATTTGGCTGCCAATCGTTACAAACATCTGGCTAAACCCTGAAAGTGGAAAGTCACACATTCTGGTGTAAAGTGTTTGCATTTGGTGGTGATAGATCAAAATTATGCCAGAGTTATGCTAGATTCCTAATTATGCTAGATTTTATTCTAAATGACAATTTTTGGCTAGATCTGGTCACACTGTGCGTCGGAGCCCATGGAACACTGACAATTTTAGAAGCATCATGAATCAAAGCATGAAGGATATGCCACCTCGGAGTACGTTGTTAAAAAAAATCAAGCAACATTTTATTTTCCAAATGCATGAAACTTTCATCACTTATGGTCCGAAAGTATTGCACCCCTCGCCAAAAAATGGCCGTACAGTCGCCAAAATTTGTTTAACTAAAAAAATTCAAAAAGCTGTAACAAGTACCAAAAGTTTTTAAGCCGAAATTGAGCTTTGATGATAGATGTACCTGTAAAATATTTCCAATAAAAAAGCTTTTCTTTGCACAAGCTTGAGGGATTTTGTTATGGTGAATTCAGAGATTCTTACTTTGTGTCTAAAAATGTTTAAAACCCTTACGGAGCAGTCGAAAGTTGAAAATCAAACTCGCAGAAAATGCAACTGAAGCTCTTTTTTATTCTGCGTAGCTGTTTCTAAATTCCGAAATTTCTGAGCTATGTTTTGTTGTTCCACTGTGATAAAATTGAGACCCTACTTCAATCTCTTTTTAAATTGCTCTCTTACTAGCTAGGTGATTTAGAAAGTGAAGACTATTTTTCTTTTATAGAAAAGACAGGCCTTTCAAATACTCTGAGTCTGAAGGCCTAACATATTTAGTGACCCTCTCTCGGGGTCCCCAATGATTTCAACTCGAAGTGATGTGCCCTCACAAGGATGTTCAGGCATGACACGCCCTTTCATCCAGCATGATACGCCCTTTCGTCGGGCATCTAAGCTTCATACCCCCCTAATGAAAATAGTGAAGTTTCGCCCCTGCTGAGTACGTTTCCAAAAGCGACACAAGTGTGACGTCAAAAGTTGCTAAGCCAGGCGTATATGCAAAATGCCTGGAATAGACCCCATGTAACACGCAAAATATTATCGTGTAGATTCCAGCTTTCTCTCGTACAACCAGTGTGTGAGGGCACATCACATCATTCGGAGTTGTTCTCTATTTTTCCAGGTTTTCTCCCTCACTATTATTACGCCTTGTGCACAGTTTTGGCTAGCTTCCATTTCAAAAAGCCCATCATTTAACAAAACTTGAAATGGACCTGACATTTTACGACTTACCTCTGATACATCAATGATGAGGGGGATAGAAAATACGGCAGCAGCTAACACTAATACCAATGGTGTGTAGAACTTTGCAAATTTATTAACAGTGGCTTCAGCTTGGGTCGCATTTCCTTGAGAGACTTGCACCATCTTAGTTATTTGTGCCATTGTGGAATTCTCAAAAGTTGATGTTGTCTCGATCTGTTGAATAATCGATAATCAAGTGTCAAGGCCATATTCAGATTTTTGCAAAAGATATATTTGCTGGAGGTTTCTCGCATTTCCAAAACATGCTGCCTAGTATTAAGCACGGTCAATAAATTACACACTGCCTGCCAATGTTCTTAAACTTAAGTTTGAATCATGCACCTGTTGTTGGTCCATCGTTCTCTAGAAGGAAAGGATCAAAGATCGGCTCGATTTCTATACCCTCATTCTGCTATTAAGTTCAAATTGTGTAGTAATAATCTTCATATCTTGACCTTGAATCTTGACCTTGAAACGACTAAATGAGATGAACTATTAAATTATGCTGAGGAGAATTATGAAATATTAAACGTGATTCGTTAGCGAATGATTCATTTGCATAAATTATCATAACACTAATTAATATAGTAGAGCTAGGGTCGTAAACAATACCCCTACCTCAAGGTATCCACTCTGCAGTATGGTTCCACTGTAAGTAAAATCTCCTTTCTTTTTTGTGATTGGTGTAGCTTCTCCGGTAATCAGGCATTCATCTACACTACCAGTGCCTTTGGTAACGATGCCATCGAGTGGAATTTTGTCTCCTTCACATATAGCCAATAGCGTCCCAGGTACCACACGGTCCAAGTCTATTGGTTCTTTTGTGACAGCACAAACAGCTTTCAAGGGTGATTCAACTGCGAGTTCTGCATAAGATTAGAAAATTGTGTTGTCAATGCTATTCTGTCGTATACAAGTAACAAAATGACAACCAAAAGACTCCTTAATAGCACTCAAAGATCATTTTTAGATTTATAAGTGCAAGTATGAGTTCTTCGGTGTTTATTAGTGGCATTATTTTATTTTGGTCGGAACTAAACAAAGCCATGGTGAAAGAGTTGGGTGAGCAGTTTAATGCCGTTCACGTTAAGAGGAGAAAGAGGATTCTCTCCGTTTCTACTGAGACTCTCGACCACCCCACTTCAACTAAGACTCTCGACCATAATTTTTTAATAACGCTCTGGTAGCTAAGACAATACTATGTAAAATACTTCTTCATCCTGGCCCTGATTCACTTTGACGAGACCCTATGTGCCAAGGCCAAATACCAGTTCTTTTTCATCTTATGTCACATTTTTACCTGATCATTATATTGCTCTTACCTATTGATTATTACTGTTACAATTAGGGCATCATTTGATGATAATAAAATAAAGCATAAAATTTCTGGATTTATGTATATCTATTTACACGTCAAAACACTCCTGAGAGTAAAACAGAAACAATGTTTTCGGGATGCAGAATATTCTCGTTAAAAATTTCAGTCTCTTTTGAATGAATGGATTTACTAGGCTAACTTCCTTCCCCGATTCAGATTATCCCACATCTCCTTCGCAACCTTGCAACGCATTTTCATACTCATTTCCTCTTAACAAAACCTAGCAGTCAAATAAAGTGATAAGATAGGAACAAGTCCAAAGACTGCACGTGTTAGGCAATATTCATAGCTATCTATAATCTTTCTTTTCATTGTTGTATAGTTAATATAAACAAAAAGAAAAACGAGATTATTTATACGGTTTCTAGTAAACATTCCTTATAGAAATAAACATAATGGTGGTGGGACTCCGCAATTCATTGTGGACTTTTTAACTTCAAACACTGCATCATCCGCGTGATTCACGAACATCAAGTAATACATTATGTTTACTCGACTGCAAATAATTTTTTTCTAAATTGGCCTTGTTGCAAATTTTCTTTGAATATGTTGTGAATGATAAGGTGAATGATATGTTGTAAAAGGTTTAAAAAGGATCTCAAAGTTTAGCTGATCTCTGTGATGTGGGTTAGAGATAACACATTACTGAGGGCGAATAATATAGGTACGACATCCGGCGACAGAAGAAAGGCCGGCAGAGGAAGAAGGAATAGGCACCGCGCAGCCATTGGGCTATCAGGGGCTATAGCCCCCCCACCCCCACTTTTTTGCAAGAATAGGCTAGAAAATTTGGAAGGTTTCAATTTTGGATAGTTTACTCTTATGTAGTACCAATTCTTTCCGACTGGGAACCTTTTTGTTCATTTTCTAGGTGTTTTATCTTGTTTAATGATATGATGTATTTTCTATCTTGGTTAGCTTGGTGTTTTATTACTTTCAAGCTTATTTTATCTATTCTTATAGTTATTGATTTCTTCTCTGAACCAGACTTTTTATAAAAATTCCGTAAAAAAATAAGTATTTTCTAAAAGAGGCCTTTTCCAGCGTTCTAGAGGGCGTAGCCTCAAAAATTTTCGGGCACACCCATTTCAGCCCCCCCCCCACTTTTTGCCTGGTGCGCGGTCCCTGAGAAGGAACAATCTACACTGTAAAACCCTGAACACTCATCTAAAATTCATACGTACTTGAGACAGCTTCCTCGACTCTGTAGAAACAGTAACTCTGTAGAAGATCAGCAATATAAAAGACGGTAACAAGCGTGGCCCCTTCAACCCATTGCTTTAAGGCCGCTACTCCACATATTGCCACTAACATCAAGATGTTAACATCGAGAAAAATTCCTTTTCTCCAACTGTTAAAGGCTCTTTTGAGTATCGGCAAGCTAGCAATTACTATAAGTGTCACAGTTACCCAAATCTTCCACTGCTGGTTATAAAAATTAGCAAAAATAACAACAGAAAAAAGGCACAAAACTAACAGAAGCAGGCTTATTGCAGTAGTATGAGAGGTGAAAAAAGTCGTTTTTCCTCGGTCTGAGACAGCTGTGCCTGATTGGAGAATGCTGACTCCAAGGTGGTAATCGTTTAAAATTTTGACCAAATCACTATTTAGCAAGAGCTTCTCGTCATGCCGCACAACCGCAGTCCGTGCAACAACATTGACTGACACAGAAACCACTCCCTCCAGTGGTATCAATAAGGTTTTCACTAATTCTGCTTCTTGGCCACAGCATATTCCCTGCACACGAAGGCGTGTGGTAGTTACACTTACATCTGATGCGTTGTAATTGCTGGTATTAGAAACAGGAACTTGTTCAGGTTTGTGCGATCCACAACAATGCGTTTCTGTTCCATGCAATGTGGCGCGAACATCTTCATCTTTATTGACATTGTCCTGACTGCAACACTCTTCAACTTTTTCATCACAAATTAAACGTTCGGTTGACATCGTTCACTTGTGTGGCTGTTTTTCGAACAGCAAATTGATCATTACACTGCTTCACGATTAGCTGTCATGCCCCCTAAACTCGTCCACCGTGCTCTATTGTTCTATTCACATCAACTGTATCAAACATCGAGTCTTTATATTGCGGTATAACTGATACCTGCAGGTCCTTATAAAAAGAAGTTAACCACTGCTTAGCCGTGATAGCCTCCGCTTAATGCAACTGAAAAACTTTCGTCAAAGTCTGACACGAGTGCAATCATCTTTGCAGGTTTAACAGGAAAATAATAGTTATCGTGGTGTTTCTATAGGGACGGATATTTGCTACAAGTATTGATTAAAAATCGATCAAAGGTAGGTTAAGCTGCCAGGTTCATTCAAAGCTGGCTGTTTTAACTGGGTTTCTATTTCAACCTAGTTTTTCAAAATCTTTACCAACCTAGTAAAAATATCTATACATATTGTGTTAAAAAGGTTTCCCAAGCTTGCTTTTTATGTTAATCCACTTTTTATGTAAGTATTATCCATCTAATTAGCTGTATGTATGGTAGCCAAAGTTTATAATGCACTCAAATTTTGGCTTTTTGTACTTGCACTTGTATTTAAATTGTTAGCATTTTGAGGGAAGAAAAGATTTTCCTACCTATTATATGCACTTAATTATATTTACTTAGTTTAGAATTTTGCAGTAGAGTCATGGAAGGGGTTGAAGAGTTAAAGATTCATTGCTAACAATGAGCCATTGCGCTACGCAAGCATCCCATAATGCATTTTCAGACAATCTGAAATCGATTCTGGTTAATCCGTAGAAGTTTACTGCCATTGTTTGAGTCGTCACTAGGACAATTTGTCACGCTCGCAAAGGCTCATTGCTGGCAATGAGTCTTTAAGTTCGGTTTTATTGGAGTGCTCTGAGAGCACAGATAGAGACTGTAATGCAAAGAGTGCCAATTTTATCGAGTGAGATATTAATCGTAGCGGAATTGAAAGTTTTTTGTAAATGTTTTACGTATCGCATCGGATTTGTATATAGATTTATTTATAACCAGTTTTTGCTGTTCTAAGTTTTGTTCATTATTTTTTTGTCGAACTTAGCGCCGAAAGGGCAAATTGCTGTTTTTTCGAACATATTGGCTCTATGTTGAAAAAACATTTGGCTAGCATCTATGCTGTTGGCTGATATTATATCACAGTAGTTCCAAATTTTCCAAGATTTTCTCAGGCGCATAGCATCTGTGGTTGTCCCCAAGTTATTTTCTATGATATGATCTTGCCAATAGCTATACCACGACCCTACAGCATGGGCTCCGAGACAAAGTGAGGGGGACAAAGGAAAATTTAACACCCATAACATAAGATCTTGGAAAAAGCTCTATTGTTTTGCAAAAAAGTGGGGGAGGGGGGCATGGCCATCCGGCCCCCTTTATCGGAGGCCCTATACAGTTTTCACCATGTAAGTCTGTGAACATTAAATATATTTGGTTTCATGTTCTGTAATACTGTACCTCGATAAGATGTTATCTCATACAAAACATACCGATGTAATGAATTCGAAATTATAAAACTACATTCAAATCATTGAAAATACAAACAAATTTTAATGACCTAAAAACACAACAGCAATCTGCAAATCGTAAAATTTCACTGAAGATACTGACGATTTTCTTCACGAACTTGTTTCATTAATAGGGGTGCTCTGAAAGATCTCGAGAAAATTTCAAATATTTTTTTATTCATTATAAATATACTGTAAGGCAATTCATTCAAAATAAAATATACCTTGCTTAAATCAACCAGCAAGTCAAATAATCAAAATTGTAATAATTTTATATCAGTAGCAAAACTTTGTTTTGAGGCCTTAGACAAAACAAATGTTTTCTGAGTTTGGGGAAGAAATAATTGAAATGTAGAAAAAGCTTCGCGTTTGCGAAGTTGGTAAGTGTATTAAATGAGTAATTAAGTGGAATTATGGCATTTCCACATGGCATCATGATGTATATATCTATTTCTTCTAAAATAATTAACAAAAAATAGTATCTTTCATAGTATCTTTTGGATTGATTTATGTTTTCACTTCAATCAGAGTCATGCCGTCTTCTTGATAATCAAACACTTGTGCGTCTTGGAGCGTGCTCCAACTTCTCTTTTTCTTGCGGCTGCCCCTCATGTCCTCCCGTTTCCAAAACAATGGTCTTAGACCATTTAGAATGACAATCAACAAAGCTAATACGTCACTTAATATTGCCATCCATAAAACCAGGACTCCCGCCATGGTTGCTATAATAACAGCGACTTTAATTGCCAAAGCGAGGCCGATGTTCTGAATCACGACTTTCTTCGTAAACAAGCTCAGCAATAGAAGTTCCGGGATTTTCACCAGATTATCTGTCATCAACGCGACATTTGCAGACTCGATAGCAAGCGCCGTTGCACATGTACCAATGGCTATGCCTACATCAGCGGCTGCTAAAGATGGTCCGTCATTTACACCATCACCAATCATTACTACCTTTGTCCGCTGTTTCTTGGAGCTGTTCTCCTGAAAACAGATTTACAACCACAAGTAAACAAAACGATTTTCAGATGTAAATGAAGTATTATGAAAACTCCTTCATATAAAGCATATTCATGTCGAAATACTAACATGCTTAAAATATTAAAGTGAAGCTAAAGAAAGGAAATATAAGTTAGGGCGCTGATCCATGATTTTGTATCAATCACCTACTAGGAATGAAAATCAGTCAATTTAATTTTTCATCTTCTTCTCCATCCGTCTTTTAACTGCTCCCAATTCTTCCTCGAAGAGACTACGTACACACAAGCAATTACCTTTAAATTATACATAACTGAAATCTGCCTTTAAATTTCATTTAACATTGCTTATAAAATTTCCTACTATTGAGAGCATTTAAAGGACTATCCAATTATTTCCTAAAAGCTACGTCGATTATTTATTACGTCATATCTTACCTGACGACTGCGGATCCACCTTAACTTGTGCTCAGGCTTCATGTTTGCTATATAACTTTCAGTGCCAACTGATTTCGAAACAGCTGACGCTGCCCCACTGCTGTCCCCCGTCAACATTATAGTACTGATGCCAAGGTTCTGTAGCATGTCTAATGCCTGTTTGGCAGTGTCACGGGGTGTGTCTGCGAGACCCATCATAAGTGAGAGCTAAAAAATTGATTAAATTTTTTATTCAAAGGTAAAGATTTCCAGGGCTGAATTTCTTTTCCCGTGAAAACAAACAAGCCAAGTAACTATAGGGACATTCTATTTCAAGTGTAACCACCTCAAAATTTTTAACCTCTTTGATTTTGCTCAAATTTTGTACAGAGTTTTCTGGTGCAAAGATACATCTGCTGTGAAAATTTCAGCTTCCTAGCTTGAGTGGTATTGAAATTACGACCGGTCAAACTTTTGAAATTTGTTGCAACCGGTCATTACTTGTGCCACACCTAAAATTGATATCTTCCTTCACACTCAACCTATAAAGATGGAATTGGTGTCAAATGAAAGCACTTGTCAAGTTGAAACTTAATTTCCAGTGAAATTGATGCTAGCCTCAAAGGCTCAAGGGCTGAGGTAAAATGTTATTTTTCAATGGCTGACCACGCCCAAATGGCAACGCCAATTTTCATGAAAAATTTTTTTCAATAAGATAAGTTCATGATAGAGCACCTCATTAAATTTAAAGATGGGGTGGGCATGGGTTTTATCACAATCAGTCTCAGAATACTGACAAGACTTTATTAGATCTGTATCCTGCATAAGCATGACCTACTATGACATTGTTGTACTTTATGACATTGTTCTGTTATAGATGAATATTACATCAGTGCATGTGTGGAGTATAAAAATAAAGTTAAGCCTTATGCATCAACATGACAAGCCATCGCTGAAAGAAAAAAGCTTTTTTTCATAGCCAAAAACACCATTGAATGGAAACCTCCTGCTAATTCAGGAAATGACAACTTTCCATTAATGTCATGTTAGTGAAAGTTAGTCTAGACATGTTATTTAACTTTATGATTTAAGAATTCCCATCAATTTTAAATAATTTCTGAAATTGGCTGTTCGTATCCTGTAATTGTCAAACCAGGAAGTCCTCTTCAATAGCACCTGTCTATTACAAGGAAACAGTAAATAAAAAACCAATGTAAGAAATTTGCTTTAGAAACTTCAAACAGACTTCAGACTTTGGTGAAAGCATTTAGTACATTACTGAAAAGGCAGTTTTCTAGTTTACGAGATTTAAGATGGCAGAACAACTTTCAAAACTGACAAGTATACAAAACAACCGAAAATATTGCTGTGACCCATTCCAAGTGCATAAAACCAAAAGAACAAAAGATTTGAGACTCGTAACTGCAGAGCAAGCGAAGTGCAATCCATCTTTGGTTCAAGTTGGAATGAAAATATGCACTAACTGTAGAAAACAGCTACAAAGAGTGGTTGGAGTAGAGCCGCCACTCGAGAATCTGCTCTCTGAAGAGGAGGATGACTTTGTTCCGCCTGAAATTGAATTTGAAAGCCTAAATGAAACTTTAGGGAAAATTGGAGAAAGCCCTCTGAGTCAAAGAAAAATAATGTCATGATCCCGCTACCTTCCTCAAAAAAAGAAGAGAGTGCATGACACCCTTGAAAGAAAATTTGATGCTGCATGTGGCTCCTCTCCATCGTTGATTATGGATGTTTCTTCAGATGAGGAAGATGGAATGCCAGCAGAAATTGTGCAAAAACTAATTGCAAAATTTCGCAGCACTGAAAGTAGAAGTGAAAAGATAACAGTTCTGACTATTTTTGTGCAAACATGGAGTCGTAGGAAAATAATGGCCACCTTTGGCTGCTCTCAAAGAATGGCTACACAAGCAATGCATTTATCATTGGAAAAAGGCATCCTTGCTACCCCAAATCCAAAAACTGGAAAAAAGTTGCCAGAGAATGTTTCAGAGGCTGTAGAAAACTTCTATCGGCAAGATGATATCAGCAGAGTTATGCCTGGAAAAAAGGACTGTTTAAGTATTCTTCGAGACGGCAAGAAGACTCTGTTTCAAAAAAGACTAGTTTTAGGAAATCTTCGGGAAATTTATCAAACATTCAAATCCCAACATCCATCAATGAAGATAAGCTTCTCAAAGTTTGCAATGGTTCGACCTAAAGAATGTGTTTTAGCTGGAGCAAGTGGCACTCATTCTGTCTGCGTTTGTACAATCCATAACAATGTAAAATTGATGATGAACGGATCCATGATGGCGTCTGTGACAGCCAATGAAGTAGTTCCTGTTAGTCATTATGGACATGCATTGGCTAAGATGATGTGTAACCCCGCAGTACCAAACTGTCATCTTGGTGAGTGCCCATACTGCCCTGGTAGACAGCCCCTGAGAGAGATGCTTTTAAAATGCTACGAAGATAACGATGTCGATGAAGTAGAGTTTAAGCAATGGACATCTACTGATCGCTCAAAACTAGAGACTATGGTAGAGCCAATAGAAGATTTTGTGGAAGCATTTATTGAAAAACTTGACTCTCTTAAGCGACATGATTTCATTGCAAAACAGCAATCTCAGTATCTTTGCAAACGAAAGGAAGGTCTAGTAGAAGGAGAATTTCTTGTGATAGGTGACTTTTCAGAAAACTTTTCTTTTGTTGTCCAAGATGAAGCACAATCATTCCACTGGAATAACAGCATGGCAACACTGCATCCATTTGTTTATTATTTCAAAGAGGATGGACAAATCAACCACAGCAACTTTGTACTAATATCAGATTGCCATACTCACAACACTGTTGCAGTCCACCTTTTTCAGAAAGAATTGATGAGACATCTTTCAGAAAAGTTTCAGGTGCTGAAAGCAATTATCTATTTTTCTGATGGCTGTGCAGGCCAATACAAAAACCTCAAGAATTTTTGTAACCTGTGCATGCATCAATATGATTTTGGTGTGCCGGCTGAATGGCATTTTTTGCAACAAGCCATGGTAAGGGGCCTTCAGATGGCATTGGAGGCACTATCAAAAGAGAAGCAACCAAAGCAAGTCTGCAGCGACCTTACCGTGATCAAATTTTGTCAGCTCTGAAGATGTTTGAGTTTGTTGATTCCCATCTTAAAGGCATCAATGCAAAATTTCTCACTGCTGCCGACTGGTATTCAGAAGAAGAAATTCTTCATGAAAGATTTCAGACTGCTAAAACGATTGCTGGAACACAAAAATTACATTGTTTCAAACCAATTTCAAAATATTCTCTTCTTGTCTCAGAATACAGTGAAAGTGAAGTGACAAGGGAAGTTCAAGTAGTCAAAGCAGGCTGTGGTCATATTGAGCTCAGTAAGATTACTGGCTATGTTGCTGTAGTTTATGACAGCAAGTGGTGGGTGGCATATGTTTCCAGCATTCAACCAGAAACCAATGAAGTGACAATAAGCTTCCTGCATCCCCATGGCCCAAACCCTTCATTTGTGTATCCAGAACCTTCTGAAGAGCTTGCTGTTGATGTCTCAGACGTACTTGTGCAACTTAATCCGGTCACTTTTACAGGTCGCACCTACACATTATCAAAAGGGGAATCACAAGCAGCAAGCATGTCTTTACAAAACAGATTACAGATGGAATAATTTTCTGAAACAAAAATTCTCTCTAACTGCAATGAACATGACACTTGTTATTAAAATCAAACTACCGCTTGTATGCATTGCATGAAGACTTACATTGACTTTTAACCTTTCAAGATAATACTCATCAGTATTCTGAGACTGATTGTGATAAAACCCATGCCAACCCCAATTTTATATTTTATGAAGTGCTTTATCATGAATTTATCTTAATGAAATAAAATTTTCATGAAAATTGGCGTTGCCATTTGGGCGTGGTCAGCCATTGAAAAATAACATTGTACCTCAGCCCTTGAGCCTTTGAGGCTAGCATCAATTTCACTGGAAATTTACTTTCAGCTTGTCAAGTGCTTTCATTTGATACCAATTCCATCTTTATAGGTTGAGTGTGAAGGAAGATATCAATTTTAGGTGTGGCACAAGTAATGACCGGTTGCGACAAATTTGAAAAGTTTGACCGGTCATAATTCCAAAACCGCTTGACCAATCAAAAAAAAAATTGAAATATAGAAAAAGATCGGTTTGCTTAACATAATACTAGATTTTAAACAAAATC